GAGGAGAAATCCAGTGGGTCATCCAGACTGGCGGACACAAGGATTTTCTTGTGGTCAGTGTACTCCCGCGTGGCTTCGAATTTCTCTATGCAGGACCGCACTACTGGTAAGATCTTTGACAGCACCAAAGGATATCCTGGTGAAGGACCAAACAATGATGACAATCCTTCCTCTAAGGGGAACTTTCCCTGGATTTCAGAAGACTACCTTGACGAAGTGGTGTCAAAAAAGATGGAAAGGTCTTCAGAGATGGATGGGTTTGTTCCGGGAAGTGAGGGATCATTGGAAAAGGTAGAGGTGGAGAATGTCACTGCCTCTAAAATTCTTATGGCTCTTTGGAAGAAGGGACATAGAGTTGGGTTTAGAAGGTTGCGTCGTTTGAATGCATCTGGATGCAAGGTTGGAGCAATGAAACGTCCAATCAAAAGGGTGCAGAAGATTGGCGCTAGGAAGGCCTTCATGAAGATGTTCAATGTTTTTGGATCGTCTCAGCATGGCTCAGGAGTTGGCGGAAAACCGATCATGAAGGTGGTAGGACCAAGGCCAGGTTTTCCAGCTGTACTCCAAGCACCAAATACTGATAGCACGTCGGGTGAAGGGAGCAGTCCCCAGGTACATGGCAATGTTCATGTAGAGCACAGTCGCCCTATGGACCGGTATGAGGCAGAGCGCTTGGAGAAGAGGAAGAAGGGTTTCTGCTATTGGTTTGGCAAAGGGAAAGATCGCTGCAAATTTGGTGACGACTGCAAATTCATCCATTCCGAAGATGATGTGGTGCTACATTCATATTGGTGCAAATACTATGTGGCAGGGAGAGAATGTTTCGCTGGAAAGGATTGTGGGTTCTCGCATGATGCAACTGGTGTGAGGTGCGTCCAGTTTGCTCGGTCTGGGAAGTGTCGATTTGGTGACAGGTGTGTCTTCGAGCATGGTGTTCCGTTGGAAAAACAGAGGCCAAGGTCTCCAAGGACGCCCCTAAGGGATGGTCCAAGGAGAAAGTCTGGTGCAAATGGTGGAGAAAAGGAGATCCCTCCTGAACAGTTCGATGATGATGAGGAGGATTTTATGGTTTATGACGAAGAGACCAAGATGACGGAACTGTTGATGGAGGCGATTTCATTTCTCTCCGGTGGCAAGCCAGATTTGGCTCGAGCAGAGGCGGACCCATTGTTCAAACTCCTGAAGTTCACTGGAGATGCTGACCAAATGGATCAAGTATGGGTTTCGTGGACCACTGAAATGTTGTCAGTGCTGGAACTTCTCGAAGTAGTGAAGTCGTATGATGTTTCGCTCGCGGAGGTGGAAGAATGGGTCAATGACCTGAGGATATGGTATGAGCGAGCCAATTTGGGAGAAGAAAAGGATCCCAAAAAAGGGAAAAAGAGGTCCCTAGAAGGGGAGTCCAGCAAAGATATTCCTGCCGAAAAAGAAGTGGTTGAGACTTCGGAGACGGAGGTTGCCGTTGAGGAGGAGAAGAAAAAGGTAAAAAAGAAGAGGAAAGCCGCAGCTACCGAAGATCCTTACACTCTCATGGTTCCAAAGCCGAAGAAGATGCCGACGATCATTGAGAAGGGTGGATCAACATCCAATGTGGTGGCTTCTGCAGTGGAAAAATCCTCGAAGACGCGCACAAAGTCAAATGTCGGTGGAAAGACAAAGAAGAAGGAGAAAAGTCAGAGTCCCAAAAAAGAAGAGGTGGTAATGGTGCAAGATCCTGAGGAAAAGGATCGTCCATCCGATGCGGAGGCACCAGGGTCTGCCAATGCGAATGAAGAGCTGGGTCAATCTTGCCAGGCGATTGAGGACGCAAAGAGAGAAGGATTGGTATCCTCAATTCAAAGGGGCATACAGGATCCTATTCTTACGATTTCGGGCCTGGGGTTTATTCTGCTGCGACTTCACCTCAAGATTGCCAACAATCGGAAAAAGAAGTGATTGGATGGTATGGATGAAGGGATGGTTTTTCTCTTTCTGGAGACCGGTGCGCTGGAACAGCCAATGTGCTGACAATGTGGTGGTTACTATTAAGGGTATGGAAATCCCTGATAGTAGGAGTCAGTAGCTTTTCGCGTAGCGAAGACCACGGTTTGTGGTGAAGAAGGCCAAGGAGTCTTCAGTGATGAGAGGATCAAGGTGAAAAAAGATTCTCTATGGGTAGTAGGTTAGCCAATGTGCTATAATTCCGTCCTGGAAGACGTTAAACCACAATTTGCATTTCAAGCAGCTGGCTGCTGCCGTAATGGCAGTTTTTGGCCAAAAGATCTGCATCTCCAATGTGTCCTAGGAAATCCTAGGACAGGGGGAGTGCGGAGCTGCAATTGGTATTGTAGAAAGGAGTTAGTGTTGGAAGTTGGAAGGGTTAATGAACCCGGTAATCGTATTTGGCTCAAGATGGGCTTGAACAGAAAGCCACAAGTTCAAAAAATAGTGCCTGGGTTCTTAGGGTTTGGTAAGGGTGTGGATTCCTTCCCCCTTTCCTTCCCCCCTGGGTTGCTCTTATCCGTGTTCTTGGTTGTTTCTTGGTTCGATCTGGGAAATATAAGTTCAGGGCGATTAGGGGAGTTGATTTCCTTCCTTGGTTGTCCCCCCGTACCCTAAACCCTAAACCCTAAACCCTAAACCTAAACCCTACAGTACACCTTTCATCATGACAATCATTGCTGGGGGCTTGAGCCCCTGACGACTTTTGTCTGTGTTGGGCTTGAGGTGCGGTAGCGGAGCTTTAGGCTCAGGGATCAGAATTTCTGAAATGCTAGGATGCCCAGTAGTACCCTTATTCCCTTTTTGGTAGGTTTAGGTTCCCTTATAAACCCAATTAAGCAAAAAAGGGCACCCTTTTTCATCCTAGGTTACTGGGCAAGCTAGAATGGCACTGCAAACGCAAGCTGTCCGCAGCTTAGGACTCATGGACAAATAAGTTAGAGGGCTCAAGCCGATTTGACCCAACCGTCCAAGCCTCGATTTGCATCTCGTGCAGAAGGGGCCGCCGATGATTTCGAACGTGTCAGGTGCCGGGGTTGAAAACCAAAACTTTTTGAACTTTAGCTTTGAGAGTTTTTTGAACATAAAATCCTGTGGAACTCCTACAACTTTCAGAACTTGGCAAACGTGTTGAGTTTGTGGAACTCTCAAGCTTCCTGACACTTTCGAGTCTTTCGAGAACGATTAGAGCTTTTAGCACTGTACAGAACCTTTAACACATGTAGAACGCTTCAACCCTTTAAAAAAGTTTAAGAACTTCTAGCTAGAACCTTTTTAACTTTCAGAACTTTTGATACTTTCTGCATCTTCGGAATGTCAAGATCCTGTATAACAACTTGTAAAGTGAAGTTACCAGAAGTCTTACAGTCGCAATGCCGGGGTTGAAAACGAGAACCGCACTTTGAGCTCCTAGCGCAAGGATCACGTGATTTCAGCAGCAGCGCTTGTGGTTGATGAAGCTGCAGGTGTCAGCGGGCCTTTCAGCATGAGCAATGTAGGATGAATTCGAACTTCAGTCTAGCTAGGTTTCTTGGGAGAACAAAACAAGGCGGGTTTAGGGTTTAGGGTTTAGGGTCTAGGGTCTAGGGTTTAGGGTCTAGGGTCTAGGGTTTAGGGTTTAGGGTAGAGGCAACTCAGCGACCTCAACTGCGCATGGTCAGCAAAGGCTACAGCGGACTGGTTTGCAGGGACCTTGCTGCTGTTCGAGATCCAGATTGGCCGGGTCCGAAGGTTTAGGGTTTAGGGTTTAGGGTTTAGGGTTTAGGGTTGAGGGCGGGTTTAGGGTTTAGGGTTTAGGTTCAGAGATCCTCTTGCCGAATCGGAGCGCTGGTAAGGTGCTGTAATGACTAAAGCCTATAAAGAACTCCAAAAACTTTAAAAAAAGAAACAATATTCCCCATATTACCTTTATAAGGAAGAATATTATCTTGTTTTGGGGGTCTTAAGCAATTCGTAGCTAAAGATTTTAGTTCGCTGCCACACTGCAGCCCTGCAGCCCTAAAGCCAAAGGACCTCAGCCAAAACCTCTTCGGTGCCTAATGCAGGATTTGCTCTAAACCTTAGCCCTAAACCCTAAACCCTGAACCCTGAACCCTAAACTCTAAACCCTAAACCCTAGCCCTAAACCCTCAACCCTCGTTCTTTGCACGTTTGAAACCACCGTGCACCGCAACCTCTACACGACCTGGACAGAACCCAGCTCAACTCAAGGTGCCCTAAACCCTAAACCCTAAACCCTAAGCCCTAAGCTTCGAGCTTCCCCAGCTCAGCAGCAGATGTAAGAGCGGGTTTGGGGGTTTGGGGGGTTTAGGGGGTAGTTAGGGTTTAGGGGGTAGTTAGGGTTTAGGGTTTAGGGTGTAGGGTGTAGGGTGTAGGGTGTGTAGGGTGTAAGGATCCTCCGCTCTCTTTCAGGTAAAGAGGTCCCCTTTGAATGCCTCGAGAACTCGCCGCACCAGAGCCCTGGCGTGAAGCGCTCAGGGTTTCGGGTTTAGGGTTTCGGGTTTCGGGTTTCGGGTTCGGGGTTTAGGGTTTAGGGTTTAGGGTTTAGGGTTTAGGTTTAGGGTTTAGGGTTTAAGGTTCAGGGCTTCGCCTGTTCCGGGGGACTCAGAAGCTGTTTTGGAGATCTGTCTCTTGCCTTTTTTGCCTTTATCTACTATTTGCTGAAGAAGCCCAAGAAGTCTAACAGAAAATCATCTCATATTTATCTTAATAAGGACGGTTGCTTTTCCTTTTTGGGGGGGGTTCTTAAGCAAATAGTAGTTGTGGGGTTTATAAGAGCACCTTGACTGAAAAAAAACAGATCAGAGCGCTGGAAGGGTCAACCGAGGGCTTCTACTTTCAAACTGGAGCCCCGCGGCCTCCTGAGATGTTCCCTAAACCCTTAACCCTAAACCCTAAACCCTAAACCCTAAACCCTAAACCCTAAACCCTAAACCCTAAACCCTATAACCCTAAACCCTAAAAACCTAGGGTTGAGGGGTTCCCCTACAAGCTACGGTCCCAGGGTCGTGGCGCCGCAGATGCTCAACTTCGGCCATCTCGGCTAAGAATGTTCGGAGGGAGTTTGGGGTTGATAGGGTCTTTGGGATTCGGGCGCTTCTGGGAGTCCGGTCTCAACAGACTGCCAAGGAAGACTTCCGAAACTCTACTCAGCTACCCCGAAACCCCAAACCCTAAGCCAGTAAGCCCTAAACCCCTAAACCCGAAACCCGAAACCCTAAACCCTACACCCTAAACCCAACAACTTCTGAGGATGGATTTAGGATGTTTAGGGTGCTTATTCAGGGTGGATCTTCATGCGCCTGCCAAAGCTGTCCATGGAGGGCTCTGTGAAGGGCTTCGGGCTTCGGGTGCTCTTGAGGGGTTTAGGGTTTAGGGTTTAGGGTTTAGGGTTTAGGGTTTAGGGTTTAGGGAGGGGGGTTCCAGGGGGTTATGAAACCCAAGGTTCCCGAATGCTCCCTACTACTCCCTGAGGCTCCCTAAGCTCCCCCAAGGTTTCCTCGGTACCTACCCCCCCTCATGAACCCCTTTCCCTAAACCCTAAACTTAAACCCTAAGCCCTAAACCCTAAGCCCTAAACCCCAAACCCTAAACCCTAAACCCGAAACCCTAAACCCTGAACCCTAAACCCTAAACCCTAAACACTAAACTCAGCCCTAAACCCTCAACCCTCAACCCTCAACCCTCAACCCTCAACCCTAAACCCTAAACCCTAAACCCTATCAACCCCAAGAAATGGAAAGCAAAACGCTCTCGGCACCACCTCCATCCCCTAACGCCTCAGCCCCAGGGTCTCCTTTCCATTTTCTTTACAGAAATAAGCTTTTAGGGTTTAGGGTTTTAGGGTTTAGGGCTTAGGGTTTAGGGTTTAGGGTTTAGGGTTTAGGGTTTAGGCTTTGAGGCCTTTGGCTCATCATCATTCTCATGTTGAACATGCTGATCGCGATGATGGCCGCCAAGAAGCAGAGGGAGGGATTGCTTGCTAATGCAGCTCCTAGGGTTGAGGGTTTAGGGTTTAGGGTTTAGGGTTTAGGGTTTAGGGTCAGGGTTTAGGGTTTAGGGCTTCTGCCATTCTGCCGTATCTTTGAAGGCTTTCTGGTGGTCAAAGCTTGACCCAAACCCCGACGACTCCCCACAATTGAGTTCCCTGGGTTGAAGAGCAACGTTTCACAGCAAGTTGCCGGTCTCTTCCCAGGCTCTTCTTATCATGGGTTGTCCTTCTGCCCCCTCTATACTACCCCCCCCCTAGGTTACCCCCATAACTAAGGCCATTTTTACGGATACTTAATCCTAATTAAGGCCATCTAAGGGGGGAACCTAGAGAGGGGGGAGTATAGAGGGGGGGGGGGGGGGGTAGTAACTTAGTAGGGACACCCATGATGTTCGGGTGTCCTCTCGGGCACCGTCTCATGAGGAGCAGCCAAGACGTCAGATCTCGGCACTCTTAGTGACCAGAGCAGGCGCACTTGACTTCAAGGACAGCCTAAAGTGGCAACCCTTCAGGGGCTCCGTAGGACCCGCTTAACGCCGTGTTTTGCTCAGAAGACTGACCAGCCCAAAACTCAGGCGAAGACCTTCGATCGCATCTTCGAGAAGTCCATGGTGGACTACCAGTACAACTTCGCAGGGCCTCTTGACTTTCAAGTGGTCCAGGGGGAGGGGGGGGGGAGTCTTAGGGGTTTGAGGGTTTTTTTTGTTTTTTTGTAGGGGGGTGTGGTGGTTTAGGGGTGCATCCCGGTAAATGTGGAAGCTCCAGGTTTCCTTTAGGAAGCCCCAAAAAGGAAGACCCTACTCGCAAGATACCTCCATGCACAAATCCATGTGGCGGAGCCCCAAACCCGAAGTCCCACTGCCGCTGCGCCATCAGGTTCGTGTTGACGATGCGCCATGAGCATGCTGTACCCCCTGTATCTTGCCACGATCTGATGCTGTGTTCAGGGGTTCACGGACTTTGGCGTTTAGAGTTTAGAGTATGACTTGTGGAGGGGGGGGGGCAGACATCTGGGTGGGCAGTTCTGTAGTCTAAGCTCGAAACCCCAAACCCCAACGCCACTCACTCAGCCAAACCCCCGTTGGCCCCGAAAGCCCTAACCCCCTAATCTAACCCCCTAAACCCCAAACCCTACACCCTGAACCCTAAACCATCCTAAACCTCAACCCTAAACCCTGAACCCTGAACCCTGAACCCTGAACCCTGAACCCTAAACCCTAAACCCTAAACCCTACCTAGATTGCCCGACTCTGCGGGCTGCCTTGGACGCTGGGCAAGAACATCTACTACAAGACGCGTCCCGGCCTTTCTTTCAGGGGGTTTAGGGTTTAGGGTTTAGGGTTTAGGGTTTAGGGTTTATATAGGGTCTAGGGTCTAGGGTCTAGGGTCTAGGGTCTAGGGTCTAGGGTCTAGGGTCTAGGGTGGATGGTATACATGGTGTATATGGGGGTTTAGGGCTTAGAGTTTAATTAGGGTTTAGGGTTTAGGGTTTAGGCTGTAGGGTTTAGGGGGTTGCTGTTATAGGGCGGCTATTTGTTTAGGGCACCCAACAAGAAACTGTAAACCCAATAGGGAGTAGCAACTTAAGTTGTTAATGTATCCCAACCATGAACTAGGCTCAGGGTTTAATATGGGTTTAGGGTTCAGGGTTCAGAGTTGAGGGTTGATAGGGTACCATGGCTGACGGTGTTTAGGGTTTAGGTCGGAGGGCTGAAAATGGTTTGGGGTTGATCGGATGTAAAGGCTGATGGGTTTAAGGTTTAGGATTGAAGGGCTGAAGGGTGTAGGGTTTAGGATTCAAAGGCTGAAGTGTTCAGGGTTTGCCTGAGCAAAAGGCGCTGAGAGCCTCAAGCCGACCCTAAACCCTGAACCCTAAAGCCTAAAACCTTGACCTTGGGACGGACGCGAGAGTTTCCAAACAGGATGTTCAGGGTTTAGGGCTTAGGATTTTTGATTTTGGGTCTCAGGGTTTGGGGTTACTTTGGGGTTACATACATGTGCATCTCTCTCTCTCTCTCTCTCTGTCTCTCTCTCTCTCTCTATGTATATACATATATATATATGCACATGTGTATATATATATATATATTGGATACACTGCATATATATGTATATTCTGAAGATGCGCCCGTCACGTTTGCAGACTGTCTACCCTGAAAAGCGAAAAGCAAGCCACGGGAGCCCAGAGGTGCGGCCCGCGCGATGAAGAAGCCAGTGCCCAGAGGCCCCTTTGAAGCCTTTTTTGCGTGGGTCTGGGAGTAGCCCTAAACCCTAAACCCTAAACCCTAAACCCTAAACCCTAAACCCTAAACCCTAAACCCTAAACCCTAAACTCGATTCAGACCTTGGCAGTGGGGCGCTTGCTGAAGCCTAGACTTTAGGCTTGTCCTCTAGCGTCCGCGTCTTCCAACCCATAGGCTGCAGATGCAATCGGCAGAGCAGGGTTTAGGGTTTAGGGTTTAGGGTTTAGGGTTTAGGGTTTAGGGTTTAGGGTTTAGGGTTTAGGGTTTAGGGTTTAGGGTTTAGGGTTTAGGGTTTAGGGTTTAGGGTTCGGGGCATGGACGCGCAGCTAGCCGGTCTATGGGGCAACTAGGGCGACGTACTTGCTCTGAGGGCACATGACTTAGGAACCTAATGTTGCACAGAGAAACCTGAATGCCTCAATCGGCTAGATCCCAAACTCCAGACCCTGCCCTGCTATTAGTTCACATGCCTGGTCGGGAAATCGTGCCGCCAAGCTCGATGAGAGCCCAAGAGGATGTGGTTTATGGTGGGTTTAGGGTGATTCGGTCTGCTATCCTGCCAGTTCCGGCGGGCACGCAAAGCTGCGCGAGACCTTCTTCAAGGCTGGCAGACCAACGCGTGTGCAGACTTGCATTGTGTGCTGGGTGGTGCCGCTGCCAGTTGTGAGGCGCATCCAGGGTTTATTTATGATCGGAATCATAGCCCGTTATGGGCCTCCTCGCGTGCCAAACTCCAGCGCGGGAGGAGGCAGCCACAAGCCATCTCCAAGAGTCACGTAGAACCCATTGAGTCAGCGGCTTTCCTCTGTAATGGGTGCACCCTCTGACGTGTGCCCCATCCCCCCGTACAGTAGAAGCTGATTTGTCCGTCCCTCTTTAAACAGGCCCGGGATTTTCTGAGAATTCTTAATCAGGGGTGAGTTTCAGAGAAAAATATGAGGGACGCAGAGGCGCGGCAATTGATTTTATAGGCGCGCCACACGAAACATTCTTACGAGACACACTTCAAGCTTGACTTATACCAGAGGATCCCGGCACCCGAAACAGTCACGCGGTGCTGACTCGCGCGGCCAACTAGACCTTGTAGAGGAGCCCTCATGGCTCAGGAGGGTGCCGTGCAACACCTTGCAATGTGTATTCGTGCTCATCTTGAGCTGCTTGTATGAGGTGAACTACTGCAGCCCTAAACCCTAAACCCTAAACACTGAACCCTAAACCCTAAACCCTAAACCCTGAACCCTGAACCCTAAACCCTAAACCCTAAACCCTGAACCCTAAACCCTAAACCCTAAACCGCTTTTGAAGTCAGTTCGGGACCTACTCCCCTAGGGGCATCCTGCGACTTCATAGGGTCATGGGTGCCAGAGCTCAGAACGAACCAGTTGAAAGGGTTTAGGGTTTAGGGTTTAGGGTTTAGGGTTTAGGGTTTAGGGTTTAGGGTTTAGGGTTTAGGGTTAGGCAAGCCTGCGTCCCACATGTTTTCAATGGCCATGGCCTCAACTTAGGATCTTGCTAGGTCCGGCGATGGGATTGCAGCTGTATTCCCTAGGGAAGCCTAAATCCTAAGCCCTAGGCCCTAAACCCTAAACCCTAAACCCTAAACCCTAAACCCTAAACCCTAAACCCTACGCAAGCTCTTTCTCTGAAGTCATGAAGACCCAGCGTCAGGAATCCAAGGAGTCTCAGGAGGCAGGTGAGTTTGTGCCTCTCTGCTTTTGCATCTCTGCTTTTAGCATCTTGTAACCATTTGTAACCTGCGGTCGGGGGGCTTAGGGTTTCGGGTTTAGGGTTTAGGGTTTAGGGTTCAGGGGGTTACAATTAACAGGCGGCCCCTATGATTGGAAAATGTAACTTGCTAGGCTCCACTGCCCTAAACCCTAAACCCTTCTAAATGCACTTCGGAGCGTTGTAACCCCCTCCCCCTAGTACTAAAGCCCCCCCCCCGCCTAATTTTACATATTCTTTTTCCCGGACCCTGCCGGCACCCAGCCCAATACTAAACCTGTTTGAGAATTGGGGGGGGGGGGGGGGGTTGTTCAGGGCTTCGCCCTTGAGTTGAGCCATTAGGGTTTCAGGGTTTAGGGCTGAAGGCTGACAAGGGTGTGGGTGGCAACCTATGAGGTTCGCGGGATGCGCCGACGTCTCTGTTGTGGTTTCCATTCCATGGCAGGGGCATTCGGTCTTCTCGGGTGAGGACACCACAGTGAGGGGGCTCCCGCAATCAACCCTCCAATCTAAGGATGTTTTAGGGCTTCGCTGGGATTTTTCAGCCTTCGCGGCCCCTTATGGCATGGACAAGCTTCGCTCCAACCCCCCCCCCCCCATTCAACCCGCAAAACTCCGAGAAAAATCTCCAGACAGCCTTCAAACCTACGCCCTGTAAAACCCTTAAACCCTTAAACCCTATACACCCTATGAACCCTGTTGCAAACCCTGTAAACCCTATGAACCCTAAACACCCTGTAAACGCTCTAGAGACCCTAAACCCTAAACACCCTATAAACCCCATAAACCCGAAACACCCTATAAACCCCATTAAACCCTTAAAACCCCCAAAACCCTCAAAGACCCCTCAAAAAACCCTTACTGCCCCTTAAACACCCCTACAAGCTAAAGCTAACCCTATAACCCAGCACCCACAAACCCTATAAACCAAAAACCCCTTAAAAACCCTTCCCTTAAAAGACACTACAAGTCAAACCCTATAAACCCTAAACACCCTATAAACCCTAAGAACCCTAAAACACCACATAAACCCCATAAACCCTATAGATAAGCACCCCATAATCCCTATAAACCTTAATTAAACACTTTAATTCGACCCTATAACCAAACACCAAATAAAACCTACAAACCCTATTAACCAATCACTAAACACCCCATAATATGCCTACAAGCCCTAAACCCTAACCCCTAAACCCGAAACTCTAAACCCTAAACCCTAAAACCCTAAACCCTAAACCCTAAACCCTAAACCCTAAACCCTAAACCCTAAACCCTATACCCTATACCCTAAACCCTAAACCCTAAACCCTAAACCCTAAACCCCAACCCTAAACCAGGCGGGACCCGGGGCCGGCGGCACAACGGTCATTCCCACGAACCTCGAAGCCCAGCCCGCGGCAGAGGAGCGAATTAGGGGTTTAGGGTTTTAGGGTTTAGGGTTTAGGGTTTAGGGAACCCTAATGAAGCCCTAAACCCTAAACCGAAACCCCAAGCCCGAAACCCTAAGCCCGAAACCCTAAACCCTAAATCCGCAAACCCAAATGCAACCCGCGCGAGAGGTCCAAGATGTCCAGTTCCAGTCCGTTGTGGAGCAGCCACCAGCATCATCCAGTCAGGCCTCGCAGGAGCTTCAGGGGGAACTTCGGGTCTCTTTAGGGTTTGGGGTTTAGGGTTTGGGGTTGAGGGTTTAGGGTTTAGGGTTTAGGGTTTAGGATTTAGGTCCAATTTAGGTTTTGGGGTTTTGGGCTGAAGGCCTTGGGTCCAGGAGTCCAGGGGTACAGGTTTATGGTCGTTTTGTCTTTGCGGCGGCTGAGTAGGGACTATACGGACCTGGAGGATTAGGGTTTAGGGTTTAGGGTTTAGGGCTTAGGGCTTAGGGCCAGCACCCAAAGTATGCACCCAAAGACATGCCTAACCTGCAGTGCCTGTGTCAGCTGCGTGAGCTGCATCCGACAGGCTTGGCAAAAATGCCGACTAAATAGAGGGTCATGCATGCATTGCTTTATGAGAGGCGATGACATACTGATAACTTCGTGGCTGCATAACGTGGGCCATATACTCGCAACTTGTACTAGAAGCAAAGCTGGCAGTAAAATTTTGTTGGCGTGTACACGACACGTGATGTTTCTGGAACAACCACCGCAGTGCTTGCACCTTGAATTCAATGCGCCTGTATCGACCAGCCGTTCTAGTTTCAAGGATAGCAGAAGGGAGAGGGGAGGGGGGGAGGTGGCTTGCTCACGGCTTGCTCACTGCCATCTTGACCCAACTTGAGCTGCAACCTCTAAGTTTGTCACGGCTGAATCCCGAATTTGCAAAATCAAGGTGAATGCCGAGGTCTGCACAGACAGGCGCGCAAGCCTGGAAACCCTAAGCCCTAAACCTTAAAGAAGGAGACATTATACAAGCCATTTGAAAAACGCCCCCTTTGCGTTACAGATGCGCTCGAGGGCCAAAGAGTTCCGTGCAGCAAGACCTATGGGCCCCTTGCCACGAGTTCCCGCAAGATCTTGGGAACCCTCTGGGAGTTGCTGAAGCTAGGGTACCTTATGGGACTCCTGTGTTATAGGGGAGCCCTACTATTCGGTTCTTTTTTTTTTTTGTGAGGGGTCCTTTATTTCCGTAAACCCTAAACCCTAAACCCTAAGCCCTAAGCCCTAAACCCTAAACCCTAAACCCTAAACCCTGTACCGTGCCCTCGGCACCTGGGACGTTTTGGGGGTCCAGGAGCCCGTGACTGCGCAGTCGAAGTCGGTGGACACCTATGAGCTGTCAGTGTCTTGACATTGGGGACATGGCTTAGTACTTGTAGTAGAGCATGTAACCTTTAGCCTTTTTTGGGGGGCCTTATAACCCCTATAGAATCCAAAAGTTTCACCTTTAGTTCCCCAAGGACACTGGACAACTAAGGTGGGGGCTTGTGAACTTCATGTCATCAGGAGTCTCGAAGTTCGTTTTTCTTGGGGCGTTGTTTCGGCCCAATCCCTTTCAGCCCTAAACCCTAAACCCTAAACCCTAAACCCTAAACCCTAAACCCTAAACCCTAAACCCTAAACCCTAAACCCTAAACCCTAAACCCTAAACCCTAACGAGCCCAACTCTGCCTAATCAGCTTCGGGCCTTCCAGCCAAAAGAGGGCGTGGTGTCCCCCCCTCCAATGTTGAGGTGCAGCTGCAGAAGTTGGTGGAGAAGTTCCTGGAGGCCGCCTAAACCCTAAACCCTAAACCCTAAACCTTAAACCCCGCCGCGCTGGCGTTGGGGGAATTATCGACCCAGGGTATTCCCAGGCTACTCCTTTGTCTAGTTCTAGGGCCCTGAATAAGGGAGCCCCCCCCCCACCCACCGCCATCTGTTGCTAGATGAGCGCATGATTCTCGGCGTTTCGGCGCAAGTAGAAGACCCATCACGAGGTAGGAACCGACCCCTCCCCCTCCCCCCAGCCCCCCCGGAGTGGCAGGCCCCCCGAGCCCCCGCCTTCTTATACTACCCTTTTAAGTTTCCCCCCAATGAAGGTATAGGCAAAGCCATGAAAGTGGGTCTTCAGGAGCACGACTCGGACGCTGCCTTCCAGGACGAGTGGCTCGGGTGTTGCCAGAATCCGCTTGCGTGTTGCGGGTTCGCATGTTTTACAGCGTTGTGCGGGGGTTGCTAAACCCTAAACCCTAAACCCTAACCCCTAGACCCTAGACCCTAAAACCCTAAAACCCTAAACCCTAAACCCTGCTTAAAAGTGAGGGGGCGGCAAGGATTAGGCACGGGCTGAGGTCTTTCGGACAATGGGCTACTGCTAAGGCGCGGCCAGGGTTTATATAGGAGCGGCAGTTGGAGTTGGGGGGTGCGTTTTTGAACTCTGCTGCCAGCAAGCTCAGAATGTACTGGCACCAAGGCAGTTTCGACGTCAGGTGGCGCAGAAGCTCTGGAAGCTGGACTCTCACGCAGCTTGGATGCGTTTTTTGCCTCGCACGTCGTTTTCAAAACCTTGAGAGGGGACGTGCTTGGGTAGGTAAGTTCCAAGCCACCAAGCGACCAAGCGACTTTACCATGGGGCTCATAGGGCACCCCTGCCCCCGCCCCCACCCCCACCCCTGCCACCGCCCCACCCTCCACCCCCACCAAACAAATAAACAAACCGAATCTTTAAGTTCCGTAATCGTACTAGTAATAATGATACCAGTGGATACTGTCTTACACAAGAACGAGCAAGACTCGTCGAGAATACGGATGATTGATTATGAAAACAACCCGAGGTGGAGGACCTCATCGAATACTGGCAGGTCAACACCCGGAGAAGTGCCTTGGAGCAAATCGAGAGATCGATGTTTGCTGGGAGCTCCAGGGTTCAACCGTTGAGATTCATAGGGTTTGGGGTTTGGGTTTAGGGTTTAGGGCTTTAGATGATCCAATGACGCAACCTTAGAGCTTAGGGTCTGTTGGGAAAGCAAATGAATCCCAAGATTGGGATCATGCAGTAACCCTAAACCCTAAACCACTTAGACCCTAAACCCAAAAACCCTAAACCCGTTAGACCCTAAGCCCTAAACCCTAAGCCCTAAACCCTAAACCCTAAACTCTAAACCCAACCCAAGTTCGGCGCAACGCTCCCAGAGTCATCTGGTCCATCTAGGTATCGCTTCATGGAAGAAGCCACAAACAGAAAACAAAAAAATGCCCTAAACCCTAAACCCTAAACCCTAAACCCTAAACCCTAAACCCTAAACCCTAAACCCTAAACCCTAAACCCTAAACCCTAAACCCTAAACCCTAAACCCTAAACCTAAACCTAAACCCTAAACCCTAAACCCTAAACCCTAAACCCCTAAACCCTAAACCCTAAACCCTAAACCCTAACCTGACCATTAGGGGACGTTAAGGCGCACTTCGAGTCACTTCGAGATTCTCAAGAGGGGTTCCTGGTCCACGTACATGCCTTACGGATTCGAGTAGCACGGGGTCTATGATCCGCCCCCCCCCCCCCCCCCCCCCCCCCCTCCACCCCACCCCCCCGCCCCCTCCCCCCACCCACAAAAAAAGAGATGCCCACGCAAGCACCCTCGAGCCTACAGGCCTCTTCCAAAACTGGGTCCTATACGAGACCACCACAGACCCCATAAACCGTATGAATAAACTCTATAAACACTACGAACCCCATAAACCCTCAACCCATGAGAGGCTACAAAGCACAGCGCGCCCAACTGCGGAAGAAGCAAGTGGCGCGGCACATCGCCACGACCTGGCTTCTTGGTGTTGGATTCTTGTGAAGGCCTCGCCTAAAGCCCCCAAAACTCACGACCTTGAGGGGAGCGAATGACCCGCTAGAAGGGTCTTTGGCCCCATACTGCAGGAAAAGGGTACACAGGACCTTCATAGTGTTTATGGTCCATGCAACCTTCATCTAGGGTAGGGTCTATATAGGCCCCCCCCCCCCCCCCCCCCCCCCGAGGGCGACCCCCCGCAAGAAGCGGCGAGCAAAGGATTAGCACCTCGAAGGCCTCGAAGAATCTGAGCCCGGGCCCTAGATCAGTGTGAGGGTGTTACGGGGAAAGGGTGTGAGGGTGTTATAAGGTGTTAGGATGTTAGGGTGTTGGGGTGCTGGGGTGTGAGGGTGGTAGGGTTTCGGGATGCCATTTCTCTTCCACTGCTTGTGGCCGTTTGCATCTCTTGAGACCCCGGCTGTAGGGGGTTCAGCGTTCAATTTCTAAACACTAAACCCTAACCGGGCTCTGTGCAGGGCTGGTGGGTAGACTTTGGGAAATGCCCCTTAAGAGGGCTTCTGAGTGTGTTTTCTAGCCTGTGTATTCTGGGACAAGCTGCTTTAAGAGGGTTTAGGAGTCTTTCAGGTGCCACCGACATCCTTGGGACTGGGACCCAGAGTGGGCCCCGAAACCTTAAACCTTAAACCTTAAACCCTAAACCCTAAACCCTAAACCCTAAACCCTAAACCCTTGCCCCCTTTTTCAGGGTTTGCAGGTCCCCTTTTCAGACCCAAGGCCCCCCCCTGGCCAGGTAAGTCGCAGGCCATCTTGAGTCGGGGTGTCAAAAAAGCAACTCGGCCGGCAGCAGAGGCCTTGCGGCCCAAGGTGTGGCCCTGAAAGGGTTTAGGGTTTAGGGTTTAGGGTTTAGGGTTTAGGGTTTAGGGTTTAGGGTTTAGGGTTTAGGGTTTAGGGTTTAGGGTTTAGGGTTTAATTAGGGTTCAGGGTTTCAACCTTCTCGTCAAACCAATGGACCCACTGGACCATCGCAGGTCAAAGCGCAGAAGTATGGCCACTTGCCAGCAAGACGCTTTCTTGGGGACTACACGAAGCCCCCTAAACCCTAAACCCTAAACCCTAAACCCTAAACCCTAAACCCTAAACCTCAAAGGGTTTTGTGGTCCACAGGCCTTCTTTGGGAACATCGTCGCACAGCGTCTACTGCTACTTGCTTAAGAACCCTTAAACAAATGACAAGAACCCCCCCCCCCCCATATTCCATCTTGCTTTTTGTTGGGGGGGCAAACGGTAGTCTGTAATCGTCCATCATCCGAACGTTCGGAGTTGATTTTTGGCCCCCACAAGAACGACTCCCGCGTTTGGACTGTGGACCCCTCAAGCAAACCTAAGCCCTATAAACCCTTACCCTACAAACCCTATAAACCCTCTAAACCCTCTAAACCCTCTGATCCGTGTAAACCCTAAACCCGATAAACCCTAAAAACCCTAAACCCTAAATCCTGTAAACCCTACAAACCCTAAACCCTATAAACCCTATAAACCCTATAAACCCTATAAACCCTATAAACCCAATAAACCCAATAAACCCAATAAACCCAATAAACCCTATAAACCCTATAAACCCAATAAACCCAATAAACCCTATAAACCCAATAAACCCAATAAACCCTATAAACCCAATAAACCCAATAAACCCAATAAACCCAATAAACCCAATAAACCCAATAAACCCAATAAACCCAATAAACCCAATAAACCCAATAAACCCAATAAACCCAAATCCTAACCTATAAACCCTACACGCTAAGCCCCGAACCCTCAGAGAGAGCATCTGCTGAGGCAAGAAGGACACGGAATGAGTCCACGGTTTAGGGTTTCGGGTTTAAGGCTAGGGTTTAGGGTTTAGAGTGTTCTCCCTGGTACGCAGAAGCGTGCATGTAGAAAGAGAGCACCTGGAGTAGAAAAGAGGTGCAACAGGAAGCTGCGCAACAGCTTTTCTGTCTATTCATGGGTGGTATCTTGGGAACCTACCACAGGGGCTCGAAACCAGCGGCTGCCATTGCGTTAGTTGCCCACGCTGGGCAGGGGCAGCCCCATCTCCTGCTTTTCTTTATCTTCGGGATACTTGGGAATAATCACCTTTGGGTACTCCAATTCCTAAGAAACAGCCAAACAAAGTAATTTTTGCTACCCAAAAAAAACGAAGGCGCGCTGCCACGCGTTAACGCATCCTCAGGGTCGTAACCTGCCGCGTAGCGGCATCCAAGCGACCGCCCGGTGCTTGAAGCACTGCACGGAGAATTTCGGCTGCAGGTGGCCTCTGGTTCAAGGTTTAGGGTTTAGGGTTTAGGGTTTAGGGTTTGGGGTTTAGGGTTTAGGGTTTAGGGTTCAGGGTTCAGGGTTCAGGGTTCAGGGTTTAGGGTTCAGGGTGTAGGGGAAGCTTGGGGCCCTATTGTTATAAGGGTCAGGGGCATTATTTCATGTAAACATATGCAAACTTTTCTGAAGGGGTGCATGAAGGAGTGGTTTTTCCCTGCAGCCGAGTTCCTCTTCAGGAGTGCAGAGCTTTGCGCCAAGCGCGGCTTTGCATTCCTCTGAGGTCTTGTTTGCAAGCAGGCCTGGAGCCCTCGGGGGCCTCCACGGCACTGCTTGAAATCAACGACCTTTGCAAATGCTCCACACGCGATCGAGGCCCGGAAACTTCCCTACCAAACCCGAAGCCGTAGACCCCAAACCCTAAACCCTAAACCCTAAACCTTAAACTGTATACCCTAAAACCCTACAGTAGCCCTAAAGGCCTTTGCAACCGCTGTGTGCCCCGGCTGCGAGCCCCTCCGTGCCCCACGCTCCCAGTAGCACCAAGTTTCTACCCTCTAAGTGCATTCCGTGCCTCAGACGCAGTGTGTTTAGGGTTTAGGGTTTAGGGTTTTAAGGTTTTTTTCTTGAGGGGGTGGTCCCATCATTGAGCACACCCGACGGTGCCTCTTGAAGACACAATGTTGAGAAAAAGTGCTCCGGGATGCAATCCCTCCACCCGAATAATCCTAAAGCCCTAAACCCGAAAAACGCCTCGTCGCACTGAAGCCCAAATCTCTAGGAGTGGTTTTCGCTTCAGTTGTTTTTTTGGTTTGGGATTTCGGATTTAGGATTTAGGGTTTAGGATTTAGGGTTTAGGGTTTAGGATTCGGGGGGGGGGGGGGGTTGGGGGTTGTGTAATTGTCCCCGGAGCCCGTACGCAGCAGACTTGACATTGAAGAGCCCAATGAACCTTAAACCCTAGACCCTACAAACTTCCAAGCCTCGAGCCCTTGCTTCGGAAATTGGCTTCGGACCCCAACCCCATGCAGCCGCAAGAAGCCACAGGCACTACATGACCCAGGCTTTTTCGGGACGATGAAACCCTAAACCCTAGACCCTAAACCCTAAACCCTACACCCTAAACCCTAAACCCTGAACCCTAAAAACCCTAATGGGTTTGGGGCTTTAGGGACCCAGGGCTTGGGGGGTCGAAGAGGCCCCGAATACTGTTTTGCGTGCATGCCGGTGGCTCAAGGGGTCTGAGACTCTCAAGGGGGAGGTAGGGGGTTTAGGGTTTAGGGTTTAGGGTTTAGGGGAGGCAGAAAGCTCGGTCGACTTGCGTTGTCGGGCTTAGAGCGCCACGAGTCCAAAAAATCACTGCCCCGAAATCCTCGACACACTCGTTGAGGGGTTTAGGGTTTAGGGTTTAGGGTTTAGGGGTCTCTTTGAATAGTTAATTCATTCTGGGGTTCCTGAGCGCCTGGCACTCCAAAGCTGGGGTTGCTGGGGCGCCGTTTGGACGAGGTCCGCTGGAGTTCACTCGGTCAGTTTAGGGTGGAGGGTTTAGGGCTTGGGGTTTAGGGCGTTTCCAAACTAAGACTACGCTTGCACTGCCAGTTCTTGCCTTGAGGGTACAAAGGACTCCGGTTGATGTGATCTGTCCGTTTGCACGCTTTGCTGGGCCAAGCCAATTTCGGCACAATTCCGCTGGGCTTTCAGGTGGGTGGTAAGTTGTGCCTGGTTTTGGCTTGCCTAGCTGTAACTTCTGTTTGCTTGACTTGTAACTTGTTTCTGTTGCGCCTCAACATTCCCCCCCCCCCCCCTCCTGGCAAGGTGAGCCTCCTGAATCGCGTTCGAAGTGTTGAAGCGGTTTCGGGTTTAGGGTTTAGGGTTTCGGGTTTAGGGTTTGGGGTTGCTGCGGGGCAAGCCCTAAAGAGAAACATGGTGTTGGCCGGGAAGCCTCCAATGGTTCCTGCCAGAAGCCGAGAAGGACGTGGCAAGCCGCAAATCCTCGGGGGTGGGAAGCCCCAAGCCCTGAAGACCCTAAATGGAGATGTTGGGTGGCACACCCTAGACCCTAAAAAGATTTGTTTGGATGACAGGCGTAGCCCCCCCCCCCCCCCCAAAAAAAAAAAAAGAGAGCAAAGGTGAAATAGAAACATAAGGATAGATAGAAGTTGCAACTAAGCAAGGTGTGTAGCTACCCTTTCGAGTTACAACCCAGTAGTTTTGACACATTGCCCTAGAAAGTTGCGAGTCCCAACGCCTAAACCCTAAACCCCAAACCCTAAACCCTAAACCCCAAGGGCTCGTTTGGGGAATCTGTCGGCGCACTCTGCCCTTGTCTTGCAGGCTGCGGGGGCATGGAGAGTGGTGCTGCGGAGGACTCCAGCCGCACCTACCCCTAAAAACCCTAAGCTCTAAGCCCTAAATCCGAAACCGTAAGCCCCATTATATGCCCTAAAGGCTCTGATCCCCCCAATGCCTAGAGCCGAAACGCTTCACCTCAGTTCAGGAGAGACCCCAAAAGGGTCAATGCGGGCCAGAGGATATGTGAGAAACAAAAGATGAATTAGCAAGCGGCGCAGCACTTTGCAAAGACGATGCTGATATGATGGAGCTTGGTCAGGATGCAAGGTTTTGAAGCAAGCTCGTGTGCGCGGCTTCAAAATTGTAAACGCTTGCGCACGCCGCCTCGGCAGCCGGGCCGGCCCCAGGACAGGAAAGGAGGAAAGAGGGTTTCGCAAAAAAAGGGGAGGAAGGGCAGCGGGGTTAAAGGGGGGGGGTGGGGGGGTGGGGGGGGGGGTGGGGGGGGGGGTGGGGGGGGGGGGGGGGGGGGGGGGGGGGTGGGGGGGGGGTGGAGGGGGTAAACCCTAAACCCTAAACCCCATGGGCTCCCTAGGATGCCCACATAGATGGCGAGCTCCGCGAAGCAGCGGGGACGCTCGGCAGCTGCAAGTTGCTCTGGTTCGGCTTTCGCGTCTTGGGGTTGTGGGGTTTTAGGGTTTAGGGGTTTAAGGGCTTTAGGGTTTAAGGGCTTTAGGGCTTTAGGGCTCCAGGGGTTTAGGGTTTGAGGATTGGAGGGTTTGAGGGTTTGAGGGTTTGAGGGTTTGAAGGTGTCAGGTTTAGGCTTTGAGGGTTTGAGGGTTTGAGGGTTTTGAGGACCCAGTGCGACTGCATCATCAGACTGTGTCCCCGATCGGGTACGCAAGAACAGGTTTCTAGATTCTCGAACCAGGTCCCCGGTGGACCCACATGTCCTGATAGCCCAGGCGCCTGGAGAATGACATGTTGCAACGGAAGATCGATGCGTTGCTTCGAGACGTTGCTGGCATCTGCGACGGCGCGGAGGAGAGTATCCCTAAACCCTAAACCCTAAACCCCAAACCCTAAACCCTAAACCCTAAACCCTAAACCCTAAACCCTAAACCCTAAACCCTAAACCCTACAACCCTAAACCCTGCAACCCTAAAACCCTAAAACCCTAAACCCCGAGTTGCCCAAGCAGGATGAGGCGTCTTCCTGGGCCCTGATGCCGGCGCACGGCATACCGGAGCCTCAGCCGGAGCAGAGGGACCTGGGCTATGGCCACGAAGAGCCAAGCCCAGCCACCACTTCCATGCAACTAGGATGCCCAGTAGTACCCTTATTCCCTTTTTGGTAGGTTTAGGTTCCCTTTATAAACCCCAAGTACCCTTATTCCCTTTTTGGTAGGCTTAGTTTCCCTTTATAAACCCAATTTAAGCAAAAAAAAGGGGGCACCCTTTTTCATCCTAGGTTACTGGGCAAGCTAGGCAAGAGGAGACCCTGCGGAGTTTTCCTCCCAGGAGGACGAAGAAAGAGCCGAGGCGCCGGGAAGAAGCGCCCAGGCCGCCGCGAAAGAAGCGGGCCATGGACTGCTCGAGGATCGGAAACAGCTTCTTATCGTAGTAGAGTAGGTAACCTTTGACCTTGTTTGTTATGGCCTTGTATAGTCCCTGTAGAATCCCAAAGGTTGTAGTTTAGTTGTAGGATGCTGGACAACTTAAGGCTTGAAGGAAGATCTTCACAGCTGCGAGTTGCAAGATGCCATCTTCAATGAGGTGCAGGAAGGTATCGTCAGGAGCGAGGGCAGGGGTCCGAATGGCAGCGTGGAGATGTCCATGGCTGTGCCACATCTCAAGCGGGCGCGTGTGAAGCTGCTGCTCCCACGCAATCTTCACCAATTGAAGGACGGTCGGGCCATGGCCCAGCAGCTTCTCTCTGCCCTGCTGCTCCTTCGCTTGCTGCACCCGACGCAAGCAAGAAGATCTTCCTCCGGAGATACTTCAAGCAATTCCGAACGCGTCCTCCCGGCCATCCCTACGGTGCTGCTGCAGCACCTGCCTTGCGAGGAGAAGGCGCTGATGGAGGACCTTGCACAAGCCCTGCTCCAGCAGCCGATGTCCTTCGCGAAGCTGGGCTCCTCCTTCGGCAAGCGCTTCTATATCCCCCCTTGGGAATTATTTGATTATTTTTGTTTATGTAAAACCCAAGAGGATATTCAGAATGTTATGTTTATGAAGGTTCTAAGGGGAGTATAGGCTTCAAGCGGCTCCGCACCGGGAAGAAGTTCTGTGAGTGGCTGCAGACGATCCCCGGCATCCAGTTGCCCTCAACACTGGACTTCCGCCAAGCAACGGACCTCCAACTCTCCTTCGCCCGGCCTGGTCCCTTAGGGATACTTGGGAAGGATTTTGTTGTTGAACAGTAATTAATCATTAATTTTTGGCACTATAATTACATTTTTTTGTTTTTTGGGCACTCTAATTCCTAAGAAACAGCTGAAAACTATGCATTTTGCTTAGGTTTTCCAGTATAGGTCCAGGAAGTCCAAGCTTGAAGCCCATGCCGGCGGAGTTGCTTCAAGAGCGCCTGGCGCGTCCCAGGCGCCGCGGGTCGCTCCAGGCCAAGAATCGTAAGAGGGCCGAGACTTGGTGGCCCAGTGGTGTAGGGTTTAGGGTTTAGGGTTTAGGGTTTAGGGTTTAGGGTTTAGGGTTTAGGGTTTAGGGTTTAGGGTACCCTTTACCTTTTTTTTGGGGGGTTCTGGCTGGCCTTATAAAATAACCAACCCAAAAGGGTGCCCTTGTTATGATATGGTTACTGGGCTACTAAGGAGAAGGCCAGCAAGGCCAGTGCCTCCCGGCCAGAGCAGCCACGGGCTTATGGCCACATAGCTGAAGGGTGGTAGGTTGCACCCAGATCCCTGCAAGATCCTCGAGCCTCGCACGCCCAAAAAGGAGGCAGCGCACAATCAGCTTTAGGTTTAGGGAACGTTCCAAGGCTCTGAAACTTCAGCAAGTGTTTAGGGTTTAGGGTTTAGGGTTTACGGTGACAGAGTTATTTGGGGGGGTTTCCGAAATGAAGGGTACCTCGTTGGCGTTCTTAATTATTCTAAGGGAATCCTACAATGTTGGGGTCCCTATTCGGGGTCCCTTGTTTTCGTAAACCCCCCCATGTGGATCTTTTTGCATCTGCGGATTCTGTGGTGATGTGTGGGTGTTCTTGGCTTATGAAGCAGAGGTCCTGGCTGAAGGCTATACCTTTCCTCGCTCGCGAATCCAGTCCTGAGCTTCTGCAGTCTTCCTGTGCTTCGAGCATGAAAGGGCGTCGATACGTCTCGACACCCATGTGGGACCATGAGCATCCCCAAACCCTAAGCCCTAAGCCCTAGACCCTAGACCCTAGACCCTAGACCAAACACCCTAAACCCCAAACCCCTTGCTTCCCTATGGCTCTCCTCTGTAACACTAAGCCCCCCCAAGCAAAATAAATAAATAAGATATGTATATATATATATGTACATGTACATGTATAGGTATATGTGTGTATATATACAGATATATGCAAATATATAGATGTTTCCCTTAACATACGACATACTGAACCCTCGGCACCTCCACGTTGTCCAGCATTGTCGGCCATTGGAATGGCAACCTTCCGGCTTGCCCTGGCCTTGACCGCAATCTTTCCATCGCATCGCGACGGCTTGTTTAGGGTTGAGGGTTTGGGTTTTGGGGTTTTGGGCTTATGGTTTAGGGTTTAGGGGTTCAACCATACAGTTTTCCGGGAGAGGACGGGGGGGGGGGGGAGGGTTCTTGAGGAGTTCTGCCCCTCAACTTTAACCCCTCACACCTCCAAGTCCTGAATGTGAAGCCGGTTATAGGGAACCCTGGTTTTGGGTGTTTAGGGTTTAGGGTTTAGGGTTTAGGGTTTAGGCTTTAGGCTTTAGGGTTTAGGGTTTAGGGTTTAGGGTTTAGGGTTTTGTGGCTTCTAGGCTTTGGTGCGGTTTACCTGCTGCACTCCTCCTGGATGGGCTTCCACCGCCACAGCAGATTCAAACATCCTGTGAGCGAAGCAACCCTACATCGCATCAGAGCCCAGCTCAGAAACCGATCCGAAACGGGGTTAGGGTTTTCAGGGTTTAGGGTTTAGAGTCTAGGGTTTATAGCGTTTAGGGTGTAGGGTGTAGGTTTTAGGGTTTAGGGTTCAGGGTTTAGGGTTTAGGGTTTAGGGTTTGGGAGCCCAAATCCTCCATTGACCCCCCACCCCCCCCCCCCCCCCCCCCCCCCCCCCCCAAGACCGCCTTGCTTTGCAACTGGAGGCACCTTAGGGATGCCGGGGATTGTTTCTTGCCTTTGGGGTACATTAATTCCTAAGGAACAGCGAAAAGTATCATTTTTGCTAAACGTTCACTGAACCCTAAACCCGAAACCCGAAACCCTAAACCCTAAACCCTAAACCCTAAACCCTAAACCCTAAAGTTCACTGAAGGCACAGCTGGGCCCTCATCGACACAGTTCTGGAGAAGGCCGGGCGGCGGCTGCCGCGAGGTGGGATCTCTGGGCTCAAGAGGGTTGTTAGGGATGTTTGGGGTTTAGGGGTTTGGGGTTTGGGGTTTAGGGTTTAGGGTCTAGGGTTTAGAGCAACATGTACGCAATTGGGGGGTCCCGACTGTTCAGTCCTTCTTACAAGGAGCCCATCAACAACCCTAAGCCCAACATCTTGAAGAGGCAGGGGCGCGAATTCTGAGCCCCAGCTCTTGCAGCCCAAACCCGCGGCCTACTCACCCTTACCTTGGGAAGCCTAAACTTGTTGAGGGGTTCATTTGGAGTCCCCAAGCTAGGAACACAAGATCAGCACCCGAAACCCTAATTTTAAACCCTAAACCCTACACCCTAAACCCTAAACCCTAAACCCTAAACCATAACCCCTAAACCCAATATCAACTACAAGCACCACAGGCCGCTCAGTCGAGTGGCGCTGGCCGGGCCCTGCCCTGATTCGTTTCAATGTCACTTCCCAGGACGCTCCGCGAAAAGGAAGGGGGGGTGGGGGGCTCAACAGGGTTTAGGGTTTAGGGTGTAGGGTGTAGGGTTTAGGTTTAGGGTTTAGGTTTAGGGTTTAGGGTTTAGGGTTTAGGGTTTAGGGTTTAGGGTTTAGGGTTTAGGGTTTAGGGTTTAGGGTTTAGGGTTTAGGGTTTAGGCAGCTCTCAGAGGGTTATCTACCTTGGTTGGGGACCCTGAAAGGGTTTGTGTTCCTCTATAGCTTAGGAGGGATTTTCGGTATCGTGTAGGGGAAATGACTCCAATTTAGGGTTCATTGGGTCCCCAGAAAAAGTGATTCGTAAACCCTGAAGCCTGAAGTGTTTTCCTGCTTCCCTCCCAAGTTCTTCGTTCTGCGTACAGGGTTTAGGGTTGAGGGTTTAGGGGGTACCAGAAGTCAAGAGTACTCAGACCGGGCCCCTGATGCTGGGGGCGAGCTTGCGCGTTCAAGGCTGATGGCTAGTAGGGTATGCGCAATACTCCTTAGCTGAGAAGGTAACCTTTAACCTTTGGGGTGTATATATATATATATACTCCTACCACAATTGCAAGGTGAACCTTTTTTGGTCCAGGGCACTCAGCAATCAGGACAAGCAGACACGGGAGAATATCTTCGAGTCTGATTGCGTTTGGGTGCTTTCGGAGTCCTGACAGTGCTGGGTTCAAGTGTGTAGTGCCATGCCGTACGGATGAAATGGACCAGCATCAAGTCTTACAAATGAAATCCCAGAAGCGCCAAGCGACCCTGCGGCACCCTCCCGAAACCCCTAAGCCCTGAAGCCGGGAGCAGACGAGGATGGAGCCCCACTGGATTTCTACGTGATGTCCGGCAGGCTACGAGATCCCTGGCCGATGGAAGCCCGAAGCAAGTAGCAGCACGAATCATAAACCCCCATAGAAGTATAAAAAGAAAAAAACATATACCACTAAGATAAAATTACACCACCGAAGACCCAAACAGTCAAAGCCACGTCAAAGAAACAGTGGAGACAACGGGAGACCAAGGGAGACGAAGGGAAACGAGGACCCGGCAACGCCACCCACATGAAGGGAGACAAAGGGAGACAAGGAGCCCAGGAACCCGGCAACAGTCCTCAGAATGTCGGCAATCCTGAAATGAATTTAGAACCCAACAGCAGACTGTTTGGGGAACTATAGCTATTCTAGCTCTTCAGGCCCCTGTACTACATTAGGAGCCTGTACCTTGGGGACTAGCTGAACCCTAACCTTGGGGTCATATAATACCCTATACTATAGAAGATCCGCCTCAGAGCGGCACCTTGAACCCTAAAGTCAAAACCCCAAACCCTACACCCTAAACCCTAAACCCTAAACCCCAAACCCTAAACCCTAAACCCTAACCCCGAACCCCTGAAGCCCCAAAACTGGCAATTCTCTTGCCTTCCCAGGACGTGCGGCCTCGCAGGGGTTGGCTCCGGGGCTTGAATCCAGCAGCTCTGGCCCGATGCGGAGATTTTTGGGGGGTTTTGGGTTTTTAATCCGAGCACCTGTTAAATTGGGCCATAGTGGGCCCCTCCCCCCCCACCCCCGCCACAATAAGAAAGGCAGGGGTTCCGCAACAATTGGACCATGGCCCTGTATTGATTCTCTATTAAAACAAAAGGAATGTATTGAAAACAAGAGGGCTCCCCTCCAGGGCCTCCCATATCTGTGGTCCCTTTTTGTAAATGTGATGCTGTCTTTGTCGGGCAGAGCCCATAAGGGGTAGTTCAGGAATGAATGAAACTTCTCTCCTCCAGTAAGCAATCACATAAGAAATCCTAGCTTTCTGAAGGGCCTCAGCTTCTAGAAAAATAAAATTTCAGCTTCATTAAAGCTGCTACTTTTACGATGTGTAGTTTCGCCGAAGCAAACTGCAGCTCACCAAAAAAAAAGAAAGCCGACAGTTTACCCCCCCCCCCCCCCGGAGAAAAAAAAATCTGTAAATTTGGTGGTATTGGCCGATGCGAAAACTCCGGTAATGGAGTCTTTCGGCGGGCTTCTCGACAAAAAAGAAAACTTTAAATGTGGAGGTATTAATTACACAGGTGCTCGGATTAAGTAGGATGGCGTGTGACGTGGGCTGAAGCCCGTTGCCTTCTAGTCGGAGACCTGCGCACGTGTACAAGAGCCCTAAACCCTAGGAGGGGGTTCAAGGGGGTATGTCTCCCAAGGTTCCCTAATGCTCCCCGCTATTCCCTCAAGCTTCCCTAGCACCTACCCCCTCAAATTCCACTCGAAAAGAGTACCGGGCCGCGCCAGATGCCAAACTTCCAAACCCTAAACCCTAAACCCCTGAACCCCTAAACCCTAAACCCTAAACCCTAAACTTCCTGTAGTTCGATGAGTCGAAGTTTAATTAAGGCCGGCGCGCTGGGGTCCCCAAGCTGAGGTGTGCAGTCAGTGCACTGAGCTGCACTGGCAATATCAGCTTCAAGAGCATGAGAGAGTCATGCTGATCGCGAGCAACGAGGCCCCCCTAAACCCTAAACCCTAAACCCTAAACCCTAAACCCTAAACCCTAAACCCTAAACCCTAATTAAACCCTAAACCCTAAACCCTCAACCCTAAACCCTAAACCCTAATTAAACCCTAAACCCTAAACCCTAAACCCTAAACCCTAATTAAACCCTAAACCCTAAACCCTAAACCCTAAACCCTAAACCCTAAACCCTAAACCCTAAACCCTAAACCCTAAACCCTAAACCCTAAACCCTAAACAGCTTCAGGTTGAAGGGTTTGAAAGGGCTGTGCCCTGCACAGGTATTCTTGTGGGCGCCAAGCTATGCAGTTAATATAGGGGTCGGAATAATTACAGATAGGGTTTAGGGTTTAGGGTTTAGGGTTAATGTTCCCTCATGATCCTTGTATACTTATACTACACCCCCAAAACCCTATTCTAATTCTGAAAGCCCCTGTCCTTAGAGACACGGCAATTTTGGGATGTTCCCCCGTCTACTAGCAGTCCCATAATCCCCATTCTGGGCTGTTAGTATAAGGGGGAACATCCCAACTGCAAGTCATTGCTGCTGGTATTGTTTGAGCCACAAAGCGGCCATGCATCAAACCTGCGCGTCATTGGCGCCCTCATGGGAGGAAGCCCTAAACCCTCCCTAAACCCTAACCACTTTTCAACTACAGCCCCAGATTGTGATCGCCATGATCCCGAAGCAAGGATGCAAAGGGTGCCTGAGCTTTTTTTGACAGATAAACAAACAGCAAAGTGACTAAGAACCCATCAAACAACATCTCTGTAAAAACACTAGACCCCCCCCCCCCCCGCCAGGCCCTAAACCCCAAACCCTAAACCGTAAAATGGGTCCTCTTTGGGGCAGCGCGGGGTCTTTTCGAGGACGGCCGCGCCGATGCGAAGCTGGAGTTCACAGAGGCCTTGCCGCTCACTCGCACCTTAAGTAAGGGTTTAGGGTTTAGGGTTTAGGGTTTAGGGTTTAGGGTTTAGGGTTTAGGGTTTAGGGTTTAGGGTTTAGGGTTTAGGGTTTAGGGTTTAGGGTTTAGGGTTTAGGGTTTAGGGTTTAGGGTTTAGTTCAGAGGGTGGGTTCAGGGTGTGTAAGGGGTTTAGGGTTGACGGCTGAGGCGTACTGTTCCTGTGGGCTAACCTTGGGGCCTACATGAACCCTAAAATTGGGGTCATATACCCTATACTTCTATACTCCCTCTTCAGGTATATGAGCCATAAACCCTTTTCCGGTTCCTTGGTCCCCAAGGAAGTGAGATTCAGGGTTTTTGGGGGTTGGATTTGGCGGGTATCCGGGTGCCGGAGAAGATTGAGGTGTTCAGCCTTTTCGCTCAAAACCTTTGTAGGGTTCAGGGTTTGGGGCTCGGGGTTTAGGGTTTAGGGTTGAGTTTGAGAGCCCAGACCCAGGTTTGGTGTGCAATCCTGCTTGGAGGACGCGGGCGAGCAGTTTTCAGAGGCGTAATGTCCTGACAGACAGATACTTTTGCAGTCAGACATACCTCTCTTTTTGTTGACAGCCCTTCCTTCTTCTGCGACCACTGCCGCCATATACAACCACCATGGCTGCGGCGACTTTCACTCGTCCCTGCGCACAAACGCGGAAGAAGCTAAGAGTCTAAAGCCCGGAAATTGCGACGTCTGACTGGAGCCCTTGTTGAAGACTCTTCTGGCGCAGTCTCTGGAAGCCCTAAACCTAAACCCCAAACCCTAAACCCTAAGCCCTAAGCCCGAAGCCCTAAGCCCTAAACCTCAGCCCTCAGCCCTCAGCCCTCAGCCCTCAGCCCTCAGCCCTCAGCCCTCAGCCCTCAGCCCTCAGCCCTCAGCCCTCAGCCCTCAGCCCTCAGCCCTCAGCCCTCAGCCCCAAACCCTACCCCCTAAACCCTAAGCCCTAAGCCCTAAGCCCTATAGGCCCTAAACCCGAGAGGAGTCCTCGGTCCATCCTGGGGGCTTCCTGGCCGCCTGCCTGGTGGCTGCTGGGCTCCTGGGCGGTGGCTTCGCCCTGAGCCGCAGGCTCGCTGATGAGCGGGGAGGCGCGAGGAAGACGCAGAAGGGCACGGTTTGGGGTTTAGGGTTTAGGGTTTAGGGTTGGGGTTTGGGTTCAGGTTTAGGGTTTAGGGTTCTGGCCACACAAGAGGGGGGGGGAGGTAGTATAGAGGGGGGTAGTAGGGGAACCCTAAACCCTAAACCCTAAACTCTAAACCCTAAACCCTAAACCCTAAACCCTAAACCCTAAACCCTAGGGGAATCCATGAAAGCAGGGCTTGAGACTGTGCCGCTGGAAAGCGTGAGGCTCGGATGCTCGCCCGTGGGATGAAGCCTGGGATCCTCATCTGGAGAGTGCGGGTTTAGGGTTTAGGGTTAGGGTTTAGGGTTTAGGGTTTAGGGTTTAGGGTTTAGGGTTTAGGGTTTAGGGTTTAGGGGTTTCGGGGTTTAGGGGTTTAGGGGTTTAGGGGTTAGGGGTTAGGGGTTTAGGAGACGGCCTTCAGGGTTTCGGGTCTGGGCGGTTTCGGGGTTTGGGATTTTTTTTTTTTTTTTTTTGGGGGGGGGGGGGGGGGGGGGGGTTGGGGTTGAGGTTGAAGGCTTTTTGGGTTTTGGGGTTTAGGGTTTATGAACTCAAAAATTGGGATCAGGGACTCTAACTACTATCATCCTTGCCGAGGTAAGAGGACCATAACAAGAGGTTTTGGGGGCTCTTTTGGTCCCCATTCGGTCGGCTTCCGGATTGTGGTCTTCAAACCTGCCTGGCACCCCAATTGTCATTCCTTTTTGCTGTACAGAGCTTAGGGTGCTTGCTCCTGTGAGGGTGCAGGGTTTAGGGTCTAGGGTTAAGGGTTTAGGGCTTAGGATTTAAGGCTTAGCCTTCAACCCTAAACCCTAAACCCTAAACCCTAAACCCTAAACCCTAAACCCTAAACCCTAAACGCCTTGCAAACCTCCCAGGTTCCGCAGGTGATGCAGTGTAAGAGGCCGCCAAAACCCGCGGAACCCTGGAGCCTCGTCCCATTTGATCGTCTTCTTTTCCTGGTACTAGGATGCCCAGTAGTACCCTTATTCCCTTTTGGGGGTTTAGGTTCCCTTATACACCCCTTTAATAAGCAAAAAAGGGCGCCCTTTTTAAGCCTAGGTTACTGGGCAAGCTAGGGTAGCTGGATGTTCCCCCTTATACTGACAGTCCTTACTAGGGAGGACTGTTAGTATAAGGGGGAATATCCCAATAGATAACCTTTCACCTTTTGGGGCGAAAATAATCCTGCCATAGTTGAAAGGTTAACCTTTTTTATGGACCAGGGTACTCAGCAACTGTTGTTTGTTCTAAGAAACATGCAACATACTGTAACATACCCCTACTGGGCATACCCTTGTACGGTAAAATCCTCCTTCGTATTCTCCTTTTGTAGGTTAAGTAAGGGGTATGGGTTTGGGTTGAATCATTTTTCTTTTTTTTATGTCTTATGGGGAAGACCCAAAGCCCTAAAGCCTAAACTATGAATGGGTCTTGGGGGGCATGTTGGGGGTGGGTTTAGGGTTTAGGGTTTAGGGTTTAGGGTTTAGGGTTTAGGGTTTAGGGTTTAGGGTTTAGGGTTTAGGGTTTAGGGTTTAGGGTTTAGGGTTTAGGGTTTAGGGTTTAGGCACAGTGGGTGGCTTAGGGGGGTTGTAGGCTTTTTGATGGGGGCTTCAGGGCATTCAGTTGAAGATGTTGGTTGTTCGGCATGTTGTTGTTTATAGGGTTCTCAAGGGATGGGGTCAAGGCGGGGTATGTATCCCTAATTCCCTACTACTCCCTCAGGCTCCCTAGGCTTGCCTAAGGTTCCCTAGGTACCTACCCCCCATGAACGCCCTTCCCTAAAGGACCCTACAATATGTTAAATCATGGGCCATGTGCCTCATATGCCCTTGGGGGCGCATTTGCCTGGGACCCGTGATATTTCCAATGGGACAAAGACGGGTTACGCACTTAAGGGCCCATACTAAGGGACAGCACGTTGCACCCGCATTCATCACATCCCCTGAACGGGGCGACCTGCAGACGCGAACCCTATGGTAGGAGTTTAGGGTTTAGGGTTGAAGGTTGAGGGTTTAGGATTTTCCAGGGTTTCCTTTGAACCTCGCTTGGAGGTTCATGGGTACTTAACACCCCACTTAGAACCTGCTTCGGGGGCTTCGGGGGAAGTACAGGTGTCGTTTCGGTTGTAAGCACCCTGAGCCTCCAAGCAAACTCCCCAGCACTGCAGCCCTAAGCCCCAAGCCCTAAACCCTAAACCCTAATCCCTAAACCCTAATCCCTAATCCCTAATCCCTAAACCCTAAACCCTAAACCCTAAACCCTAAACCTGAACACTCTGAGGAGAGCATGGATTCTGCACGCCTGCCTCCTGACATACCCGTGGCACCTTGGGCGCAGAGCGCGCGGTACCCGAAGCCCAAAGTGCGCCCAAGCCTCAAAAATCTCACGCCACTGTTTAGGGTTTAACGCACAAGGTCTACCTGGACGCCTATAAACATGTAAGAGGTAGCCCAAAACCTATAAACAAAACATCAGTTTCTTTTACATTCTTTGGGGTCTTGGTAGGCCCCCCCAAGCTCCGAAGCGCGCTTGCTTTTAGGCACCCTTGGCGCAACGATCCTTTGCCGTTCGCCTTCCGCTGTCTGGTGCTCGTGGTAAGCTGGGGCCTGACCCTCTTCCTGTCGACCCTCTATGGCGACCTCGTGGGCCAGTGCCTGGGACGTAGGGTTTAGGGTTTAGGGTTTAGGGTTTAGGGTTTAGGGTTCAGGGTTCAGGGTTTAGGGTTTAGGGTTTAGGGTTTAGGGTTTAGCCAAAGACCAAGGGTTCCAAGAGCACGAGCGCTTCTTTGGGTTCAAGGGCTCCAGGCCCTTGAAAAGCTCAGCGTGCGAGTATTGAGGAACCAGTGCGTCAAGGGTCAGCAGGGATGATCTGGACCGCCGGAGGGTCGCGGTAGAAGAGTAGAACAGATATAGGGGTTTTATTTAAGTAGAACATGCGCCCAGGTGGGACTACAGCGCCGGCGCCCTTACCTCGGAGGACCTGGATATCACTGACGACAGCGAGGGCGACTCTCTGAGCTTAGGCTCCGTGATGTTGATCTCGTCCCTCTCACTTGCCACTCGGCCGTCTCGGTTTGGGTTGAGGGCGGGTTTAGGGTTTAGGGTTTAGGGTTTAGGGTTAGGGTTTAGGGTTCAGGGAGCTGCATGGGCTTTGTCTATCCTACAGCTATAGACCAAGCCCTCAACTTCCCGGAATATCCCGGAATCCCAGGCTTCACCAGGAACCCCCTCCCAACTTTACGAAGGTCGTAAACCCCAAACCCCAAACCCCAAACCCCAAACCCCAAACCCTAAACCCTAAACCCCAAACCCTAAACCCTAAACCCTAAACCCTAAACCCTAAACCCTAAACCCTAAACCCTAAACCCTAAACCCTAAACCCTAAACCCTAAACCCTAAACCCTAAACCCTAAACCCTAAACCCTAAACCCTAACCCTAACCCTAAACCCTAACCCCTCTACGAAGGTCCTGGAGGCCGTGCTGAGGATCCTGGCGCTCAGCATCTTTCGGTGCAGCCTGGCGGCTTCACAAGCGCAGGGCAGGCGGGGAGCTCCTTCCAGCATGGGCTGTTAGGGTTTAGGGTGCTTTGGCAAAGCTCTGAGCATGTCCTTGTGACGCAACGGCGGAACTCCTGCGGCTTAATCCCTGCAAATACCTTAGAACCAACTTGGTCCTAAAGGGGTGCGTGGTCTACATTACCCCCCAACACCAGAATCCCGAAACCCTTCGTAGGGTCCTTTAAAAATGATAGCACCACCACAGGGCAGATGAACCCTCAAGAATTGGGATCATGGTCAGGTTTCATCTGCCCAAGGAACCCCCCTGTGATGGTATGACGGCGCGTTCTTTGGATCAAGCCGCAAGCATGCGGTCTGGGTATGGGAGGGTTTCGGGTGTAGGGTTTAGGTCCAGGTTTTGGGGTTTAGGGTTTGCTGTAACATGGCGCAGAAGCTGTGAAGGTTGGGATGCAGACTAGGCTCGAAAGCTTCGTGAAGTGCGACGAGCAGCCCCGGCCCGATTGTGGAGGGCCATCTAGCATTTCGCCATCTCAGGCGGCAAAACCACCCGAACCTATTCCGTTTAGGGTTTCAGCCTCAACTCAATTCAACTGCCTCCTTCAATGCTTCCTCCATCCGGTTGACGGGTCCTAAGACAGGGCTTCACGGGTTCTCAAGGTAAGTCCTCCGATATTGAGGAGTTTCGGGCCTAAACCCGAAACAGTTCATCGAATGCCCAGGCGTTTCGAGATCAAAGCCAGCGCCATGTTTGTGGCAGCGGCCGTTGTGGCAGCTCAGCCGACGTTTCATTTTCAGGTTTTGGCCTTGAGGCTCTGGATGGTGCGTCTTCTCGCAATCCGCCCCGGAATTGTGTCTTTTTGAGGCAAGGGGTGTCAGTTCAGGGGTTCAACACACTCTAAACCCTAAGCCCTGCATGAACCCGAAACCCGAAACCCTAAACCCTAAACCCTTATCAAAACAGCCTCAACCCAATTCATGCAAGGCCACCTGCATCATGTATCCCCTCTCGCTGGTACTCGCGGATCGCCGGTGCCGCTACGTCCGCCGCCTCCTTCTGCAGATTCTTGGCTTATCAGCAACCTTGGGGGGACGGAAGGAGCCCCAAAATTGGCATCCTCTACGATGTAGGGGTTTACGAAAATAAGGGACCCCTAGAATAGACCCTAAGAATTGACCCCAATAAGGTCCCCCTCAACTCGGAAACCCCAATATTCGACTGTACTCCTTAATAATTTAAAGGTTTCTGGCGGTTTTCTGAAATTTGGGGTACCTCATGGGGTCCCTGATAAGGGAATCCTACTATTTGGGGGTCTATATTAGGGGTCCCTTATACTATTCGTTCCCTCCCATTGGAGCATTTTGAGCTGCCTACTCATGTTCTACTGTTTGCTAAAGAACACCCCCCCCCCTCCCCCAGCCCAGAAGAAAAATGTTCTTCCCTAGATGGTAATAAGGGCAGAGTGATTTTGCGTTTTCTGGTGTTCTTAAGCAAGTAGTAGTCTTGAATTCTTCGCTTGCCACACGAAATGCCCAGAGACCCACACCCTCCCATCCTGAAACCACGTTCCACCATCACAGGTCCCCTGAACCCTGAACCGAAAACCCTAAACCCTAAACCCTAGTCACCTAGTCGAGGCCAGCTGGTCCTCCAGAGGAAAAGCAAGCGCCGCCCAGGTTCTTTGTGTCGGACCTGGTCCGCGGGCTCCCCCTGGCGGCTGCGGTCGCTACGACATGGCAACTTCTCGAAATTATGGGTCCCGTTTGGGGTTACGATTATAGATATATTATCTATATATTTATATAGAAATATGGCAACTTCTCTAAATTATGGGTATGTTTTGGGTTGAATATGTATATGTATGTATGTATATGCATAGGGATATGGTAACTTCTCGAGATGATGGTCCCTTCTGCGGATACTATATATGGTAGCTTCTCTAAATTATGGTCCCTTTTGGGGATAGTATATATGGTAGCTTCTCTAAATTATGGTTTCTTTTGGGGTTGCTATTCGGCTGTTCCCCCTTATACTAACAGCCCTTAAGCGGGAATATCACCCCCCCCCCGCCTATTCTAATCCCTATTAAGGACTGTTAGTATAAGGGGGAACACCTCAAGGCCGCGACTACAAGACGGGCCCCTAATACTTAAGGGCACCCAAAACAAGACTGAGAACTGACCACATGGCTTCTCGGGTTCAGGGGGGAGGCATTTTTTGGGGGGATTTAGGGGCGTAATTACGGGTATCGTCTAGGGGTTTTGGGGCTTTAGGGGTTTGTGTACCTTTTTTTCTCCGGGCCGAGTTTCGCAGAAAGGCCTGAGCCCGGCATTCAAGGGTTTCAAGGTTTGGGTTTTGGGTCTGGACTTGAATTTCAAAACCTCTGCATCGGCTCAGGAGCATCGGCTCAGGACCAACTGCTTCTACAGGTCTGGAGGGGGGGGGGGGGGGGGGGGGAGTGGGGGGGAGGGGGGGGGGGAGGGGGGGGGAGGGGGGGGAGGGGGGGGGGGGGGAGGGGGGGGGGAGGGGGGGGAGGAGGGGGGGGGGGGCGAGGGGGGTGAGGGGGGGAGGGGGGGGAGCCGAAGGGGGGGGGGAGGGTGGGAGGGGAAGGGGGAGGGGAAAACCCTCCCCCCCCTCCCCCCCCCCAAGAACTGAGTCTGCCATCACAATCCCTGAGCATCAGGCATTGTGATGCATGGCTGTCTCAGAAGACCCTGCACCTACACTCTAAAATCTAAACCTGACACCCATAAGCGCGGCCTTTAAGACCCCTTTTAGGTCCTTTAGGGACCAAATGAACCCCAACAATTTTATGGTTCATGTACCCTAAGGAGGACTCCAGTAGCATAGGGCATCTGATCCCGATTTTAGGGTTCATTGGGTCCCCAAAGTATCTAATAAGGCCTTTTAAGCCCTGAAGCCCAACACCCAAAAAAAGCCCCTTAAGACCCCATCAGCCTTATGTATTTGGCAATTGTCATGCTACTTGGCTATGACTAAGTTAGAATCTAGTTAGGGCACTTACAACCCTACTTATAACTACCCATGAACCTGCAAGGTACCTGGTTCATTGTTTTAACTCATTTTACATTTTTATGAACACTTAGGCCTAAAACAGAATGCAAGTGACCGGTGAACAAATACCCCAACAATGGTGCAGGTACCTGGTGCTCTCAGGTATCCCATGCTACTATAATACTCCTTAGGGTACCCCAAACCCTAAACCCTGAACCCTGAACCCTGAACCCTGAACCCTAAACCCTAAACCCTAAACCCTAAACCCTAAACCCTAAACCCTAAACCCTAAACCCTAAACCCTAAACCCTAAACCCTAAACCCTAAACCCTAAACCCTAACCCTAAACCCTAAACCCTAAGCCCTAAGACCTAAACCCTAAACCCCTAAACCCTTAGGTACCTGGTGCTCTCGTCCTGCGGAAGTCGTGGAACTACGTCCGAGACGGAGCTTTCGGAGCTCCGTGCTCTGGATGCGGGAGCTGCCAGCAGAGGCTAAAAAAGCGCTGGGACAACTTAGGGCTTCGGGTTTATAAGGTTTTGGGTTTAGGGTTTAGGGTTAGGGAGAGGCTAAAAAAGCGCTGGGACAACTTAGGCTGCTCAGGGCTTAGTAGGGTTTAGGCTTTAGGCTTTGGGCTTTAGGCTTTGGGCTTTAGGCTTTAGGCTTTAGGGCTTAGGGCTTAGGGTTTAGGCTTTGGGCTTTAGGCTTTAGGCTTTAGGCTTTAGGGTTTAGGGAGATTTCGGAGGGGGGTGCGGGGATTTCTGAGGCGGCGCTTGAAGGATTATACAGCCACGGCAAGATTTCCCTCCACAGGGCTCTCAGAGTTGACGTTGTTCCACACGGCCATGGCTCCTCCCCCACCCATGAGGGTTTAGGGTTTAGGGTTTAGGGTTTAGGGTTTAGGGTTTAGGGTTTAGGGTTTAGGGTTTAGGGTTTAGGGTTTAGGGTTTAGCTCGCACTGGGAGTTCCTCCCGCGCCTAGCAAATCATGAAGGCTTGTGCTTTTGAGTTTTGAGGATGTCGTGGCTGTTCGCCAAGGGAGGTATAAGGGTTTTGAACCGTGAGGCGGAATCCTCTGGCCCATCAGAACTTCACTTTTTTTTCTTGTGCAGCCAATGCTTGCGCAGCGGCGCCACATGCATGGAATCCGCAGCGTCTCTTGGCTCTCAGCCTAGTTTAATGTCTGCGAACAATAACTAAGTCTGCATTCCTGGTTCGTGATGCCACGCTTCGTCGAAGATGCCGCTTCGCTGGCCAGGCTTCTTGGACTAATGGACAGGCAGAGGCATCAGGGCAATATGCATGTAAGAACTGGGGCGCATCGATGTTGCAGCCTGTCCCCTTCTGCGTAGAAGCGATAGCGGTGGACACCCCGCGCCCCCCCCCCCCCCCCCCCTCCTTAAACCCTAAACCCTAAACCCTAAACCTTAAACCCTAAACCCTAAACCCTAAACCCTGAACCCGCCCAAAGGGTCGGCCTTCACATTTCCCCCGACCTGCTGGGCTGCTTGGCCCTCCAAACCCGAGGTCTGCAGCTTCCATGTTGGACCAGGCCCTTCAGTTGGACTTTCTGACCCTAAACCCTAAACCCTAAACCCTAAACCCTAAACCCTAAACCCTAAACCCTAAACCTCCAATGGTGGAGTCTCCTGGCAGACCTTTCCTCTAGAACTCAGAAGCGGCTGCCCGAAAGCCACTATCTCCGTTGCAGCTTCGGAATCTCATGGAGGTGAACACCAAGTGGTGGGCAACCTTCCCCTAAACCCTGAACCTGAACCCTGAACCCTGAACGTAACAGTCAGAGGGCGAGCCAGCAGACCCAAGCACACAGACACGGAGAGAGTGTGTACCTGTCAGAGGCAATGTTTGGCAGCTTCCACACCGCCCGGCTGCATGAAATCTAAACCCTGAACCCCTGAACCCCTGAACCCCTGAACCCTTTAAGCGACTGTCCCGTTCTTGTGTGGCTGCTGCTCCTCCTGCTCCTGCTATGCCTGAAAACAGTATGCGCCTTAAAACAAATATGCGGGGCCAACGCGCGCCCAGGTAGGATACTGTAATTGCTCCTTCACAAGCCCCTTCACAAGCACTGGTTTCGGAGGTGACCTCCGATTCCTCAGTGACTGCTGAAGCAAAGGAGTTGCTGCGTGCCCTCGTTGAGGACATCGCAGGGCAACTTTCGAGTTCTCAAGTTCTTGTGTGCTGCGACTTCGCCTAGTTATATATGAAGAGTTCTCTTAACTAGGAATCCTTTTGGGGATCCCTTTTTAAAAAGGGTGCCGCCTTAGCATGGGTACCGCAGAAGGGGCCCTAATTTAGGAAAGTACCCCATATCCTGAACTTCACTTGACCATCAGAGGCTGGAAGATGACATCTACCGGGTCCGAGTTGGGTCATTTGTAACCTTCGGCTGGAGACTTAAATAGGAAGTGTATTAAGTATTCTAGGAAGACATTGTATACTTTATACCTTTATGCAACTCTAAACCCCTAAACTTCTAAGCGTGCCCCGGCAAGGAGTTTGCAGGCTCGGCGAACGTCACCGGCGAAGATTTGCCGTTCCCGTGCGACATCATCTGCTGTTGCTGCGTCGTAACCGAACTGCAGTTACTTTGGGCACGAAGTGAACCCTTTCTAGGGTTTATAGGGTTTAGGATTCAGGGTTTAGGGTTCAGGGGTCCATAAACCTTGCCAGGGATTATAGTAGTATTGGGTATATGACCCCAATTGTTTGCGTTCATTTAGTCCCCAAGGATAGCCCCCACCGCCACGCTGTGAGATACGCGTAGTATCGGCACAACGGGCACCCGGTGAGGCAATCAACAAGTTCCCTTGTGTGGCGACTTCACATGTGTATATCCTTCTATACCTACGCAGCCCCTAAATAACCCCCCCACTGAACTCCTAAGGTCCCTGATAAGGGTCCCCCCTTTAGTCCCTTAAAATGTAGTTCTGCTATGGGCAAGGGTCAGTGTGACAAGCGTTGCCAAGCCCTGGCTTCACGGGCTGCTCAGGCGTGTGCCTCCAGTCCAAACTCGTGCGATGGCTGCTGTGACTGCTGCGACGCAGCCTTGTTGCAATCCTTCGGAAGGAGCAGTTACCAGACCCGGGCGATGGATGGCACGTGCATCAAAGAGACACATGGGGTTCAACTGCATGCTTCAGAGACATTGAAGTCGTTGGGCAATTGGGCAAGAGAGCCCAGAAAACTTGAAACCCTAAACCCTAAATCCTAAACCCTAAATCCTAAACCCTAAACCCTAAACCCTAAACGCTAAACCCAGTCAGCCAAGGAGAGCGAAGAAGAGAAGCGCCGCCGCAAGCGCCGGAGTCTTTTGGAAGCGCCGGGCCAGGCGACTCGGTGGGGGAAATTCTAAATACTGTGATGGGTTTAGGGTTTAGGGTTTAGGGTTTAGGGTTTAGGGTTTAGGGTTTAGGGTTTAGGGTTTAGCGTTAGGGTTTAGGGTTTAGGGTTTAGGGTTTAGGGTTTAGGGTTTAGCGTTAGGGTTTTGGGTTTTGGGTTTAGGGTTTAGGGTTTAGGGTTTATAGGGGTCTTGAAGCGACATCACATCACATGCAAAGTCCCAGTTCGTGGCATTGTTGAACCCGTGTGTGGTCTACGCAACAGCCATCGTCCGATGCCCACCACCATGGAACATGCACCGTCTTCCAGCCAATCTCGAGTACGTGGCAATGGAAGCACTTGCTGTTTCAGTTGTATGCAGATTTCTTCTCACAGGACGTGATGGATGAAAAGAGCCTTGGACGCGTTGAGAATGGGTTTGTCAAGGTGCCTCGAACATGCTTCAAGGACTCAGGTCAAGTCAGGTCATCTTGTCTCGCAAAAGCCTTTCATTAGTTATGCCTGGACTCTTACGTGTTGTACTTGAGCAGTCAAAGATTCCACACCCCTAAACCGTAAACCCTCAACCCTAAACCTTAAACCATAAACCCTAAACCCTAAATCGTCCAGCAGGTCTTGTGTGTCGGATAAGTCTGAGGCACCCAGCTTCTGCAGTTCAAGGTAGTGGTCTCCCTGGGTTTAGGGGTTAAGGTTTACGAGTTGCGTTTCAAATTTTTCGGTATTTCCCAAGAGAGGGTCCCCCTAAGATACCCCAAAATACTACGATATATACTTCTTATCGGAACCCCCAAAAGCGTACCCTTACTTTCAGAACCCCCCCGGCAGTTCGAACAAGAGATCTGTGAAACTCTCGGCTCAACCCAACTGAGAACACGAATGGACTAGGAATCAGCAAATATCATTCAAGGCCTTTTCAGAAGCAAAGTATTTGCGTAACAAATGCACATCCCACACTTTAATAGGTTATTACTCCTTACCCACTTTTTGTTTGTTTGTTTCTTTTTTTTATTTGGGGGGGGGGGGGGGAGCCTGCAACAAGCGTATTACCAAAACATGACACCAAACTAGCCGAGTAGATAGCAAACGGTTATTGTGTGAAAGCCTGTTATCTTCTGCATCAGCTCGTGCATGTATTTCATGTGTTATATATAATCATACAAATATAGTTATATACAAGAATAGTTAGAAACATGGAAGTTAAAAAGCATATAAACCAGTTTCATATGGCGTAATTTGTCCAACCCTATCGTAGATGATCATATGTAGATATACCAAAGTACACGTTATGTATAAGAATGTGTATACAGACATGCACATTTGTTTTTGTTTACATCAAATTTTTATATTGATATTTATATTCATATATATATATGTGTAGAAATTATATTCATGTTTTCATATGTTCGATTTTTTTTATTTTCAGAAATTCAAATTTATATTTGTATTTATATCTGTACTTGTATTTGTAGTTGTACTTAGTATATTTAATTTTCTGTACATATTTATATGTGATTTTTAGATTTATATTCATATTGATTTCAATATTTATATTCATATTGAGTTCAGTTTGTATTCATGTACACACTTGCTTTTGTCCTCATTATCTTCTTTTCATCAGCCCCCTTATAGTCTTGGTAGACACATTATGCACTGCTTCTTTTGATCGTCCCCCATATGAGATAGGGGCACCCCTTGTATTCCCCAAATAGAACAGAACCCCCTCAAAGGGACCCCCCAAAAAGGGTACCCCCTGTTTTCGGGAAACCCCCCTGAACCCTAAACCTATCCCTAAACCCTAAACCCTAAATCCTAAACCTAACCCCTAAACCCCCATAAGACTTTGATCAGCCCCGTAAGGAGGCCAAGCCTCCTGGAGCGGATTGCACGACTGACCTCCGAGGCGCGGCAGCTTTGTCGGCGTCTCCTGAAAAAGGGGCACATGATACCATTGGGTTTAGGGTTTAGGGTTGAGGGTTGAGGGTTTAGGGTGTAGGGTTTTGCTTATAGGGTGTTAGGGTGCTTGCAAGGCAACCGACAATGGGGGCTTATTCCAGGTTAGAGCGTGCCATGTCACCCAGCTGGCCAGTAACTGCACGAGAACCTGTTCGATATCAATTGGAGCTCGCCCCACCCACCACACGTTTTTTTTCCACCAAAACGCCCCTTCTCACCCCCCTCCCACAACACATATCGTGGTACGCTGCAGGGGCTCCCAAGCATCGCTATGAGGATCTATCCGTGGTTTCAGGGAGGCGTTCAGGGCTCGTGGTATCGTGCGAAGAGCGGCCGCCAGGACCTTGGAACCGTTCTGCGCCACGCGATGACGTCCGAGAAATGGAACGCAAAGGACGCTTCCAGCCAGGGCTTGCGTCAAAGCCCAGGATGGAGCCCTTGATGTTTTTTAATTTTTCTTCTAAGGGCAGTTTCACGGTCCTCTCGCCGAAAATCTATAGCCACCTTTGCCTTTTTGAACCTCAAGACCTTCGTTGCTGTGTGGGCTATGTGATTTTATAAGAGCTACCCGGCTTGAGCATCTTTGTGTCATGTGCTCCGCTCGCGAACCAGAGCCCTGGGCCTCTATTTAGGAGCAGAAAGCAGGATCCGTGATGTGGCGTGGCAGGAGAAATTTGGACTTTGGCTTTTTGAGAAGAAGTTCGGCGAGCACGAATCTTGTCAAATCCATGAGAGTGCAGATGTGGAACTTGACGCCAAGTCATGCCTTGGACACAGCATTTGCTACTGACGACTCTGCGCACCACTGTCTGTAGTGCTGTAGTGCTACATGTAGTGCTATGTCTGTGAACTGTGTTCCGGCCGGCGCATCTGCCTAGATCCCATACATGCGTTTATGAGTTGAGTGCTGTCGTCAAAGTGGCGACGTCTCGGACAAAGGTGTATGCGTGTTGGAGTTTGGTGGCTTCTGCAGTGCTCACTTCTGCCCTAAACCCTAAACCCTAAACCCTAAACCCTAAACCCTAAACCCTAAACCCTAAACCCTAAACCCTAAACCTATTAGGATGAAAACACGAGCGCTCCGCAGGCATGCGGGATGCACGGGAGCTCTTCTCGGCCTCATAGGCCACTCGCGCGTGCGCGACAGGAGCAGCCCAGGCCGATGAGCGGATAGGGGCCTCGACCCGAACGGTGAAAATGATGAACCACTCTCATGTGACTTAAACCCAGAGACTCCAAAACCCCTTAATTAAGGAATATACCTTAAATTAGAAGAGAAACCCTAATATGATTTAAGGTATATTCCTTAATTAAGGGTTTTGGAGTCTCTGGGAAAGGCAGCCAGGGTCGTGGGAGGGCACGCGTTGAGCCTCGGTGAGCGACATGCAGGCGGTGGATGCGGGGGCAGAGGGTCGTGGGGAGTCACGGAACCGGCTGCGCTCCATGAAGAAGACGCAGCCCCTGAACAGAGCTAGCCAGACTTCCCTAAACCCGAAACCCTAAACCTTAAAAACCCTGAACCCTAAGCCCCTAAACCCCTTAAACCTCAAAAACCCTGAGCCCTAAGCCCTAAACTCCAAACCCTAAACCCCTAAACCCCTAAACCCCTAAACCCCCCAACCCTAAACCCTAAACATCCCTAAACCCTCAACCCCTTGAGCAAGGAGCGGCAGAACCTGGAGGCCTGCATCGAGCGAGTGAAGGCGGTCACACCGGAGCTCATGCACGAGGAGCCGAGCTCGTCATCCTGACTTTCCAACCCGTGACTTTTGGGGTTTAGGGTTGAGGGTTGAGGGTTTAGGGTTAGGGTTTAGGGTTGGTTTAGGGTTTAGGGCTTAGGGCTTAGGGCTTAGGGCTTAGGGCTTAGGGCTTAGGATTCAGGTCTGAAAATTCATCTTGGTAGCCCAGTAGTACCCTTTACCTCTTTTTTTGTTCTGGGTTGCCTGATAAAGTCACCAAACAAAGAGAAAGGGCGCCCGCGCTATTATTGTTATTGCGCTACTCAGGTATACATGACAAATATCATACGAGATACAAAATATGCAGGGCTAGACCCAGGGTTACAACAGCAGTCCAGCCTGATCTCGCACGAAGTTGTGTACTCAGCGGTTTGAGAAGTCTCTGCACCGGCTTAAAAGCCACTGGATTCACAGGAGAGGTGTAAACGTCTACCGGCACGGATACTGCAATAGTAGTGCATCGTGTTTCGCCTTTCGGTCCAGTTTCGCCAAGTACTTGGCCCTTTGTCAAAATCTGCGAAAGAAGGACAACGTGACGAAGGAGGAGGTGGAGCGAAAGAAGAACGGGCACGACGCCAAGGCCATAGGAAGACGCACATCCTCGGAGTATGAATTAAGGATAATTAAGGGGTATAATGAGGAGGGACCCTTAGAAGGGCCCCTTAATCTTATTCCCCGAAAAGACCCCTGTATAACCTGTATATAGTCCCTATATACCTAAGTAGCCTCTAAATAACCCATCAGGAGTCCGAAAGGCTTTCCAAGTCTGACTGGATACTTCTTCTGTCAGGCTCTGCTCAACGAGCTGCAACGCAAGCATACCACGTTTTTCGTCAATGCCATTGCCCCGCAAAGTCCTTAACCTGCCGGGGGCTCTGGTTGTGTTTCATGTGGTATTCTATTTATTTATACATATATATATATGCATTATATACAACAATAATATATATATATATATGTATATATATATACAAAGAGAGAGAGAGAGAGTTGATATGTATATATATATATATGTTAGATTTAGTTATGTATACTTTGCTCATTGCATGAAAACAAGTTGAGCGATGCAGGCCTTGTCTCGGTTCGCGAAGCTCTTGGTGGCAACTTCGGTGGCCAAGCATGGCGCTGCCATCGCGGAGCACGGGCTAGGAGACGGAGGGTTTAGGGTTTAGGCTTTAGGCTTTAGGCCTTTAGGCTTTAGGCTTTAGGGTTTAGGGGCTTTCGTGACTTTTCGACTGTTTGCTTCAGGACCTCTGAGAAATGTGTAAGACAACTAGTGCCATAAGGGCGATAAGGGGATCATTATTTCACAATTTTTGGGCGTTCTTAAGCAAGCAGTGGGTTTGGGGGTGGTAGTGCGACAATTTGGTTGCTGTGGTGACAATCGAGTGCTGCCAGGGTGCATGAACCTTGTCATGACATGGTTGTGAAATAAACCCACTGCGCCCGCGCCCGCCCGCCCGCCCGCCCGCGCGCGCGAAAACGAGCTTCAGCGTAGAAGTCGTACCGCGCCGCTCTGTGACCTCGCCATACTCATCCCCACCGGAGGGTTCGTTGAACCTTCGGCTCAGTGGGCATCCCTGGTAGGGCAGGGTTTAGGGTTTAGGGTTTAGGGTTTAGGGTTTAGGGTTTAGGGTTTAGGGTTTAGGGTTTAGGGTTTAGGGTTTAGGGTTTAGGGTTTAGGGTTTAGGGTTTAGGGTTTAGGGTTTAGGGTTTAGGGTTTGGCAGGAGCCATTGGGCTGCAGCAGTGTGAAGCAGTCCTCTGCGCTGGGGACCTGAAGTATGAGCTGGACGCCACAGGCCTTCACAAGCAGCTCCGCAGAAATGGCGGGGTGGGTTTAGGGTTCGGATTTAGGGTTTAGAGTTTTAGGGTTTAGGGTTCGGATTTAGGGTTTCGGGTGCTCTGGAGGCTTTGCGAGCAAGTCAGAGGAGGCAGGCGACCAAGGGAAAGAGAGGAATAGAGTTGTTCCCCCCCCCCCCCCCCCCCCCCTGTGTCCGTTAAAGCAAAGTCTCCATCGCATTTCGGGGCGTTGGTAGCCCAGTGGTGCCCTTTTGGCCCTTCGCTCTTTTGGTTCGAGGCTTCCTGGCAAAGGAACCAGTACCAAAAAGGGTACCCCTCATCATAACATGAGGTTTACGAAATACGGGACCCCTCAATAAGACCCCCAAGTAGTGCATTCCTTTCTAGTAAGGACCCCAATAGGTACCCCAAAAAATTCGGAAACCCGTTTGGGTACTGGGCTGGGCTACCAAGGGGGCATTGGTGCACCGATGTTCTGCCCGGCAAGTTAGGGTTTAGGGTTTAGGGTGTAGGGTTTAGGGTTTAGGGTTTAGGGTTTAGGGTTAGAGGTACTTGCAGATTGGGAGGCTCGCCAGTGTAAGCATGGGTCAGGTATCCGTAAACCCTAAACCTTAAACCCTAAACCCTAAACCCGACTCCCGACTCCCTAAGCCAAAGCCTCTTGAAAGCAGCCTTGTTCCACAAGCCCTATAACCCAAAACCCTGCGCTGTTTGTGCCGAATTGAATTCGGAAATGGTCCATGAGCGCGACGCTGTGGCTCCCAAGCTACCGCTGCCACCTGGGGGGCCAGATGTGCCTGAAAGTCGGGGTCATATACCTTCGGGTTCTAAACCGCTAAGTCATAGACCCTAAAACCTAAACCCTAAACCCTATAAAAGCTAAACCCAAACCCCTAAACCCTAAACCCTAAACCCTAAACCCTAAACCCTACAAATCCTACCTTAGAGTTTTAGGATTCGGGCACCCTGTATGGCAGGCAATATGGACTGAAGCCCTTTTGAGTTCATCTTCCTCCCCGAGGTATGAACCTTGAAGCTGCTATCAAGTACAGGGTTTAGGGTTTAGTGTTTGGGGTTTAGGGTTTAGGGTTTGGGGCTTACGCTTTAGGGTTTAGGGTTTCCCGGTAATCTCCATAAACCGGCTCAACCCTAGAAGCCCCCAAGCCGTAAACCCTAAGCCTTAAAACCTAAGCCCTAAACCCTAAAAGCTTACCCTAAACCCTAGACCCTAAACCCTAGACCCTAGACACTACACCCTAGACCCTAAACCCTAATTAGACCCTAAACCTTTAACCTTTGGTGACTCAAAGGTGCACCTGGAACTGCCCAGACGGCCAAGTTCCAGAGCTCCGCCATAAGCAAAGGTTCAGGGTTTGAGGTTTTGGGTTCAGAGTTTAGCGTTACATAGGGTTAAGGTTTTGGGTTTAGGATTTAGGAGTTAGGGTTCCGTGTTTCAGGGTTCTGTGCTCAGGGCTCAGTAGGTTTTTAGCTTTCCAAGGTTTAGGGTCTTAAGGGTTTGGGGTTCATGGGGGTTTAGGTTCCTCATATGGCGTGGAGCCTCAAAACCAAAAGTTGGATCTTCAAAAGAGAGTTTAGGGTTCAGGGTCTAGGGTTTAGGGTTTAGGGTTTAGGGTTTAGAGTTTAGGGTTCAGGGTCTAGGGTTTATGTGGAAGCTGATGCGATCGTACCATCACAGGTGTAGTTCTTCACGGACTAAGTGAAGCTTTCAATTGGGGGTCTGATGCCCTGTACTCTTAACTCCTATCAAGTCAATGCACCCTAAACCCCAAACCCCAAACCCCAAACCCCAAACCCCAAACCCCAAACCCTAAACCCTAAACCCTAAACCCTAAGCCCTAAGCCCTGAACCCTGAACCCTGAACCCTTTCAGGGTTTGGTTCCCAAGGATTGGTTTGCAGCTGTCCCGAAGCTCCGCATTCAACAGAGTTTCGGGTTTGGGGTTTAGTGATTGCAGTCTCGGTCTGCAAAGAACCCTAAACCCTAGCCCTAAACCCCAGACCCTGCACCCTGCACCCTGAACCCTAAACCCTAAACCCTAAACCCTAAACCCTAAACCCTAAACCCTAAACCCTAAACCCTAAACCCTAAACCCTAAACCCTAAACCCTAAACCCTAAACCCTAAACCCTAAACCCTAACTCAACCCTAAACCCTGCTTTCCCATCTTCAGCCTCACGCGATGCCCAGGCACTCTTCCAGTCAGTTGGCGCGGAGATGGCAGAACAAGCGCGCCTCAACCTGGTACATGTCAACCGTTTAGGGTTTAGGGTTTAGGGTTCAGGGTTTAGGGAAGACCCAGACCCCTAGGAGGATCCAAAGGGAGATCCCCTTAAAGGGTTCGTAAAAATGACCCAAGAGTAGTATGGGGTACTCTTTGGACGCACTACCTGTTTGGATCCTCCCATCTGCAGAGTGTTCGGAGAGTACCCGGCTCGCCGCATTGGGGGTTTACGAAAATAGGGGAAAATAGTCGGATTCCCTTATCAATAAGAATCCCAATCAGGTACCCCTAGTATTGGAAGCCCCAAATGTTGCAGCCTCACACTGTCTTGTGACTGTTGTTTTTGCCTGACTGTTTGGCGACCTCGAGTGGCATTGCAGGCAGCGAGAAGCTGCGAATGTCTGTGTTTCAAGCAAACTTCTGGCGAGTATAGGCCTAAACCCTAAACCCCAAACCCCAAACTCCAAACCCCAAACCCTAAACCCCAAACCAACCGTGCAGCCACTGTGAGGGAAGAGATCACCCCGCTCAAGGAAGAGGCAAGGGAAGTCGAAGAAGCTGCCGAGGAGCAGTCGTTTTCGAACGGTCATCGGCCAGATGGCTTGCGGGCATGGAGCTAGAATGTGTATAGTTTGATGTTTGATGGATGTATGTGTAGCGTGTATACATACATATATATATATATATACATACGGCACACACACACACATATATATATATATATGTATGCTTTCGAAACTTTACAATATCCACAGAATATGTTCATGTTTCTCATGATTATTTTGACGATGGCTATTGAGGTCATGATTGTCGTGCATATGGGTGCGGCACTTTGGTCAGGGTTCGGAACAATGCCGTGAGAGGTTTTCTCGGACATGGCCGTTGTCGCACGGTTGCCATTCCATGACGAGAGGGACGGTAGATCGGTTGCGTATTACATTTTCACCGGGCTGATGTCATGTTGTCTTTTGACATCCTTTCACATGACGTTTCCCCTGAACCCTGGCCCTAAACCCTAAACCTTACATCCTACACTCTAAACCCTAAACCCTAAACCCTAAACCCACCACAATCCCCCGTTTTCTTTGCTCTGGCACACGGGAACTTGTGGCGAGCCTCGCTGGAATCATGGGTGTACTGAGTGTCTTCGAGTACGACAGGATCAAATACCTTCTAATGGTGTTCCCTTATTCTGGTCCCTTATAATTATAATTATACTGAATTATACAAGAACCCCCAAGACCCTATTCTAGTTTTTTAGGCCCCCCATGCAAGTGTCCTGTCTCCCTTGCATTGCAGCCGGGCAAGAAGAGGGTAGAACCCTAAACCCTAAACCCTAAACCCTAAACCCTAAACCCTAAACCCTAAACCCTAAACCCTAAACCCTAAACCCTAAACCCTAAGGCCTGGTGCAGGACAAGGGCGCGCCCGCCCGCGCGCGCGCGCGCGTGTGTTTGTTAGTTAGTTAGTTAGTTAGTTAGTTAGTTTGTTTGTTTGTTTGTTTGTTTGTTTGTTTGTTTGTTTGTTTGTTTGTTTGTTTGTTTGTTTGTGTGTGTGTGTGTGTTTCAAGGTCATTCTTGTCTTCAAGCAACATAACATAGCTATACAATAAGAAAGTACGAAAGAACTTGTATATTCACATGGAATGGCACCTTGGTAGCCCAGTGACCATATCACAATGGGGGTTTGTAGGGTTTAGGGTTTAGGGTTTAGGGTTTAGGGTTTAGGGTTTAGGGCTAGTATACGAACTGCTCAGCCACAGGAGATGCAGGGCATGGGCTCCTCCCCAAGAGCCTTTGAGAAGTCGAAGGCTTTGACCCAGGCCGGGCCTCCAGAATTTTTGAGTTGTGGGGTTTAGGGTTTAGGGTTTAGGGTTTAGGGTTTAGGGTTTAGGAGTTAGGGGTTAGGGGTTAGGGGTTTAGGGGTTATAGGTTTGTAGGGTTTCGAGGGTTGAGGGTACGTGTGCGAGTTTCTGCGCCAGCCCTTCTGCCGGGCCCGCGCGGACCAAAGCCACATAGGCCCGAGAAAATCTCCGCTTGCTGCCAAAACCTAAATAGCTCATGAACCCTCATCCCTAAACCCTAATCCCCAATTAATCCCTAAACCCGTAAACCCTAAACCCTAATCCCTAACCCTCGATTCTAAACCCTACTCCGATCCTTTTCAGAAGCATGCCACGGCAGTTTAGGGAGGTTTAAGGTTTTGGGTTTGGGGTTTGGGGTCAGTCAGGGCAAGGGGAACCCGAGCCAGGACACCCTAAACCCCAAACCCTGAGCCTTAAACCCGAGCCCTAAACCCTCAACCCTCAACCCTAAACCCTAAACCCTAAACCCTAAACCCTATATACAGCAGGTCAACAAGCTGAAGCTGCACTTCCATCATGTCGGAGTCTTACTCTGTTTCGGGTGTCGCTGGTTTCGCTGCTTTCCCTGGCCCACACGCGTCACGTGAGGGAGCTTCAAGGATGAGCGGGTTTAGGGTTTAGGGTTTAGGGTTTAGGGTCCAGGGTTTAGGGTTTAGGGTTTAGGGTTTAGGCTTCTAGGCAACCGCTTCGGCACATGGCAGGCGCTGAGTGACAAGCCGCTGAAGCTCACCAAGACGGCAAGCCCTTCAGCAGCTGATTCGCATCTGGCGTTTGTAATTTGGAGGTTCAGGGTTTAGGGTTCGGCGTTTAGGGTTTTTGGATCTTCGCCGTTTCTCCCATGACTTGTTTCGGCAACCCTGGCTGAGCAGGGCCACCAAATCCATGCAGTGTCTAGTGTATCTATTGTAATACCCTGGCCGCATTTGTTCACTTTGCACGGTCTTATGTCTTCTAGTTTGGATGTGATGTTGCGTGAAAGACGCGGATCATGGCGCTTGCGAAGTGCAAGACTTTCTCGTACCGATGTGTGCTAAAACGACGGTCATGTTTCACCATCGACACGCCCTGTGGGCGTGCCCCACGCGCAGGGTCCTCAAACCCGAAACCCGGAGGAAGAAGGCGCCTGCGCCCAAGTTGCGCAAGCGAGCCGAGGAGCTGGGTGACCCCATGCAGATGAAGACCAGCGCCATTCGCTATCATGGCACATGCAGCGCTCCGAACCAGTTCCAGGATCAGCTGCAGCGAGCTGTCTCTTGGCGTGGTCAGCATAGCGAAGGAGTCTTACTTGGAGGTTCATGGGTAGTTCTCAGTGGGGCTGAAAAGTCCCTTAAATAAGGTTATATCCAGCTTATAATTACAGTTGCCCTTCTTATAACCCGGCGAAAACTACCCATGAACCTTCAAGTAGGTGATAGTAGGTGCTGAAAAATACAGGCGGGGCTCATCGTAGCGATGCTGACACGCAACACCCAGCCCGGTTTTGTTTCAGATGGCTCAGACGACTGTATTGTCATCACTAAAAGGCTATGATGTGGTGTGTGTAGTTTAAGTAATGGCTGAGAGGGAACCAGGAGGGACAGCTCCGTACCACACTGTAACTGAAGTCCTGCGATGAGGCAGCGCGCAACGTGTAGCGAACGTGATGACTGAAATATGAGCCCGAAACCTGAGAATCGGACGTCTCCTTCGCAGGTTCTGTTCCATGGCAACAACAGGAACATCCCACAAGGGAGCGTGGTGGAGGTCACACGCGTGTCTCTCGGCCGAACGTCATGATCTCGGTGAGGTTTAGGTCCGCACAAAACCCTCAGCTCATCGACGCCCAATGGGGTTGCGCTCGGCGGCTAGATTTGGGTACCCCCTGTGTCCCCCAAACCCTAAATCTCAACCCTAAACCCTAAACCCTAAACCCTAAACCCTAAACCCTAAAACCCTAATCCCTAAACCCTACACCCTAAGCCCTATGCAGTGTAGACCTACGAGTCTGATCTCCTTCCGCCCAGTGCAAGGCCGACGGCCTCCACGCTGGGCCGGTTTGGCAACTTCATGAACCCGTTCTCCTCGAACTTGAAGGCCTGAACCCTGCACCCTAAACCCTAGCCCTAAACCCTAAACCCTAAACCCTGAACCGAGACCCTGAATCCCAAACCCCCGATACCCCAAAGTCTCCTTGAACGAGGTTGTTGGGCTCAGGTTTGGCTGGGACTCTAGGCTTCGGGACTTCGATGTTTTAGCCTGGGGGGGGGGCTGAAATTTGTGTTTAGGGTGTAGGGTTTAGGGTTTAGGGTGTAGGGTGTAGGATTTATGGTTATCATTGGAGAGGGGGGGGGGTTCATTATTAGGGCTGGGGGTGTGTCGAATGTGGAAGGGAAGTAGTCAGTCGCCCCTGTGTCTGGAACCCTTGCGGGTTTAAGCACGGCTGTTTATACCATAGGGCTTTTCGGTTTTCGGGCTTCCGCAGCAAGACAGTAGATATGTAATTCCTCGACACGTCGCGCGCGCGCTGGACTCGGTCAAGGTGAGGGGGGGAAACTGCAACATGGGGTGACGAAAATAGGGGACCCTGAAACAGAGCCCCAAATAATAGGACGCCCGTACGACAAAGGACTTCATATCGCAAATCCCCACGTAGAGGCCTGACTTAGTCCACAGAAACCCCGGGTATGCCAAGCGCAGAAAGCCTAAGACTGAGAGTAGGCCCTTATTCCCTTTTGTAGGGCTTGGGCTCCCGTATGAGCCCCTTTTGAAACCCACCCTGTCTCCCTTAACTCCTTGAGGCGAACGAGGTGGAGGTGACGTATCATGGTCAGGCGCGAGGGTGGTGCATGGTAGGCACAGAATCAACTTTGTGTAAGTTCTGCCTCTAAACCCTACACCCTAAACCCTACACCCTAAACCCTAAACCCTAAACCCTTCCAAATGAAGAGAATTTGAGTGTCATCCATCTGGTGTCTGCAGTTCGCTGCCGGTGCATGGGCTCATGCGGCAATAGAGACTGAACAAGCGCGACTGCCATTTGCACTGGCTGCGATTTAGGGCTTAGGCTTTAGGATGCAGTGACCGTGGTACGGTTCAACAAGGCATGAGCAAGGCAATCGATGCGTATGTGTTGCTTCAACGAACTCGGATCGCTTGCTGTTTCAAGTGCTGCCCATCAGCAGCACCAACGTCGAAGACTTGTCCAATCTAACCCTAAACCCTAAACCCTAAACCCTAAACCCGAACCCTAAGTGGAGGAATACGTGGTGAACAGCACGGACGTGCAGCGCACGTCCGTGGGCAAAGTGTTGGTGGACGAGGGCCTTCAGGACCAGCGCCCTGTGCAGCCTGATGTTATGACTGGCACAGAGGGAGTGAGAGAAGGAGGGAGAGAGGGAGATAGAGGGAGAGAGAGAGAGACTAAATCAGGGTAGCTCAATGTCTCAATCTCCTTCTTCACTCCTTCTCTGCCAAAGCACGGAGGACTGGCTGATCAGCACAGGTGACACTATCCAGGTCCAGATGCCACCGATGCAGCAAGACCCGAAGGACCTGTCACTGGGCAGACAGAGCAGCATAGCACATCAGAGATCCCAGGTTGTTACTGCCGCCGGTTTCCCCTAACACATGCGGCACTTCTCCGCCGTCTGAATATCCCGCCTTCGAGCAAACACTATGATTCCGGGGTCAAGGGCTCGCCATCCGCTGAAAGCGATGCCAGGAGGTCCTCTGGTTCCCCGTCTCAAAGGACAAAGGAGACTGAGCCCAGTTCTGGGGAGAGAAGCGAGTCGGCCGCACGCTGCCTGAAGAGTTACTGTTGGTCAGTAGTTAGTAGGGAATGAGGGAATGAGGTACCCTATATCCACCTACATATACCCTTCCAGGGATTATGTAGGGTACCTCATTCCCTGATTCCCCAGAAGCCGACAGGAAGCTTGAGGGCAACAGCTCGCTGAAGCACCGCCCTGACGAAAATTAAGAGCAGCTGCTGACAAGGGGCCCCTAATATAGGGCCCTAGACCCTAAACCCTAAACCCTAAACCCTAAACCCCGAAATAGTGGGATTCCCCTTATAATCAGGACCCCAGTAAGGCACCCCCGGTTTTCGTAAATCCCAGCAGATTGTTTTGAAGTCGAGCTAAAGGGGGTCTGTAGCCCAGGGGCCCAAAGGTGCCAGACCAGGGTGCAAGAATGATGTCCCTAAACCCTAAACCCTAAACCCTAAACCCTAAACCCTAAACCCTAAACCCTAAAAACCCTAAACGCATGATGCCTTGCTTAGCTGTTGGAGCCTCGAGAGCCTATCAAGCATGTCTTTGTCGAGGGAGGTGCACGTATCCTTGTTCTCTTGCGACGTCCAGAAGGAAAGCCTTTGTGATTCCAGACAGCCCAAGGTTCACTACTGCAGCAGTTGTGGCTCTCATTGCTCGTTCGGCAGCACGAGCTTGGCCTAAGGAAGCACGGCTTCCGGAACCGATGGGGGCTTCACGTATGGGATTGGTGGTGTTGTTGGCGCTTGTTTCTGCGGCTTGCTGCCGGAGCTTCTTGGCTTGCAACATGCTACGGGGGGGGGGGGGGGGGGAGCTGGGGATGTAGGCATGTGTGGCTCATTGCGAACTTGCGTTGAAAGGTCTCTGAACCAACGAAAGCCGACTTGCGCAAATAGAAGTTGAAATTTCAGGCCTAGCGGCACGGGCCGGCCCCCGCCCCCCAAAGCACGAAACCTTGAACCTTGGCACTGCTTCAGTCTTCTCTTTCCCGTGTCTTTGTCCTCTCCTTCTCTCGTCTCTCTTTCTCCTGCCTTCGCCCCCCCTCCCCCCCCCCCCCCCGGCGCGCGCGCGCGCGCGCCGCATCAGGAGCATCAGTGGGGTTGGTTTGGGGGCCTTAAAAGCATTCTATGCTGCGTTTTGCCTTCGAAAAACCTTCAGAAAACGCTGTAAACACGTGTTTTTGGGCTTGGGAAGCCTTTTGGGACCCAGGAAAGGGAGCATCATGAGCATCAGCGGCCTCCCCCAAGCCATCCAAAACCCCTTAAACACGCCGATTGTATGTGCTTGAACGCTTGCGTGCCCACGACACCCCCAAAAGCAAGACCCGAATGCCCTTAAGGGCATTCGGGTCCTGCTTTCGGGGTGTTTTGTAGGCACGAAGCCGTTCGAGCGCGTAAAATGAGCGATTTAGGGGGGTTTTTTTACGTGGAACCCACAAAACCACTCGGTATTTACGAGGTTTCTGCTGTTGGAACACCCCCCCAAACCGAGCATCATGAGCATCAGCTGGGTCTCTGGCCGTGGGCCCGGACCCCCCCCCACGAAGCCAAGAGAAGCGATGGCTCGATGATGCGCCCGGACCCCGCGCATCAGCAGCATCAGCAGACCCCCCCCGGACGTGGGTTCGATGATGCGCACTTTGGGGGCGGGTCAAGGGCAACAGGGGGGGGGTCGGAGGCACGCGTGAAAAACCTCATAAAAACACGGTATTTACGGTGATTTCAGCGTTTTTCAGCGTTTTTTTATTGCCTTGGGGCCCGCGGGCCAGGGCTGCTGATGCTCATGATGCTCGCCTGGTTTTGGGCTTCCGGTACCCCCCCCAACCTTGAAAAACGTGGTTTCGGCCTGGCGCGCGCCCCATGTGAAAAGCTAGGGCCGATGATGCGCGCCCCGTGAGGGTTTAATGGGGGCTGGGTGTGTTGTGGCCTCGGTTTTTCGTAAAAACCCATGGTTTTTACGAGGTTTTCGTGCTTTTCGCACCACGTGTGTTGCGTCCCCTTGGATGCCGTTTTGGAGGCCTCCCGAAGGCCCCCGCGCGAATTTGAAGCATTTTGGGCGGGGTCGGCGGCTCGGGCGCTCGCCCCTTAAAGCTAGCGCTTTAGGGCGACGCGGGGCTCCGCCCTGGACCACGGGCGGCGCGGGGGCCGGATTTAAGAGCCTCCGGCTCAAGCCGCCGACCCGCTGGAGCATAGTTGAGAGGTCTAAACCCGCTCGCATGGTTCGAAGATCATCCCAGCCTGGTCGGCAGAGTTCTGTGAAACTTTGGGGGGTAGGGGGTCGCACCGCACCAGGACAAGCTCAAGCCAAAAACAGGGGCGGGGGGGGGGGGGGGGGGGGGGGGGGGGGGGGGGGTGGGGGGGGTGGGGGGGGTGGGGGGGGTGGGGGGGGTGGGGGGGGGGGGGGGGGGGGGGGGGGGGTGGGGGGGGGGGGGGGGGGGGGGGGGGGGGGGGGGGGGGGGGGTGGGGGGGGGTGGGGGGGGGTGGGGGGGGGGGGGTGGGGGGGAGTGGGCGGGGGTCTCCCTTTTTTGCTTGCGTTTTGGAGGGAAAGAGGGAGGTTTTCACCTCCTCACATCCAACACGCCGCCAAGGTCGGCGGATCGTAACAACAATATCTACATTAAGAACAAAAACGCGCATAACAATCTAATAATAGCCACAATAATCGTAGGAATTGGGGTGTCTTTGAAGGGGTTGTTAGTTGTTTCCGGACCCAGGCGCATGGCTGCCCCGGGCGCCGGAGCCGGAGCTTGGGGCAGCGGTGGAAGTCGAGCCAATCTCTGCAAACGTTTCAGCCACTTGGCCCTGAGACCTTAAACCTACACTTCCAGGGACACTAGAACCCTGACCCTAGACCCCAAGCCCTAAACCCTCATAGACCCTAAACCCTAAACCCTAAACCCTAAAGGTTGCTAGAACCCTAAAGGCCTCAAGTGGTCCCTGGAAGAACCCAGTGGTACCCTTTACCCTTTTGTTTTTTTTTTTTTTTCGTTCTGGGCTCCCTTATAAAGTAGCCAGCCCCCAAAAAAGGGTGCCCTTATTGTAATATGGTTTCTGGGCTACAAAATAAGATCGGTTCTACCAAAGCTCTTCCTAATCTTCGGCAGGTGAGATCAATTCCTGTAGGTGTTGTTGTTTTTTCCCCATGTGTCTCCAAGGAAGTTCACTTCATGTGCCCTGTTGCCCAAGACCAGACGATTTTCGCCTGCCACGATGGGGCGAATCGTTGCCCAGCAGGCAGCAGGCGCCCGCATGACTAAGGGTCTTCATTCTTGTTTTTGGTGAGTGGATATAGGATAGGTAAAGCAATGGAAGCCCAAGTGCATATTGGGAAGCAGGGTTCCGGTTTAGGTGGGCAAGCAGGTCTTACTTGGCATGCCCTAGGGATGTGTCCGGGAGAAGGTACGAGGTGGTCCAGCGCCATTATGTGGTGGGTTTAGGGTTTAGGGTTGAGGGTTGAGGGTTGAGGGTTGAGGGTTGAGGGTTGAGGGTTGAGGTGGCATTGGCTTTCGGCAACAAAGGCAGTTTTGGCATGGAGGTGTGCGACAGTCTTGTGCTTGCTGCGCAAGCAACACGATTGTGCAGAGAGTCGCAGGGTACAGTACTTGGAGCTTCACGGGTAGTTATAAGTAGGGTTCTCAGTACCCTAAATAAGGTTAGAACCAGCCATGCCGCTACCCTACTTACAACCCCACTAAAAGCTACCCATGAACCCACTCTTGGCTCGGTGCAGACTTACCAGGAGGCTCTGACCAGCCCTCCAAATGCAAGTATCCCCGCGAGCAGATGCCAGCACCTGCAGAAAAGGTCGCCACGGTGAGGGTTTAGGGTTTAGGGTTTAGGGTTTAGGGTTTAGGGTTTAGGGTTTAGGGTTTAGGGTTTAGGGTTTAGGGTTTAGGGTTTAGGGTTTAGGGTACGGAGAGGAACATGCCAAGGGTTGTTGGTTTCAATCTTTACAAGTTCCAGGCTAGGGCTGATGTGCAAAGATGCATGAATCGATGCGGCAAGGTGCTACATAAAGAACAACTACTTCTCCGAGGCAACAGCAACGGTGCACGCAGTATGCTGCTGTGATCGCAGTACTACGCCGATTGAGCAAGTCATTCACAAAGAGAACAACTGGTCGTGCTACGCGAGTCGCGTACCGTCCACGCCCCACTGGCTATGCGACATCCGGTGCTGTCAAAGGCGCGCAACGTCCAAAGCACGAGGTTTCTACATGCCTGTGAGAGCTCAGGGAAGAGTCTTAGCAAGGCGTGGCGATCGTTAGGTTTCCTTTCCCAATCGCATCCATTGTGGCCATAGTGCAGCCAGCAAGCCATAGATGGGTCGTCACAATGCGGTTTAGAACACTTCCTCGCATCACATACCAGGTTCGATAGTCTAGTTTCACCCTTCAAAAACCTTGGCTTTCTCACCGTCGAGCCTTCTGAGGAGGACCTGGCCTTAAATTCTAAACCCTAAACCTAGGATGCCCAGTAGTACCCTTATTCCCTTTCTGGGGGCTTTAGGTTCCCTTATAAACCCCTTCAAGCAAAAAAGGGCACTCTTTTTAAGCCTAGGTTACTGGGCAGCCTAGACACTAACAGTCCTTAATAGGGATTATAGAAATTACCCCCCTATCCTAATCCCCATGAAGGACTGTGAGTATACACTAACAGCCCTTAATTGGGATAATTCTCGTCCCTATTTGTTATAATCCCCTAGATGTGTTTGGGGGGGGGGGGGGGGGTTAGGTTCCCTTATAAACCCCTTTAAGCAAAAAAAGGGCACCCTTTTTGAGCCTAGGTTTCTGGGCAGCCTAGAAACTCTTAGATGTGTTGGGGGGGGGGGGGGGGGGATGTGTCGAAGCTGTGCCCTAGAAGGAGTGCAGCGGTCGCTTGCTTTGGGAACGACCCGATCTGCTGCGACAAGTCAGCACCTCGACGGTGTGGAGACATTCCATGAAGGAAGGGTTTGGGGTTTGGGGTTTAGGGTTTAGGGTTTAGGGTTTAGGGTTTAGGGTTTAGGGTTTAGGGTTTAGGGTTTAGGGTTCAGGGTTCAGGGTTCAGGGTTCAGGGTTCAGGGTTCAGGGTTCAGGGTTCAGGGTTCAGGGTTCAGGGTTCAGGGTTCGGATCGTAGCCTCTTGATGGGGGTGGAGGGAGGGCCCTTCCCGAGGATGGGGCCTGACCCTCCGAAGCTGACAACTTGATCTCGGGTTGGGGGTTTGGGGTTTTGGGTTTTGGGTTTTTTGGGGTTTTTTGGGTTTTTTGGGTTTTTTGGGTTTTTTGGTTTTTTTTGGGTTTTTTGGGTTTAGGTTTGCCATGAACCTAAGGTTGGGTTTAGGGTTTTGGGTTTTGGGTTTGGGGTTTAGGGTTTAGGGTTTAGGGATTTGGGTTTTCGGTTTTGGGTTTTTTTGGGTTTAGGCTTAGGAAAGACTGGCCGCTTGCAAGCATGCGCGTAATGTAGGGGTCGGAATAGCATTTTTTGGGTCCCTTTGCAAGTAATTATACTAGAATAGCCCCCCCAAAAAAAACAATTCTGCCCGTACAATAGAGGTGTTGCCGCTGCTAGCATACTTTGAGCAGCTGTGTCCTCCAGCAGAGACTCCGAAACCTGAAGCAGGATTTGAGGGTTTACAAATATTGGGAACTCCCCAATGTCAATTAGAATAAGGACCCCATCAAGTACTCCTTAGTCCCCCGTTTGGCCCGTGCACTCCCAAATATCACTCCCAAATATGCTGGTTTCCGAAGGGAACTTAGGGGTTGGGGTTAGGGTTTAGGGTTTAGGGTTTAGGGTTTAGGGTTTAGGGTTTAGGGTTTAGGGTTTAGGGTATTTTGGGGGGTCTCTTTTGGGGGCCCCCTATTTTCGTAAACCCATATCAAGGCAGCCTTGACAGAAAGAGTCTTGCGCGAGGCGCCACTGTGCGGCATCAAGTTGGATGGCCAGCCTTGCTGCGCATCACCAGTGGGGGCCTCGGTGGTAGGGTTTAGGGTTTAGGGTTTAGGGTTTAGGGTTTAGGGTTTAGGGTTTAGGGTTTAGGGTTTAGGGTTTAGGGCAGCTACTAAAGCGGAACTTGTGCCATCCTGTACCCGGGCGAGGACTACAGCTTGCTCCGCCTTTCGGCAACAGCATGCCACCGATACATTAACGGGCCACAGGACAAAGCCGTCCGTGCCGGCATGGTTGCGTTCTTCATACCTTGCCGGACGAAGTGCCATTTAGAAATCCTTAACCCTGAATGAACAGGGTTGATGTTACCGCCATTGGTGAGTGTATATATATATATACATGTATATAATTGGTTGCTTTCTGGGGATTTTAAGACATAAAGAACCCATACTTCGTAAAAGGCCTAAAGCCCTACATGGGAGAAAGCGAACTGGAAGCTGCAGTCCAGCTTAAAAGCAGCAAGCAAGACACCGTTGTTTGTTTTTTTGCTCTCACGCCCGTGTCGCAAAGACACTTTCTGTACGAAACGACCGACAGAAGAGATCATCCGCGCAGTCTCAGCAAACGGTTCGTAGAGCGCTTTTAATTCCCATTGCCTTGATGTGGCCAGTAGATCTCGGGGTAGCTGAGCCAGAATTCTTAGAAAAGATACCAGTTCGGTAGTGCTCGTGTCTGCAGATGCCCTTCGCTTGCTGGTGCGGCTTGTTAAGCTGCCAAGGCCAGCACGACTTGCTGTTCCAACCCCGGAACAACCTGCTGGCACAGTCCGACCACGTGGCTACTCCGTGCCGAGCCTCATCTGCAGAGGGTTCTTAGTAGGAAAAGGGAATGAGGTACCCTATATACTCCCTGAAAGGGTATATTTAGGGCCCTAATTCCCTCGTTCCCTACTAAGAACCTTGGGCGGAGGGAAAGCTGCACCTACTTGTGAGTGCATGTCTTCTTGCCTGTCCGCTGTCTCTGCAAAGCGTGCTGCGTAATGAAGACTGGACAGCAAGGGCAGTCGACCTATGTGAGACATGCAGCCTGTAGCCATTCTTCGACAAACTGTCAGAAAATGTGTCGAGGATCCGTTTCATGAACGACGTCGCTGCTGCCTCCATGGCAATGTGGAGGACCATTGTGTGCCCATCGAGGAGTGCACCTTCTCCGAAACCGTTTTTTGGATTGCAAGCGGCGCTTTCACAACGACGACGATGATCGTTGGTTACAAACTGGCACAATGGTTGGAGGAGCCTGGACGAAGCCAATGCTGCAAGAAAGGCTGTTGTATTGCGCAGGTAGCTTTCTGGTCGTTTGTGCTGTGGGTCTTATACATGGCGTTGCCTTTGAGTCTTCTTGGCGGGCCCCACCAGAAAGCGCCACAGATGTTTGTCAGCTTCCTGACAGTACTTCTTCTTTGCTTACTTGTCAGCCAGAGTCTCAGTTGCTCTGCATAATTTCACAGTGTCGGCAATCAGATCCGCACTGTGCTGTCGTTGATTGAACTTAGACATATTTGTGCAAAAATCGAAATGTCGAATGCCGAATAAGTTGTTTGCCAAGCTACAAGATCTGTTAGGGACATGTAATGCATCCCAGTGAAGGCATCATGACAGTGAGCAGCTTGCAGCTTGCGTTGCAAGGTGTTCGGGGCTGCGTTCAGCGCAGACGACGCAGGCAGCGCTCAGAGCAGATAGAGCGACGACGCGGCACTCTGTCTAGAGATGCTGATGGCCACGACCGTATAGCTGTGCTCATCAACAACCAGGACTGGCTGAAGTACAAAGCAATCAAGTTTGGGAAGTATAGTTGCGGCTGCAGAAGAATGACCATATTTTCTGAATTTGTTGCATTGCATCCACATCATGCGAGTGGGAACGGGAGCACGCTCGTCGCTGCAGGCCGGCGTAATTAGTGAGGTGCAACCTCTTTGAGCTCGTCGCCTGATCATTTCGACCACAAGTCGTAGGTTCGTAGGTGGTATAACTAACTAATTACTCTTGTCTTCCTGATCTGAACAACGTGGCCACGAAGCCGTTCTTGGACCTGACAGCCATTTTGGTTTTTGGGTTAGAGGGCTTCAAGGCTTCAAGTTTCCAAAACACCAAACCCTAAAAAACTTAAACCACCTCAAGGCTTGTGGTACCCCTTGTCGCCACCTCCACCCGTCCACGTCGCTGTCTTGTTCTGGCGAGGGGAGGGGCGGGGGGATAACCCTAAACCCTAAACCCCAAACCCTAAACCCTAAACCCTAAATGATGCTGAAGGTGCACATCAACTCGCATCTTTGATCAGGACTACCAGTTCTACGAGCCGGTCTTCGACCGAAGCATGGACTTCTTGGAGGAGCTCCTGAGCAGCCGCTGGAAGGTGCCTCTAGGTTTAGCGTTTAGGGTTTAGGGTTTAGGGTTTAGGGTTTAGGGTTTAGGTTAGATCCACGGCTTTCAGCTTGCGGTTCTTGGAGGATGGGCGGAGTGGCAGGGCTCTTTTCCCAAATCTACTCGTAGAGGGGTGCCCCTTGAGGCCCCAAGAGGCTTTCACTCTGGCTTCCCTGCACTTTCTACTTGGAGGTTCATGGCTTCTACTCAAAATGGTGAACGCTATCTATAATATACTATTGAAATAATATCATATGATATTACAAAATATAATATCACATCATGTCATAGAACATATCATATCTAGTAAGAGAAAGTTCCTCCATTTTTCGTATCCCACCGAGGTGGTGTCAGTTGCCAACCTCAAGGCCGCGGCCGTGGAGAATTCCATTGTCGATCAGGCGGCCTTTCATGATCAAAAAGCGTTTTTTTTTTTTTTTTTGGGGGGGGGGGGGGGGGGGGGGGGGTTTGGGGTTCAGGGTTTAGGGTTCAGGGTTCAGGGTTTAGGGTTTAGGGCACTGTTCCTATAGGGCTTAGGGTAGCTGTGCCTGTTTCCAGTGTGCGCACATGCGAACGGTCTCATGGCCTTGGTTTGCAGGGTGTCTCTCTTTTTCAGAGAGATCAGCTCTGGGGCTTGTATGGTTGGCACCAGCCAGCATGCCATTATAATGACTGTTTTCTTAGAACGTTAATAGGGTAACATATTCATGTCTGACTATAACTCTATATGACTATATATAAGACTGTATATGATTATATGACCTATATTCTTAAATGATTCTAGTGAAGGTTGGGTCGTGTATGGACCTTTAGGACGCTGGCAGTCCTGCTACTGCTGGGGCCCCCTTACTATACTAACTGTAGTTAAGGGACTTATAACCTAACTTAGGGTCCTTATAACCCAATTTAGGGCCCTTATAACTCTACTTATAACTAGGGGGCCCCACCCTGTAGGTATGTTGGCTCCACCAGCCAACTGGTTAGCTACTGCACTCCTCCTGAGCACTCAAGGTGTAAAGGAGGGGCTTGCTGGACCTCGGAGTTCCAAGTCTCCCTTTAGATCCTTTAGGGTTTAGGGTTTAGGGTTTAGGGTTAGGGGTTGAGGGTTAAGGGTTAGGGTTTATGGTTTAGGGAATTATACTCCTTCAGCATACCGGGTTGAAGGGTTAGGAAACCGAGCATAGGGCCAACGCAGGTGGCGGCAAAGATCTCGCGCCAGAGCGAGAGGCCGGCGACAGTGTGGCTCTACATTTCCGCACATGCTCAGACCTTCTTTGGCATCCCACAGTTCCTCCCCACAGATGCGTGGTACTGGGGAGACGGGATATCCATTCACTGGTTGATCCACAAGCTGTGCCAAGTTAGTCGAAACATCGAATGCATCCATGTCATTGTGAATGGCTGCATGGTCGATTGCATGGCACACGCCACCACTTTCGATTGGGTTCGCTGGTGTTGCGTCGAATGTTGCCGACGCATTGAGCAGCGAGCAAGGAAGATGCGATACACATACGATGGCTGCAGGGACCAGGTGCAAATCTTTGTAAACAACCACTTCATTCCTAGATCCGAGATGCAGTTGACCATGCTTTTTGCTTGTGCGCCGGGCCGGAGCGTACCTGGAGGCTCCGAAGAAGGAGCAGTGACCGTGATTTGTGTGTCTCGTCTACTTTCCGGTTCAGGTATCTTGCCCACTCCACTTCAACAATCATTTTGAGACGGAACTGGCCTAAACAACGGTTTTCCTGCCGAAATTGAGCCCTGGAAGGAGATCTGATGACGCAGAAGGTAATCAACGAGCTTCTGAAGGACCCAAAGGCATCTCCGGCCGACTTCTACAATGCCCTGCACACGAACCTCTGGCAAACAACCCGTCCAGAGGCCGATTCATATATACATATATGCAATTATATATAATTATAACTGTATAAACTATATATATATATATACATATTACATATATATTTATGTTCCGATTCATATATGTGGTTGCGCCTTCTCCTTACCCCCAAACTAAACCCTAAGCCCTAAACCCTAAACCCTAAACCCTAAACCCTAAACCCTAAACCCTAAGCCGACCTTTCAACTTTCCCGCCGGAAATCGCAGTGCCTATCAATTGAGGGGGGATCCCAAAGCTCCTGCGGTATTTCAGGTTCTGGAGTTTTCTGGTGTGTGCTGGTTGGTGCTTCTACTGCTCTTTCGCAATCGGCTTTCCCGATTGCGCAGCGGAGGGTTCTCGTTTTCAGAGGTGGGGTTCCAGGGGTTGGGGAGTTTCGGCGTTCGAAAGCGGCTGCGGTGGTCCGAATCGAGCTGTGGTTCCCTATATCCCCCTTGGGAATTATTCTTTAATTTTTTTTTATATATAAAACCCGAGAGGATATCAAAAATACAATTTTTATTAAGGTTCTAAGGGGAGTGTAGTTCCGGAAGCCCAGCATCTTTTTGCATGGTCTTGGTCATTGCATGCCTCAACAGTGCAGACGGTCACGAGGATGAGGCCTCTCAGGGGGCTTTGGGTCCTCGTGACTGTCGTATGTTGAGGGTTTAGGGTTTAGGGTTTAGGGTTTAGGGCTTATAAGGTTTAGGGGTACATTTTAAGCTTGGCTTGCCGTTCACGGCCCATAAACGTGCAGACAGCCACGAGGATGATGCACGCGAGCGCCGCGCTAAGTTAGGATGCCATGGTCTTGGGGATTTGGGTGTGTGTGTACGGGCTGTTAGGTCATCTCAGAACCCTAAACCCTAAACCCTAAACCCTAAACCCTAAACCCTAAAAGCAACTTAAGGACTCGGTGGATTTCCTGAAGGCCCCAAAAGCCCAAATCGCCTCCGGTCAGGGCGGCCCTTTACATCCGTTTTTGCTGACCACTGGCCAGTTGGCACGGTCCACTTGGCTGCATCTAGGGAATCTAGATGCCCAGGGGTCCTGTGAAAAGGCTCTTCGGGTCCAGCAGAACAGAAGCACTGATAATCGCGGGGTCGACTGACAACTTCGGTTTCCCTTCAAGTGCTTCTTGTATTTGAAGATGTGCCAGAAACAGCCTTGTTATAATTTGCGGGCAGAGGCCCAGACACTGGCCCAGATCGCACGGAGTAATTAGTGCAATATCTCGCAGCAGGAGAACCTCTCGAGGCCCTCGCTTGGCCTCATGCCATGACATAGCTTGACACACTGATGCCACACGTTGCGCATGCTCTGCGCCACGCGTGGCTGGACTGCAAAGGTCTTCTGACACCCTTCTGAGTGAAGTATCGACTGCTGCTTCGACGTCGCAGGCCCCGGTGTCGCGCAACTCTCACGCGCCATTCACCCTTCGCATCCTGAGAGGTGCCTCCGACCACTCATCGAGATTGAGCAGGGCGTGGCCGGCAGCTCTTGCTGGCCGGACTGGGCATGAAAACATGGCGTTGTCCAGCTGCTGGCGGTATGAGCCTGCGTCCTGCAGGCATTTGGAGACAGTGTGCTCTTGCTTCATACCGATGGCAGTCCAAGCATCGTGCTATAGCTTCATGCAAATACGTTGATGTGGTTTCAGCCACAGTGCAAAGACAACAAGGAGGGGAGCGGAGCAGAATTCCCACACCACAAACACAATCATTATCCCAATGTCTACTGCGATGACACGCATCCTTTGGCTTCAAGCTGTCGTCTGTTGTTTTGCGACAAACCTGCACCGCTGCATACCCCTGACACAGCAGTCGCTGTTGCAGTTCCATTTAATTCATTGCAGATGTCGAGGCAGTGGGTGGACTGGTTCATGATACGAAGAGCCCGGACTCCCCAGTAGTTGACAGTCCACACGCTAGAGATGCCCCTGTGCCTGCCTTGGCCTCATCCTTACGGTAGATGTAGCTGGGGCACTTGTGCCTTGCGCAAGGCTCCAAAAATCCGAGATTTCAAGGCTGAAAAGCAGCAACGGCTGACGGCAGCAAAACGTCCAGGGCGGGGGGCTTCAGGGACAGACCTCCAAGTTCAATGCGTCTTTCGCGTCGAAGCAAAAGTAGGACTTCAGTTTATCCTAGGTAGTATAAGGGGGACCCTTAAACGGGAACCCCTTCTTAACCCTCTTCTGGCTCTCTTAAACAGGGACCTTATTCAGAGGGGTCTATATCCCCAAGGGTCGCCCTCATCCTATCCCCTAGTTTACCGCAGTCGCTTGTGTCTCCATGTGGCAGGTGCTTGTGCAGCTCAGTTGATTGCGGCTACCCGCTTGGCATTCTCATTGTGCGGCTGCGTGTCACATGTGCGCAGCTGTGAGCCTTTTGAGCCCCCCCTTACTGTAACTTTACCAACGACGTTATCGCCGGGTCCGTATGACCCTCTTCTTGCCATGGTTGATCGCTGCTCTTGCCGCACGTGTAGGTGTTGCGGCACAGCAGGCATCCCGCCGGGGTGGGGGGGGGGGTTAAGTAAGCCCTCTCAAAGGTGCGAGTGGCTTCTGGTTCAGGGGGGGGACTCCATGTCAAAAATCGTACCCTTGCAGGAGACGTGCCATGAGAGTGATTCTGATTGTGTGGGCGCTGCGTCGCGGAGCTTACTACAGCGAAAGCAGATGGCTGCTGAACAGGCCGGGTCCAGCTGGCAGACACGTTGACCAGTGGGGGATGTCTGACACACTTGGAGGTTCATGGTACTTATGAACCAAGTCTCACTGTACTTATAACCCAGTTACAAGTCCCTGAAGTGCCCTAATAATATTGTTTTAAGTACAGTTATAAGTACAGTTTGTAGCTGGTTAATAAGTGCCATGAACCTCCAAGCAGGCAAGCGTTTCGTTGGGGCCCTGGTGGAGCCCACCTAAACCCTAAACCCTAAACCCTAAACCCTAAACCCTAAACCCTAAACCCTAAACCTAAACCCTAAACCCTAAACCCTAAACCCTAAACCCTGAACCCATCTGTGCTGTGTGCCCGTCCCAGGCCACGACAGTCGCGGAAGTAGATCTTGCGACTGCCTTCAGCAAGCTCACCGACGTCGCGAGCCAGCTGAAGGGCGAGGCTGGGAGTGATGGGGTTTAGGGTTTAGGGTTTAGGGTTTAGGGTTTAGGGTTTAGGGTTTAGGGTTTAGGGTTTAGGGTTTAGGGTTTAGGGTTTAGGTTTCCGGTCGCATCCCCTCCCCACCTTGCCATCGCCCCTGATTTTTCCGGTCGGGCTGAAGTTGGCGCCACACATGGACGTACTTCAACGCCTCTTGCAATGCTCTCGGCCAGTTGCATGTCTCCGACCTCGGCAACTCAACTCAGGACCTCAGGGGTTGAGCGTTGAGCGCGCTTCGCACTGAGCTATCCGACGGTAGGCTATTATTTGCTTCAGAACCCCCCCCCCAAAAAAAAAAAAAAAAACTCTATTTTTTGAGGGGTTCTTAAGCAAGTAGAAGTAGGAAAAGTGCGGCCTCAGCAGCTTTTGCCACTGTTCCGGAGGTCGAGCAGCTGAAAGAAGGTGTCTCGGCGGGTTACAATCGGGGAAAGGCTCCTCTTAGTTTCCTTTTGCCCTTTTTTACTCCCCCGCCCCCCTTACCCCCCAAGCCCTAACCCAAACCCTAAACCCCTAAACAGGGTTTGCGGGTGGGGGGGGGCGCGCAGGTTGGAGGACCCCCCCCCCCCCTAAACCCTAAGCCCTAAGCCCTAAAGTACTAAGGCCTCGAGGTGGAACATGCAGAAGTCTTGCCCTGCACTCAGAGGGTTTGGGTTTAGGGTTTAGGTTTTGGGTTTAGGGGTTAGGGGTTAGGATTTCGGGTTTAGGGTTTAGGGTTGTTCACTAGGGTACTTATCAGCGGGGTTATAAGTAATACAGGGGCCGTAATAGAGAGAGCACGGTATTTTGGGGGCTATTACGGTATATTTATGAAGCGACCATAAGGGAATACCATTCGTAGTCATTTCGACCCCTGTAGCAGGGTAAGTATGGCTGTCATCTTGTTTAGGGTACTCCCATGACCTTCAAGCAGGGATCTTACCATCCCCTGGGATGGTACTGCACAAGTCGTCATCTTGGCAGAAGGCTATAGATGGAGTCTAAACGCACAGTGTTGCATGGCTTGCTTTCAAGTTGAAGCCGAATTGCCACCAGAGCCACCTCATGGCGTTGACGCCTCTCCAGCAAGGACCTTGCGCCACATGCTGTCGGAGTCCAATGAACAGAAAGTGGACTCAGGCAAGCATGTCCACGTGCATGCTGAGACAGAGCCTCGGCAGTTTTTTGTCGAGACCCGTTCGACACGCGCCTAACCACGCAACTATGTCAGCGACAGGCTCAACTGATCCAAAAACCAATCGGCAAACCTCGCAGATGAAGCATCTCACCAACCACACGTGTCCAACCCCAAACCACACAGCCTCAGCGAAGGATGAGAAAGATCAAAGCTTCGAACTCTGCCGAGCCGGTGGAAACACCCTGGGGCAGGCCCCCAAGGGGAGTGCAGGGCCTTACGTCTTTGCTCTCTTTTGGGAATGAGGGAATTAGTAATTAGGTACCCTGTATAATTTATCCCCTAAGGGGGTATATATACATACATAAACACAGATATACATATGCATATATATAAGCAGGATTATGGTTGTAGAGCTTCATGGATTCACCTTGTAGAGGGTCAGCGGGAACCCGTGTAGGGGGCGAAGTCCAGCCCTCAACACGAACCCCCCCCCCCCCCCCCCCAACGCGAAACCCCACTAAAGCCGCAAACCCGAAAGCCCCAACCCTTAAGTCTGAAGCCCTAAGCCCTAAGACCTAAGACCTACGACGTAAGACCTAAGCCCTAAGCCCTGTAAGCCTAAACCCAAACTCTTAAAGCGTCAACGAAAGCCTTGACGCTCTGGAGAACCCTCCCGACATCCGACCGAGCCTACGAGCCAAAGACCTACTCTTGCCGCAGGTTCCCGCCATAGCACCCCTCAATCCCATAAACCCCTTAAGCTATTCAAAAGAATGGTCCTTCGAGGGGTGTCGTTCATTTCCTCAATTGCTGTGGGGGCCCAGGTAGGATTCTGAACGGACCTGCACAAAAGTAGGCTAATTTCATATTCTTTCTGTGTTTTTTCTCTTTTGATTGTGTATCATGCATGAATATTATAGCGGGGGGAGGGGGGGCGGTTTATTCTGACAAACCACAAAAAGAAGCCCGAATGTCTGAGAGACCCAGGCTTCGGCGAACGTTTTTAAATGACCTGCCTCGCTGCTTTGGGGATTAGCGTTTAGGGTTAAGGGTTTAGGGTTCGGGTTCAGGGTTCAGGGTTCAGGGTGCAGGGTTCAGGGTTGAGGGTTTAGGGTTTAGGGTTTAGGGTTTAACCCTCATGACGAGGTGGAAGTTCAAGACAACCAGAGCCTCTACGAGGGCACGTCCTGCGGTAGCTCAGAGGCCCCCTTGCAAGCTAAGGGTTTCGGGATTTTCGAGTTTAAGGGTGGGTTAGGGGGTTCAGGGTGGCTGAAATGTTAGGGCGGTTAGGGTTTAAGGTTTAGGGTTTAGGGTTCTAGGGTTAGGGTTTCGGGATTTTCGGGTTTAAAGGTGGTTTAGGGTTCAGGGTGGTTTAGGGTGTTGTAGGGTTTAGGGTTCAGGGTGGTTTAGGCTGGCTTGGGGTGGTTTAGGGTTTCGGGTTTGGGATGGTTTCGGGTTTGGTTTAGGACTTAGGGTTTCGGGATAGGGTGGTTTTGGGGGGTTTGGGGGGTTTCGTTTAGGGCTTCGGGTTTAGGGTGGTTTACGGTTTAGGGTTTCGAGTTTATTGTGTGTCGGTGTGTGCGCGCGTGCGTGCGCGGGGCGTGGGGAAGACTAAGCCAACGGGCTACAGAAACGATGGGTCCGACGGTCAAGATCCGCATTGGGTGTTTTTGTCCTTCAGCTCGTAGATCCTGGAAATGAGTCCGGGCAACGTGGGATAGTACAGCACCAGAGGGTTTAGGGTTTAGGGTTCAGGGTTCAGGGTTCAGGGTTCAGAGTGGATTCAGGGTTGAGGGTGATGTAAATGTCGGCCCAGACCTAGCAAGCACCCGCACACGCAGATGCGATACCGTCCAAGGTCCTCCTCTTCTCGCCGAAGGATTCTTCTCCGTACTTTGAGACACAGTGCTGCCCTATCTCAAAGGACCGCATCATAATCGTCATTTGGGATATACCCCCTTATGCTAACAGCAGCTCCTTAATAGGATTGTAATAAGGGGGGGGGGGTCCGTAGGTACCTATAATCCCCATTAAGGACTGCTAGTCTAGTCCTTTCGATTATAGGTACTCCCCCCTTTACAATCCCTATTAAGATGCTGTTAGTATAAGGGGGAACATCCCAAATCATCATCATCATCATCATCATCATCATCATCATCATCATCATCATCATCCTCATGACACGGCATGGAGATTCATTGTGTGTGTGTCTGCGTGTTTCTATATATATATATATTAATTTGTTCATTTTTAGTGTTTTTGGATTTATTCATTTCATTTATATGTGTATATATATATATGTATACATCATGCATTTATGCTATGTAGCTTGTTTGGTGGATGTAGAGTTCGTGTGCAAATTGTGCCAATTCATCACTGCTGCCATCAGTACATCTGGTTGAAGGGCATTGTTCTCCACAGGAACACTGCGCCGGGTGCGCCAAACAGAACTCGGCGAAGACATCCTGCAGCACGTGCCGCGGTGGCTTCACCCGGACGAGCAGCTGGGGCGGCAAGTCCCATGCACAAAGTCCAATCCTTGGGGACCAAATGAACCCCCAAAAGAGTTTATGGTTCATATGCCTCAATAGGGCTTCTAGTAGTACTGGGTATATGACCCCAATTCTAGGGTTCATTTGGTCCCCAAGGATGATGTATGCCAATGAGGTTCAAGGTGTTCTCGACGGTCCCAACGCATGAGCCATGCTGCATTGCTTCTTGTGGCAAATGGTGGCGACATGAGGGACGTACCAGTTACTCGGAGGGACGTTCCGACCTCGCGCTCCAACAATCAACAAACTCTACCGAATTTTCGGGTGATTTCCTCATGAACTTTTTTGGAGTCTCCCAGTTCGACATGTAGGGCTTTTCACTGTCAGGTGCTGGTAACTGCCTTGCCTGCGTGGACCTGCCGTGGGAGAACAAGGAGAGGTAGACCCCACAAACCCTAAACCCTAAACCCTAAACCCTAAACCCTAAACCCTAAACCCTAAACCCTAAACCCTAAACCCTAAACCCTAAACCCTAAACCCTAAACCCTAAACCCTAAACCCTACACCCTAACCCTAAACCCTAAACCCCAAACCCCAAGCAGCAAAGCGCGAAGGTTGAAGCGATTGAGGTTTCTTTACCTGCAAGCGGGCCAGCGATGTAGGGGTTCCCTACACCCCAGTGTTTAGGGGTTTGGGGGTTTAGGGTTTAGGGTTTAGGGTTTAGGGTTTAGGGTTTAGGGATTGGCAAGAAGTCAGAGTGCCTCTCATGTGTACACGCTCCAAGGTACCTCATTCCCTCATTCCCTACTAGGAACCAGCCAGAAGAAGAGGCCACAATTGATAACCACCCCCCCACCATGTGCAGCCTCCCTGCTGCCAGGCAGGACAGAATTGTGTCAAGGCAAGCTGTTCTGACGAGAAGTTCAACGGCGACCTGCCTCTTTTCATGACCTTAAACCCTTGCACCCTTCAACCCCTAGACCCTAAACACTCTAATCCCCCCCCCCCCCCTAACCCCCACCCCCCCTAACCCCCCCTAACCCCCCCCCCCCCCCCTAACCCCCCCCCCCCCCCCAGAAAAAAAAAAAAAAAACGAATGCACCGAAGTCGGTTGCTTCAAGCCTGAGGGGGACTACACCTGCAGCCCTAAGCTCCAAACCCTCAACCCCTAAACCCTAAAGCCTAAACCCTAAACCCTAAACCCTAAACCCTAAACCCTAAACCCTAAACCCTAAACCCTAAACCCTAAACCCTAAACCCTAAACCCTAACTAAAACTCCTCTGAGGCTTCTCTTCGAACGAGGCTTGCTGCAAATGTGGAGCGGGGCAGAAGGCCTGAGGGAAACTTGCACGGCAAGATGTTTGGGATGTTTCGTGCACTTACCACCCCTAAACCCTAAACCCTACACCCTAAACCCCTAAACCCCTAAACCCCTAAACCCCTAAACCCCTAAACCCCTAAACCCCTAAACCCCTAAACCCCTAAACCCCTAAACCCCTAAACCCCTAAACCCCTAAACCCCTGACCCTAAACAGCAAGAGAGCATCCGGGCGCGAGCGATCTGCGAGTGAGGTGCGGCTTTGGGAGCAATCGGCCCCTTCCAACGACAGAATGCGCAACAACACGCAACAGAGGAGCTCCGCTATACCTGTCAAACCTACCGTACCAACCCGCTAAAAACTCTAAACCGTAAACCCTAAGCCCGAAACCCTAAACCCTAAGCCCTAAACCCTAAACCCTAAACCCTAAACCCTAAACCCTAAACCCTAAACCCTAAACCCTAAACCCTAAACCCTAAACCCTAAACCCTAAACCCAATTCACCCCATCAACTCTCCCCAAATCCTCAACCCAACCCGTAGGCCGCCACCAGCTTCGCCTACTACGTCGGCCCGCTGGCCCTGGGCTCCAGCTCTGTGGTGGGGCATCCGGTTCCCCGCACCGCCAGTGACCTGGGTGCATATTAAAACCCTGCTTATCGTATAGTGAGTGAGGGAATTGGGGCCCTATACATATATATATATATATGTATATATATATATAGGTAGATAGATAGATACATATGTATATACACATATATATATATATACCCTTTAAGGGATGATATAGGGTACCTCATTTCCTCATCCGCTTCCAAGAACCAGCCAGTTAAGGGTTGAAAGGGTTGTTAAGATGTGCAAAGGGCACAAGGGCCTTAGAGGCGTCCCTGGACTTTGGGCTTTACAGGGTTTAGGAGGTAAAGGGGTTCAGGGTTTGCAGGAGTTTAGGGGTAGTTTAGGGTTTGCAGTACAGGGTGTAGGGTTCGAGATTTAGGACTTAGGGCTATTGCAGGTTGATGATCTGATGGGGTCCTTGGTTCCATGGGTTCTCCGCTGAGGAAACGTACCATACCCATCCTTGTGAACAATCCCCCACATCCCAACATGGATGGACTCAATTTCGGGGTTTGCTCAAGAATCCGCAGTTGGTTTTGGGCGAAAATGAGGCCACTACTCGGTGGACAAGGACGGGGCATCAGCCATGAGTGCAGACACAACCCGAAGAAATCTTTCTGCAAGCCTGCAGCACGCACAAAGGTGTCCAGGAACCCAATTTTTTGCGACCTTTGGACAAGTCGGACATAGGCTTTGTTCAGCTCCCAAACTACTGTAGGAGATTTGCAAGGACGATTTCTGGATACCATCACAGCACCATATAGTACAAGAATATACGAATAATTACCTACAGTTCATGCCAAGCGTATAGCTAAGTCATGCATTTCCCTTCCCTCCCCCCTCCCCCCCCCCCCTAATAATCCCTGATTACCTTATAAGGAAGATTTTCGTTTTTTTTTGGGGGGGGGTGTTCTTCAGCAATTCGTAGCCGGCGAGTGTTGTTGGGGAGGACTGTGAGCTGGCGAAGTATGGGCTGATGATCAACCCTTCCACCGGCGTGCCGTGACTTGCACGACGGCTACAAGTATAGGGATAGGGGGTTTAGGGTTTAGGGTTTGTAGGGTATTAGGGTTTTAGGGTTTAGGCTCACAGGAGCAGAGCAGTAAGTTGCCGCTTCGTGCGAGTGCCGCGACTGGCCCCTGCCTTCCGACTAAATTTCCCAGTCTTATCAATGAGACGCTCTTGTGCACGCAGAGGCGCGAGAACCGTGTGAAGCTCCCGGCAGAGGGTATAAACCTGTCGCCCTAAACCCAAAATACCCCTATGGAGGCCCTAAGCCCTATAAACCCCACATTGCACTAAGTGGGGCCCCAAGCCCCTCTGAGGGCTTTTACCTCATCTTCAATTGTCCAGAAGTCCAGCTTAGTAGCTGAATGAGTACACTTTGCACCTTTGGGGATACTACAATCCCCGATAGAACTGAAAGTGTGCACCTTTTTGGGGGGGGCTTATGAACCCCTAAACCCTAAACCCGAAACCCTTCATCCCAAAGCCCCAGGCGCTTGGTCTGATTTCGGGATGCAGCACGGTGGGCTGCGGCGCCCAGAAGTCGATTGCCGCCTGGCGCGTTTTTGGGGTTTGGGGGTTTGGGGGTTTAGGGTTTAGGGTTTAGGGTTTAGGGTTTAGGGTTTAGGGTTTAATGATACTCTTAAACCCAGGTTTATGGGTACTTATATACCCAAAAATACGGTATTTAGAAGGACCCCCCGCCCCCCCCCGCCCCCCCCATGTTCTATGAAGTAGCCATTAGTACCCATGAACCCCCAAGTAGGGCCTGAAGGCATACACGGTTGGGGGCGAAAGCACCGAAGGCTAGGGGATCGATACCGGGAATGGGTTCGCGATTGCAAGGACTCTCCTGATTCGGGTTTAGGGTTTAGGGTTTAAGGGTTTAGGGTTTAGGGTTTGGGGTTTGGGGTTTGGGGTTTAGGGTTTAGGGTTTAGGGTTTAGGGTGAGATCTTCAGTTGGAAGGTTGGAGACCATGCTCGGAGCCTGCCAGGGTTTGCTTGCGATGTCTTCTTTCTTCATATCCACGTCTGGAAGAGTTTTGAGAACTAAGCTATCTAGGTTGCCCAGTAGTACCCTTATTCCCTTTTTGGGGGGTTTAGGTTCCCGTATAAACCCCTTTCAGCAAAAAAGGGCACCCTTTTTAAGCCTAGGTTACTGGGCAGCCTAGCTATGTAAGGGTGGTTGGCAAAACTATGATCCCTTTTTGGGGTATCCTAAATATTAGGTGCGGTATTATACTGGGGATCCAAAAAGGGACCATCATTGTGACAGCCTAACGCCCAAATTGCCCATTAAGAGCCAGGAGACACATCGCCTGTAGAGGGGGGGGCGTGGTAAACTCCCCAAGATCCAGCCCCGGAATTAGCGAATCTCAGCTACTTCGGGTTTAGGGTTACGTGTCTAGGTAGGCGCTTGGACTTGGGATCTTTGTATATTTTCCCGTCTCGGGTTTAAGAGGATCATATTGAAGGAACAGCTTTCACAGGGTTTTATTGGTCACCTTCGCTGTATGTGAGTGGTGGAATGTTCCCCCTTATATCTAAGGGTAGCTATAGGGGCCCTGAATATGGTCCCTTACCTCCTTTAAAGGGTTCTGATGGCCCTTAGTTTGTAGAGGTTATACAAGGGGTACACGAGGGGTCCTTTTGTAAGGAGCAGCGTGAAACCCAATGGATCTCCCGATCTCCCGCGAGGAAGTGAGATGCACGGTGACAGCGGAGCAGGACGCGGCGATGTGCCCACACCCTAAACCCCAAACCCCAAACCCCAAACCCCAAACCCTAAACCCTAAACCCTAAACCCTTTAGGGTCTAAGGTTCAGTGAGTCCCCGAGGAAAGACAGCTTACAGGCTCTGTGCACAGATGATGCGGAAGCTCGATAGCTCCTAAACCCTAAGCCGGCTAGTTTTAGGGTTTCGGGTTTAGGGCTTAGGGTTTCGGGTTTAGGGTTTAGGGTGACTGAACCCCAGACCCCCTCCACCTGGTCCTTCGTTTCGCCCTGCGCAGGAGGACGGGCTCACCGCGAGCGCGCCCTTGGAAGTCTTGGCCGGTGGTGCGCCTTTGACTCAAAAACTAGGACCCGGAGTGGGCCCTTGTTCCCTTTTTTTAAAGTTTAGGGTTCCGTTCTAACCCCCTTAAACCCAAAAAGGGCAGCCTTACTCTACTAACTATAGTTAGGGGACATACAACCTAGCTTAGGATCCTTATGGCCCAATTTATGGCCCAATTTAGGGTCCTTGTCGGACCCGGAGTAGGCCCTTATTCCCTTTTTTAGGTTTAGGGTTCCCTTCTAAACCCCTTAAACCCCAAAACGGGCACCCTTTTTAGCCGAGATGGGGGTTTCATAAATTCGGGGTACCTTCTTGAGGTCCTTATTACAAAGGGATCCTACTACTTAGGGGCCAAAACTCAGGGCCCCCTGAATTTCTTAAACCCCCAAAACGAACCCTGAAAGGGCTTCTGGTCTCCATATGCGCTAATAGGGACTAGAGTAGTATCTACTAAAGGGTTTAGGATTAATCGGGGTTGAGGGTTCCATGTACCCTCATAGAGCTGATAGTAGCACCGGGTACATCATCCCAGTGTTCGGGATCTGGCCACCAAGGTTCCGAAACCTTGTGCGACGAGGTTAGGGTTTCGGGTTTAGGGTTTAGGGTTTAGGTAGAGTTTCCTTAAAAGTTATGATGATATGAACCTCAGAGAAATATGTTGAAAAGAGATCATGGCATGGTTCTAAGGGGGCTTGGAGAAAGATAACTCCTAAACCCTAAACCCTAAACCCTAAACCCTAAACCCTAAACCCTAAACCCTAAACCCTAAACCCTAAACCCTAAACCCTAAACCCCATCCTTTGCAGAAGAGTCTTTGCTCCGAGATCGGCTACGGCTCAGTGCCCGTGGTCCTCCGTGGCACTACCAAGAGCTCAGCGCCGGTAGTGCGCCTTGTCTTAGTAGCAATTCGGGTTTAGGGTTTAGGGTTTAGGGTTTAGGGGATTTGGGGGTTTTCGAAGTTGGAGGTACCTTATTGGGGCCTTATTATAAGGGAATCCTATGATTTGGGGGTCTACATTGGGGTTCCCGAATTATCGTAAACTCCCATATCTCCTATGCTTGGAGGTTCAGGAGTACTAAGAACCCAACTGCAACTGTACTCATAAGCCCCACAAGTCCCCTAAGAAGGTTATAAGTCGACTGATAGTTGGAGTTGGAAGTGCCAATGAGCCTCCAAGTAGGACTTGTCAGAAGCCCAAAGATCATCAGAGTTCATGGCCATATTCCGTGGTACGGATACCATTCCGAATGGGGCGAGAACCGGTAAGACCTTACCACCCCAAGGACCTCAACCGGGAGCTCCGGGAGTTACAAGATCTCGTGCGCACCTTCTGCAAGCAACTGAGCCGCACCCGCGCCACTTTAGCGTTTCTTGAGGCATTGCGTCTGCTTGCATATGAGAGCAGATACTGTGGGGACCAATTGAACCCTAAAGGGTGCGTGGTTCATATGCCTTAGTAGGAATTCTAGTAGTATAAGGCCGAAAGGGTATATGATCCCAATTTGAAGGTTCATCTGGTCCCCAAGGTAAGGGGGCGTCATGGCCGCATGGGTGTCTAAGGACGAGCTTTGAGTGGTTCTGGGCGTTTTGGGGTTCAGGCTGCTATACCCTAAACCCTACACCCTACACCCTAAACCCTAAACCTGCCGAAGAGCCCCCTGAACAAGGCACATGTTCAATGCAAGGTAGCTGGCTGAACATCGACTCGTCTGGCAAACTCGCGCTGAAGTCTGGGCAGTCCACGGGCGCCTTGGCCCATGTCCTGGCGAGACATGAGGTTGCACTGTAGGGAAGCTTAGGGAGCTTTGGGGGGGGGGGGGGGGGGCGCTGGGGAGTATTAGGGAAGGTTGGGAATCATAAACCCATGAAGCATCGGTTTTCTCAGACTCAGACGTTTGAGCGGCTGCGGTGTTCTGACGTGGCTGCGGTGTGGAGAAGTAGTTCTGCATTGGGGTGCCGACATGGGGCCCATGCTGTGCGGTGGCGAGTCGTGTATCCGTCGGCAGAGTCTCCAAAGGAAGCTCCGCGTCCTTGGCTCTCAAGGTCCTAAACCCTACACCCCAAGAACCCTAACCCCCTAACCCTAAACCCTAAACCCCTAACCCTAAACCCCAAACCCCAAACCCCTAAACCCTAAACCCTAAACCCTAAACCCTAAACCCTAAACCCTAAACCCTAAACCCTAAACCCTAAACCCTAAACCCTAAACCCTAAACCCGAACTCCAATCAAACTTGGAAGCGCCTTGCAAGGCGCCGGCGGCGTGACCGGCTCGGACGGCAAGATGGGCGAAGGCCGGTTTCGGCCTGGGTGTAGGGTTTAGGGTTTAGGGTTTAGGGTTTAGGGTTTAGGGTTTAGGGTTTAGGGTTTAGGGTTTAGGGTTTATAGAAATTGTATAGGGTTCGGCCTGGGCTCTTCATAAGGCCAAAGAGAGCAGACTGCGCTTCAGCCTCATATGGAAGTTTAGGGTTTAGGGTTTAGGGTTTAGAGTTCTCAAAAATAGGGGGTACCCTGTTGGGCCGATTATGTGCAAGTGTAATTCTAACGCTACGCGACCCGCCTCGGCCTGGCCCAATGCAGCTCCTGGAGAGCAGGGACGTGGGGGTTTGGGGAGGCGGGGGCCTGCGTTGTCTGCTCCCACTCTTGCCTACAAAACATACCCAAAACGCACCCATGGGATTAAACCCGAAAGCCAGACAAAGGGTGCAGTTCTGTTTTGCGCTGAATGCCGAAACTCTGGTGGTGGGGGGGGAGGTGTGGGGGGGGGGGGGGGGGGGGGGGGGGGGGGGGGGGGGGGGGGGGGTGGGGTGGGTGGGGTGGGTGGGGGTGGGGTGGTGGGTTTGGCGTCAGACCCTACAGCATGAGCCCAACCTCCCCTGGTCCCGGCAGATCCCGGTCGCCTATGGGGGTACCCATTCCAGGCAAAAAAAGGGGGCCGACGTGTGGCTTTGGGGGGTGCCTGATCTCACAAGCAAAAACTATAGAAGATTAGAAGAACACGTGCCTCCTTAAGACCTCTCTTAACACCCTGGAGTGTTTCTGGAACAAAGATGCCGTGCAGTTTGACATTTGCTTGGCTCATGCATGCAACACTTTGAGAACATGCGGCAGGCGGCGTTTGCTCCGTACAGAAGGGCACGGACACTTGGCTTTAAGCAATGCTGGCCTGCAGCTACCTAAGCCCTAAACCTTCTTCTTCTGGGCGAGGATGATTGTAAACTCTGGTCGATCGGCAGTCGCGCAGGACCAAGCCATGCGATCGACGGCCAAGGGGCCGTCCGTAAACACGTTTCCTATACTCTTCTTGGCCTTCGCGCAGTTCTTCATGTCATGGTCTTTCTGTATGTGACTCGCACCTGCAGCTGGGGTAGCACATGAAGCTGATTAGCACCATGCTCCTTTGATGGTCACATCTTAGATATGTTGATATTGGAAGGTCTTTGAATAGAACCGCGATGTTCTCATGCAATAAATCACCAGTACGTAGATTCCTGAAGACTGGCGCACAGGCGTTGCAGTCAACATCACGTTTCGCCCAAAGACCCCCAACTTAGCCCCGTGTTACCCTTGTACCCTCCTGAACCACGCTAAATCGCCCCCCATGTTCCCCCCAAAAACCCGCTGAACTTGAGGCCAAGGGCTCGGTCGTGGTGGTCGCACCAACGACGTGGTCGTCCCTGAGCTACAGCTCCTCGGAGGCCCTCCAGGTTCTGCAGATGCGGTCTAGGGTTTAGGGTTTAGGGTTCAAAGTTTAGGGTTTTGGGTTTAGGGTTACAGCACTCTCGAAAACCGTCAGGTGACATTGGCGGTGTCATTAAAGTGCAGGGATGAAAGGGTTGGGTACCGATCTTGTTTCTCTAAACCCTAGAAACACTCGGCGAGACGGGGTCATGCATGATAGCCCTGGAAGATGCGTCAAGAGGTATGGGGCGTATGGATTTCGGGGTTTCCCAAAGAAGGGGTACCTAATTGGGGTCCGTATTCTCAGGGAATCCTACTATTGGGGGGTCTATGTTAGGGTCCCTTATTTTCGCAAACCCATTTTGGGTTCTAGAGTTGAGGGTTTAGAAGGTTTGGGAAGCCTCGGGCTCAATCGAGGCTACGGCAGCAGGCTCCTCTACGTCACGGTCGGGGAGAAGTCCCCGATCCTCTCGCCCACCAAACGAACAGGCCTGACTTCAGGGCATGATACTATTCTAGGTAGGACACTGGGATATTGCCCTTATTCGGTTTTAGAGGGTCATCTTTAGGATTTTTTTCAGAGGGTTCAAGTTTTAAGGAGCAACCTAGTCTTTTGAGCCGATGAGCTTCGCCGGTGAACCACATCCCATGCCCTTCTCTGTGTCCTCACACTTCGGTTGAGTTTCGGTTTTACAGGGCCCTTACGGGTGAAATAGTCCCATGAGCAGCCCGCTTCAGGGAGGGAGGGCAGGTATCCTCACTAGAACCCTGTACTTTTTTACCCTATGTCTATATCCCAACAATTATAGCCCTAAACCCTAGTCCCTAATCCCTAGTCCCTAATCCCGAAAGCACAGAAAAAGCACCAGGCGTGAAGCCCACGCGCTTCTCCGCCGACTGCAAGGGCTCCGCGTTCACCTTCGACGTGCTCAGCGGCATCGCCACCTGGGAAGGACACCAGAACCTGGGGCGAATTTGTCCCCTACAGGGAATGGTGAAAGTCGTGGCCCATTTGTGGGACCCCAGAGAAGGCTGCAACCCAGAAGTCGTGGCCCGACCTAAAACACCAGGGAATCGCAACATTCGGCCATGATCCCTGACCATTGGACATTTCGCGACATGCAAACCCTGAAACACCAAGGAATCGCAACAAACTCGCCAAGTTGTGCTGCCATTTTGGCTTTGCTCCAATCGTCGGGTGATTGGGGTACTAGCAGCTGACCTTCAACCCAAACCATCCCAAACCTTAGATAAGCATCACCCCAAGCATCCCCAAACCGTAAAGCGTATAGCCTTGAAGTCCGGCTTTTGTTTTGCCAGAGAACAAGCATGGGTAAGGAATCGGAGCTTTCAAACGCGGCTTTCCCAGACCTCTGTTCTGGAGCTGAGATAGGGGGTCTGGAAAGCGTGGTTTTTGGGTGTGTTTGGGCTGGAAAACCGTTTTTGCAACCCTTCCCTTCCTGGCCCATTGGTCACCAAACCAAGCTAGGACTTACGCGGGCCTTACGCGGACCTTACGCGGGCCTTACGCGCAGTAGGCTTGTGCCCAGCCCCAGTTGCCCAATCGCAACCATACCCTGCTAGGCCTTTGAGGAAACAACACCGTGTAGCAACACTTTAGAACTTAGGGGCCCTAAACGGTGAACTCTTTCGAGCCCCTGTAAGGCCTGGAACCCCCAAGAATCCCAGGACTCTGAACTCCTAGACCCCTTCCGTTAAGCCTTACAACCCTGGGCCGTTGACGCTATACGTATGGGTCGGGGAGACGCTGTCAAAAAGTAGCGTTCACTCGTGTTTCGGCAGCTCGTGCGTTCTGGTTTCTGTTCTGTACGGGTTGCTCCTGGATGGTGTTGCCAAGTGAAATGCCTAAAACTTCCCGATTGATTGCCCAACGCTTTGCTATTTACTATTTGTAATGGTGCATGTTGCCTTAGCGTTTACTTGGTGGAAGCGGCGGGGCCAGGACTTTTCATGACTTTCTTGGTTGGCGTTTACATGCGGAAAGACATAGGGGCCATGACCATGCCATGACTTTGTCGGATGCCTGTAAGGCCGACTGGAACCCCTAAACCCTCAAACCGTACCCCCTAAACCCTAAGCCCTAAACCCCTAGTTTCCTAAACCCCTGAACCCCTTAAACCGCAACTCTAAACCCTAAACCCGAAAACGCTGAACCCCTAAACCCCCTAAACCCGGGGCCACGAGTCACTGCCGAGGGGGCCGTCGAAAGGCCCTTCAGACCCTAAAAAGAGTAGCTTCTAACCCCACTTGCAAGGGCACCCTAATCGCATTAGACATTCGTGACTGTAGCTGCCGAGAGTTACCTTAAGGACCAAATAAACGCTTTCTGAGTCATATGCATTAACTAGGCTTCTAGTCGTACCCTAAAAACCCTGAGCCCCAAACCCCAAAACACTAAACCCTAAAGCCTAAACCCTAAACCCTAACCCTAAACCCTAAACCCTAACTAATAAGGGTTTCATCTGGTCCTCCTGGTACTGGTCCGACCAAGCCAAGGATCTTCTCCCTGAACACGGCCACGGGGGATCTCCAGCTCAGCCCGGAGGAGCCTTGTGGAACCTGGCCCAGATTCGAACAAAAGCAACTTTAAGTTTAGGGTTTAGGGTTTAGGGTTAAGGGTTTAGGGTTTAGGGTTTAGGGTTTAGGGTTTAATCCCCGATTCTGCCAGACTCCTGGATCCCACTCCGAGAGGCCGCAGTCACTTGTGATTCTGGCTGCACTGACTGCCCTAACCCCCCAAACCCTAAACCCCAAACCCCAAACCCCAAACCCTAAACCCTAAACCCTAAACCGGACTGCCCCGAACTCAACCTTGCCCCACAGGAGTCCTTGACAAAGACGTTGGACTCGAAATCTGTGGCCTTGGCTGCAAGAAGGTGACCACAGGTCTTCCCCCAAACTCGGAGTTTAGACCCCTAAACCCTAAACCCTCAACCCTCAACCCCAAACCCTAAACCCCAAACCCTAAACCCTAAACCCTAAACCCCACGGCAAGAAGAGCTTTCCGTCTCAACAGAGCAGAGTCCCTGGAGTCTAGGACACGTCGACCTCTTCGCGTCGATCGATTTCGACGGCTTGCACCATCTTCGGCCACTACGAGCGGCTTGGAGAGCTGTTTCTATGTTTTTGGTTTAGGGTTTAGGGTTTAGGGTTTAGGGTTTAGGGTTTAGGGTTTAGGGTTTAGGGTTTAGGGTTTAGGGTTTAGGGTGGGGGGGGGGGGGGGGGATTTTCCAAGAAAGAAAAGGAGTGCGGGGTGGGGTAGGGGAGGGGGGGACCAAATGGACACTACAAAAGATGGGATCATCATACACCCCATGCTAATTCTAATCCCCAGTATAAGGTATTTGTTGGCAACATGCTCTAAACCCTAAACCTTAAACCCTAAACCTTAAACCCTAAACCCTAAACCCATGCAGCGTTCGTTTCGTCCCAAACCTTGGGGAAGCATCGGATCGCAACCCCCCAGCCCGCGGTAAGTAGGGTTTAGGGTTTAGGGTTTAGGGTTTAGGGTTTAGGGTTTAGGGGTTAGGGGTTAGGGGTTAGGGGTTAGGGGTTAGGGTTTAGGGTTTAGGGTTTAGGGTTTAGGGTTTAGGGTGTAGGGTTTCAGTGCAGCAGCCACCCGACAAATCTATCCCGTCTGCAGAGTACATGGTTTTTGCAGACTTAGGCAAGTGCATCAAGACAGGATACCCGAAGCCCGAAGCCCACCCCAACTCTTGGGGACCGAATGTGCCCTAAAAAGAGTTGAAGTTTACAGGGTTCAGGGTTCAGGGTTTAGAGTTTAGGGTTTAGGGTTTAGGGTTTAGGGTTTAGGGGTCCCTATACCTCGATCCCAATTTTGGGGCTCATGTGGTCCCCTCAGGCGCCCGTGTCCTTGCCGTTGCTGTTGCCTTCCAAGGTGGGCTCCGACGGGCCATGGCCCCATTTTGACCCACCGGCTGAACATGGAGTTCCGGGACACGACAGGGGTGGGGAGAAGGGGCTGCCACTCACTCAGACACAGACAGAACAGACGGACAGACAGACAGATACAGACAGATACAGACAGATACAGACAGACACTCACTCACTCACTTACTCACTCACACACGCTCACTCTCACTCTCACACTCACTCTTGCATTCTCACACTCGCACTCGCACGCACACTCACACTCACACTCACTGCTGCACGGGGTGTCAAGCATGCGGCACGAGAACCTCACAGGACCATACTTGCTGGGCCTATCGCAGCCTCAACTTCGCCAGACGCGCGACCAAGGCTGCTCTGCAGTTGGCTTACTGGAAGGATTCACGGGCAGTTCTAAGTGGGGTTCTAAGTAGAGTAACTATGGTGATGACCTTATTTAGGGCACTTAGAACCCCACTTCTAACTACCCATGAACCTTCAAGTAGGTATTCTTCAGGTTTAGGGGTGCAGGTTGAGGGTTGTGGGTTGTACGCCCTACTGTTCCGCAAAGATGGCGGCTTCGCCAGCTGCATGTCTCGAAGGTGTCAGGCAGCTTCCCCCCTAAGCCCTAAAACCTTAAAACCCTAAACCCTAAAACCCTAAACCCTAAGCCCTAAACCCTGAAGCCTCAAAAAAAAAACCCAAAGCCAGCGCTCGTCATCGGACCTGGAGAACCCTATGCCCAAAACCCCCCCCAAAACCCGATAGTAAACCCCTATAAACCCCCTAAGCCCGGCCCCTAAACCTCTCAACTCCCAGACCCCTAGATAAAAACCCCGATAAGCCCCCTTAAGCCCGTAAACCTCCACACCCCAAAAGCCCCTAAACCCTAACCCTAACCCCAAACCCTAAACCCTACACCCTAAACCCTAAACCCTAAACCCCCCCCAGTGCCCGACAGAAGGCACTCCAGGAGCATGGGTTGCGCATCGACATTTTTGGGTTTCAGGGCTCAAGGTTTAGGGTTTAGGGTTTAGGCATCAGGGTATCTTACTTCTCTCTGCTTGACATATGTTTTGACCTTTGGACCCCAGGCCTGTCTGACACCAGCTTGGAAGCAAGTTACTTTTCACGGTTGTTGCCGACAATAGACGTGAACTCTCAACCCTAAACTGCACGGCCTCGCCAACTGTTCGCGCGAGTCTGGCAGCGGCAGCTGCCGCTCCCGGTGCCGCAGTGCCCTTGGGCCTACAGAGCCGCATGGGCTTTTGAGGTTCAGGGCTTTCCCTAAACCCTAAACCCGAAACCCTGAGTGTGACAAAGTGGCCTCAGTGGACTCAGGCGTTCGTTTAGGTCCCTGCGGCACACCCCTGAAAGCGACCCAAGTGATCCGGGGTGGCCCGAGTGTCCCAAGTGACCAAAACCCTACGCATTACCTTAAGAGTTAAGGGCTTAAGGTTTTCTTTTGGGCCTGCCTCAAGAACCCAAGACCTATTTCTCACTGGGGGCTTTATCACGACCAGGACCGAGAAAAGGTCGGTTGGGGGGTTCTTAAGGTTTTGGGGGCTTCCCCCCCCCCCCCCGCCCCCCCCCCCCCCCCCCCCCCCCCCCCCACCGCCCCCCCCCCACCCCCCCCCCCCCCCACGCCCCCCCCCCCCCCCCCCCCCCCCCCCCCCCCCCCCCCCCCCCCCCCCCCACCCCCCCCCCCCACACGCCCCCCCCACACCGCCCCCCCCCCCCCCACCCCCCCACGCCCGCCCCCCTCCCCCGCGAAGAAGGGAAACCTTGCTGCAGTTCTGAAGGCATCGACTCAAGCCAAACCCCAAAGCCGAAACCCTAAACCCGAAACCCTAAACCCTAAACCTTAAACCCTGCCTAAACCCTAAACTCAGGGCCTCTGCCGCCCTCCCGTTGGGGGGCGGCGCTTAAGCCCTTCGACCTCGATGGTGGGCTTTTCTCGAACCGATTTCCTAACTCTGGCTCTCCTGCACTTTGGGCCCTGGCCCCCCTGACTACCACCGCGGAATGAAGAGTTTTCTGTAAAGTAAGCAGTTGGCTTGAGTTTAGCCCAAAGCCTAAACGGAATAGGTTCGGGTGGCTTTGCCGCCTCGGACGGCATGGGGTGGGAGAAAAGTGTTAGATGGCCTTCCACAATCAGGCCGAAGCTGCTCGTCGCACCTCACGAGGCTTTCGCGCTTGTTCCAAAACCTAACCATCTACGCCCCATCACAGCAAACCTCAAACCCTGAACCCTGACCCAGACCCAGCAATGCCATCCGCCAAGGAGGCTTACTGCTCGCACTACAGGTCAGAGTCCGGCACCTGCTACTTCTACAGCATCTCGGGCCCAGACAGGAGTTTGGCCGATGTTTTTTGGGGTTTTTTTGATGGCATGTGCGAGAAAGGCCGCGACAGGGTCTCCAAGCTGTGGAGCGTGTGAAGAGTCACGTTGCGCAGTTCCATCATATGGATTCCACTGGGGGAACCGAGGTGGCGTGTGCACAGACTCATCCAACTTCGCCTGCAAGTACAAGAATGCCCGCGCCCCAGAGGGGTGTCGGCTTGTTGCTCGTAGGGTTTGATATACGATCCTCACAACCCACACACACACAGTTCCACACACCCCAACTCACCCCCCTCAACCCTCCTCAACCCAAAACCCTCAACCGTTACACCTCGAAATAAGACGACGCCATGTTCTTGAGATAGGCAACTTCCCGGACAGGGGTCCCCTTTTTGTACCCCAACATGCAATATCAATTACACCCCAAACACCGTCTGAATACTTTTCGCCCCCTTCCGAGATCGGTGTCCTGGAGCGCTACCCGGGCTGCGGCGAGCGGAATGGCTGCATGCACCTCGAGCCCCTCGCAGCGTCCATTCTGCTTGTAGCTGCTTTTTTTTGCAGGAGGATTTATGGGTTCCGGGTTTGGAATGTAGGGTTTCGGGTCTAGAATTTAGGTTCCCGGGCTTAGGGTCTAGAGATTAGGGTCGGGTGCGGAGGGGGGAACGGGGGAAGCGGTGGCTCTTCCCTGCAGCTCAATTCAAGCGTTGTTCTTGAGGTGCATGCCACAGTCCTGACAACACTGAGCCCTCCTAAACCCTAAACCCTAAACCCTAAACCCTAAACCCTAAACCCTAAGCCCTAAGCCCTAAGCCCTAAGCCCTCAGCCCTAAGCCCTAAGCCCCAAGCCCTAAGCCCTAAGCCCTCAGCCCTCAGCCCTCAGCCCTAACCCGAAGCCCAATCCCCCCGCAAACTCGCGGATATTCCTAGCGAGCTGCAAGGTTGAAGGGGCACCACTACCTCTCCGGCAGGTACTGCCCTGGCGGTGCCCCCTGGCCCCGTTGAGAAGTTTGGCTCGGGGTGCTCTCTCGGATTGCTGTCCATATAGACCTTACGGCTGCTAATCATGTAGCTCCTGGAACCATCGCTGCTAGTTATGCTGCATATGATGAAGCATTGAGTATACGGTATGAGGCAAGTTGTGTGTCGGGGGTTGCCGTTTGTTTGATCTGCAAAAGTGTGAGAGTCTTGTTTCAATCATAGCTGACCATTGTAATTCTGCTTCAGGGCCCCCCCCCTCTCAGATCAACATTCCACTTCAGGGTTTGTACCTTGTTGTCCTGGAAGCTACTTATCATTATTGCTTAAGTCTATGCAATGATGTAAGTGCTAGGAATGCAGCGAAACGCTGATTGAGAGTTCCCGCTGGCTACTATTCTTTTTGAAACCCATCAGGATTTGCAAAATAGAATTCTTGTATGCGCGCTCAGTCTGTTTTCTCCTTGCTGCACATGTGCATTTTCTACGCGACCTATCTTTTCCTTCGCTTGTTCTTGGCATTGGTGGCGTCCTTTGCCCACACGTAGCACATAAACCAAGCTTGCATCTGGGATCTCTTTTTGGCAGCCAGCTTTGCGAGGCTGTTCTTGGTTTCGTCGATCTGCGTAGCATCAAGATTGGGATTGTAACTCGCGCTTGTCGATGCCCTGAGTGTTCTGCACAGCAGCCCCAACAAAACGACTAAGTTGATCAAATACTAAACGATTCTTCGAAACCTCCTATACAGCTGCAAGCAACTTCCCCTCGTACAGCTGGCCGCCTGTTAGTTTCACTTGAAAGTGCGGCAGAGTAGTTGTCTTGTGGACCACATGCAAGGGCTGAACCTCGCTTGGCATCGGGTATCTGTCTTTCAGATACTGCGGAATTGTTGTAGTCTCTGACAGCAGCCGGCGACTCTGGCGGTTTGCGTCCCCCGCATTCACCGCCTCCTCTGCCTGTGTGTCGCCGTCGTGGTTTTGATTCGGTTCCTCCTCTTTGTTTCCTGTGTCGGCATCATCCTGCACAAATGTTGCGAACTGCAGTACTGTTAGCATATTTGCTGAGTGCGTATTTTTGCTGTTTGTCCTCGTCCTCCGCATCGATGTCACCCAGCATGTTCCTTGCAAACTCGACAGCAGGATCGTCTGGATCCAGCAAACCATCAGGCACCTGCTCGGTTATTCTTATCATGTCTGTTGAAGATTAACAAAAGAAGCTGCACCACCGAAGGCCTCATTTTCGCTCTCGGCATCCTTTTCATTTTTGGCTTTCCCCTTTCTTCTCTTATCATCCATTTCTTCCAGTTTTTTGATTAAAGCTTCGATGACCTCGGCAGAGCACGCCGACGTAACCTCGTCCAACTTCAAGAGCATCTTTATCTTGTACGTCTTGGTGTTGTTCTTGCGGCACTGCAACCCATACTTTTGAAGCAAGCAGGAAAGATTGTCGGAGGTGAGCCTGGCAATGCTGTGTGTTCTTACCAGGAAAACAAGGGCGGAGACACCACTCATTCCCCTGCGAAGGATGCATGCGAATCCCAACTTTGTCGACAGTGCAGTAGGCAACCAATGCAGCGTGTACTCGAAGATTGTTACCTGACAGCAGCTCGAAATCAACTATGAAGGGCTGCAACCAGCGATTGTTGTTTTAGGTGATGCAACATGATTTTCTCTAAGCACAAGAAACATCACTGCTGCCTCTGAAATCTCCATGAGGAGCTTGAGCACTGGCTTCCTGGGCTTAGTGTCTTGTCTTCTTCTTTGAGGTTACTTCTATTTTATTGGAATTGCACTAGCACTCATATCAAAGCTACGCAACATTGCACCTGGCAGCTTTGACGATTCAAAAGTCAGAGCTTTGACTTGCTCTCCTTCTTTAAGGGGATCGAGGCAGCATCTGTACTCGGTTGCGCGTGCCATGACCTTGGTCTCGTCCGCAGGCTGCGCAGGCAAGGCGTTGCGAAACACCAGACTGATCTCCCGCAGCGGCAACACCTTAGCAAGAAAAAGAACAGCAGCAGTAAAACATGTTTGTGAATGCTGCTGCAAAGCAAAGGTATGCGCTTCCCGTGCGAACAGGACACGTAGAGAAGAGCAGGATTGTTTCCCAAGCATAAGTAGAACTTATCCCTGAGCTTCAGCAATGTTCCGCGCTGCATCACGTTGGGGGCCCAGAAATTCTCGCTTTCCGCGACCGCATCTTTTCCCTGCCTCAGCTTCTATCACCGCAGTTTATGTTAAGTAACAGATCTCACAATTAGCAGACCAGCTGCGAATCTGCCTGGAGCAAGCCCTGGAACCAGTTCAGTTGGCTTTTGCAGTGATTGAAGGCTGACGTCGAAGGAAACGGTTTCAGAATCGCATCCATATCCAGATCATCACCTGGGAGCTTCTTGGTTTCTAAGCGTTCTTTGAACAGGACACAATATATAAAGGCACAAGCGAGAAAAATAATTTTACAGTAATATCACGTCGAATTGCTGCTGCTTGCTGAGTTGGGGTGCCATATTTTGGGTTTGATACCACGCACATTCGTTCCCTCGAAGTCAGCTGACTCCAGGGATACTGTCTTGGGGCCGTCCTGGGTACACATCCGTTTCTGGAAGGAACGGATGGCGCAGCATTGAAGATTACACATGGCTGACTCGTTGTTCTTCGTGGAACGCAGCACGCTGTCTTGTATGCTGGCGAACACATCCTCCACGTTGGAGGAGCCACCTACCTTTGGGTGCCAAGCAAGCAGGAGCTGCTTCACGCTTTCATTCACTTTCCACTCATTTTGCTGCATAAACAGATTCACTTCTCGAAAGCAGTGGTAGCCAACCCATGGACAGGCTTTGTATAAGATTTCGCGGGCGGTCTTGTCGTCCTCCATTTTCAGGACAAGGTTCCATTCTGCCTGCATTTCCTGTGCGATCTGTTTCTGAACGAACAACTTTTCCTGGTTTTCGGAAGCATCCAAAACCAGAGCGGCAGCTTTGCTGGGAGGGCTTTGCAAATACAAAGAGTACAGTGTCAACTCCATCATGCACGTCAGCGTTGCATGCAAGTGATCCCACAGGAGGCAGTCAGCAGCCTCGGCTCTTCGCTTGATCACAGCCATCACCTGCTGCATGTTATCCATGAAAACACACACATTGACTGTGCTTATTTTAATTTCCAAATCAAGCAGAGGCTTGCGGCTAGTCCGCGACTAGTGTCTTTTTTTTTGGGTCTCTCCTGTGCATGTGGACGGCTGCTTCCCTTTTTCTGGGTTTGGGGTTTTGCACTGCTACCAAATCATCATATAGGTTCCTTCTGCGAATCTGAGGATTGCACTCTTTCTTCTGTTTGCATGATGTTTCAGTCACTGCAAGATTACCTCAATCACTCGACTCTTCTAGGGCAGCGGAAAGTCCGCGCCAGTGACTTGAGCGGATTGGCCGCCTTTTCCAGTACTTACACCAGCAGCACAATCACTCTTGATCTCTTCACGAACCGTGCTGTTCTTGTTTTTCTTTCTGCGGATTTGCGTACGGCGGTCTGGCTTCTACGTTCCAGCACTTCATCTAATAACTTGCAAGTAAATTATGGCTGCAGGAGCACGACAGCAAAAGGCATGGGTGGCATGACCCAGCACCTTTGTTTAAAGAGTCCACAGCAGGAAACAGAAATCACTCGCTATGTTACAAGCTACTTCCTTGGGTCAGCGCGTAGTAGACACGAATCTTGCGCCTGAAGTGATACACCATTGCTTCCCACTTTCTCTTGCTGAACTTGGCCTGCGGTATCTTCGGTGTAACTGGCGGAGACTCTATGCCCTCCACGTCCTGGAAGCCCAAATTTTTCGACTTCAGGACAGAGGATACCAGCTGATACTCGTCGGAGCGCTTGATGGCACATATGGCGAGGTGACGCTTGAGTTTCTTCTCTTCCTCTGTTAGCAGGCGCGGTTCGGTCGAGGAAGACTGCGCGGAATCCATAGCTCTTTGATGCTTAGTGTTCGACTGAGCCAAATGTTCTGTGAAGAAGGAACAGCAACGTGTTTTTATCAGACCACATAATGTCTAGTAGCTAGCCCAACAGCGGCGAGGCCTGGGTGCCGTTGATATCTTCCAGACGCAAATCGACAGCCATATCCAGTCGAGACATGCTCTCAACGCTGAAAGCGTCAACCAGCACGTTGTTCACGACGGCTGCATACTTGGGGCTGTTGCAGAAGAGAGTGTGCTCGTGCACAGCGAAGTTCGTGGCTTTGTTGCTTTGCTTGGCGATATGCGAGAAACTCACATTCAAGTATGAACAATGTGCGAGACTGCAACTAACTACTGGGCAGATTGCAGGCATGGCACGAGCCAAAGAACCATGTCGCACCATGGCTTGCAAATGTGACTCAAGGAACTGAAAAGTCGATGAGCTTCCTCGTCCAGTAAGGCCTTGCTTCAGGAATACAGGACAGGAAAATCAATCTAGAACGAGGGGTACGAGCCTTCATGCAGAGGTCCACCACCTTCTCGTAGTCTTCCCCTCCTTCTCCTTTTCCGCATTGCACAAATGGATTGCGACCGACCTGTTGCGTTTCACACTCATGTGACATGGGAACATGCAGCATTTCACAGTGTTTCGCCTCCATGCCAGCCCACGTAAGGATCAAAAGCGTCGCTGTGTAGTACGGGCCGAAAATATTCGCGCAGAAGGCCCAGCTGCACCATCGTTTCTGTTCATGTAGGGGTCTTTGTCGCCTGGCTAAAAATCGAAACTTGGATTTCAAAATTACAGGTTCAAAACCATGGTGTGCAGCCAATCTTCTTGCACACTTTGTGTAGAACAGCAACGACGCGGTCGAAGTTCAGAGAGGCGTCCTCTTCCACTTTGAACCCGTTCCTATGCTGCGAACACAGCAAGAAGAAGTTTGCGGATTGGGGCTGTCTGCTTGTCCAGTTTCTCTTCCAGTATGGCGTCCCCGAAGAGTTGTTGTAAAATGTCACCAGAAGAAGCCTGAGAGATGCTGACATTCAATGCAAGATGACGTGATAAGCACACTCTCAGGAGTGCAGCCGAATTGCCACGCTCAAATATCGGTGCCCGGCTTGCGACCAGGCCTGTCCTGTCCGGCCTGTCCGCCACGGACTCCGGCGGGCTTTCATTAACCAGCCTGTCAGCACCTGACATCCTCAGGTGTCTGCTCGTATTTGCAAGGTCTCATGGCCCATCATAGATTGAGGCCAGCAGCGTCTGACGCCAGCCGTGCAGTTGATGACTTTCAAGTAGTGGTTCTGCACTTTATGCCTCACGAGCTGCTACATGACGACAGTTTTTTTTGTTCCGACACCGCTAAAAGCCGTCTAGAAACACCTCATCGCGAGAGAAGGCGACAGGATATCCCTTGCCAGCAAGGAATTGGTAGGCAGCGTAAAGGGGACCGCCTTGGTCTGCCTGCAAGACTAAGCGCATGATGTCCGTCGAGATCTGCTCCCACTCTGCTCGTCCCGTTTCAGTGTGGCACAAGAAAGAGTACTTTCCGTAAGTCAGGCGGGCGAGCTTGTTCGAGGGATCGGCACCTTTCAAACCAACATGTGGCCTCACCAATTCCACAGACAACAAATTCGTCATGTGCACCACGGCTTGTAGATGTTCTCTGGAAGCCAGTCGTTCCTGATGCACTTTGCTGATTGTCTTGGGCCTGAGCCGTGACAGCAAAAGCGGATTGTACTTTGAACACACCACATGACTGCGTGTGAGCCGGGTCACATCTGTGCCAGAGTTGCTTGTTTGTTCCTGCTGCGATCGAAGTTGGCAGATAAATTGTCGGCTGCCTTCTGCAGTTCCTCCATTTTTGTTTCCACTGAGGCTGTGCTGCACAGCAATCACTCATTCTCTGCAGAACAAAGCTGACCATGGTGTCGTTCACCGACACCAGTGGCAACCAGACCTGATTGTATCTGCGTTCGAAAGGAAAGAGAAACTGCTTTAAAATCTTGAACTAGTGGTGCACCGAGAAGCATCCGCTTTTGCTTTCGGGGAAGCATCAGAGATGATGTTTAGACTCTTGAACATGGCATTGTCCAGTTCCTGCAAAACCAAGACGCTTCTTTGACTCAGAAGACTTAGGCAACAGGGCGTCCTTCTTCAATTCCGTGGCCGATCTGCTGAAGTACCGAAAAGCGAAGTCACAGCTCAACCTGAGAAAAGTGAATCAGCAGTCATTCTTCAAGCAGCAGGCGCAGCAGGAAGAGCTTATTACTTGCAAGGCGAAGGGCCTGTGATAGTGGGCTGGACACATGTCACCCAGACCCAGATCGAACAAGCTCTGTTCGGATCCTTGTGTGTTGAAGCCACTGGATCTCGCCAGAAAGCGTTCCAACGCCATGATGTCTTTCAGCTTTGGCTGTTTCTTTAGAGCTCGGCCATCCCTTTGCTGCAAGGGCTGAAACATGTAGAGCACATTGGCGCCAGTAACACTAAGCATACAAGGGGCGTTCGCGCGGGATGGAAAGAATCAGCTTCTCCTGGCAATGGGACCTCCTTCTCTAACTGCAAAGGCAAATTCTCTTCCGCTTTCTGTGCGAGGATGTGCACGATGCGCTTCTGGATGCGAGAAGCAGAAAGTTGGTCCTGCGTAGTGGAATTTCGTATCTGTGCTCTTGTGCGCTAACACAACAGCAACGTGTGGATCCGTGTTCCTGGCAGACTTTGTCTTGGAAGGGAGCACGAAGAACGAAGAACAGCAAATCCCATGTTCGAACACCTTGGTCAATGAGATTTTACGCGACCGGTCTGACTGCATCATCCGTCGCCTGAATTCATCTTCCGCTGCGCTGCTGTCAACATAGGAAACTTCGCCCACCTGCAAAGTTGTAATGTGTCACATAACGACACTCACGACCCCCCCACATGCCTCTCCTGCCATCCCACGCAGTCAAGAAAGCGCGAAAGACTCTCCAAATCTACATCGTGGTCGACACATCTCACCTCGCCTCAGCAAAGAAGCAGAGCAAGAATCATTTTGCAAAAAGAGGCAAGCGGCAGTCTCTGGATAGTCAAGACACAAGCTGGAATGTTTGGCAGAAGAGCAAGCGTCATGTTGCCGGGGCATGCTGCCGAAATCATAGATTGGAAAAGAAGCATTGCTCCCTTCTGCAGGTCAGGCTTGCAGCCGCGAATCTGGAGCACGGAAGCTGCCTGAGCACGGTGCACTTTCGCCCCTACATGTGTGTAAGTTTAACATAATGTATGACAAGAAGCCACAAAAAGAAGTCCCACCATCGTGACGGCGTCGAAAGCAAAGCGAACTGTTTGTGCTGAGGGTGTGGACAGCTTGCCTTTGTATTTTGTATTCGGAACCACGAATGATGTGTTTCGGTATGCTGATTCTCCATTTGGCTGCAATCTCTGCCGTGATGTTGTTCTCCCTGAGAAAAAAAATCATTTACGCCGTACAACCAAAACCCAAACAGACCTACGAGCTCAAAAGAGTAGCGCATCCAAGGAGCAACTTGGAATACCAATTGAAGAAGGGTTGTTTTCTCTTCAACAAAGGCCAAAGCTGCTGTATACGGAAGAAGCAGCGGTAACCGTCTGATGAATCGGCTTCCCCAACCTGGCACAAAGACTCTTGCCCTTCATAGGATGAAACCGGCGTTTCTCGCTTGCCAGCAAGCAACCATGTGAGTCTGCAGCACACCCTTCAACCCTTCAGTTGTGCGCAGGTACATCGTCTCGTTCCGTGTGTACTTGCTGGGGCTTGACACTTCCTGGACGGCATCCTCTGACGCTTCGTCTTGCCGTAGCACTAAGACATCCACGGCTTGCTGCTGCTGTTGCATGTGCTCGGGTAAACGTGGTCGCAAGAACAGTCCGATGGCTGCTGCTTCTGCACGATGAGCATCCAACAGAGCCTCTCAGAAGGTTGCGATTACTAGCAAGGTGCTTCCATGTCATGACCGGTAGAAACCCGCCTCCCAGTCTGACAGGGGTAGCGTGCCGTCATCGCAACGCCCCGTCGTCATTGCTCTGTCGTCAAGTAGACGAAGCTTCTTCAAGAACCTCTCTCCAAGGTTTCTCTTTTCCTCTTTGTCCGTAGTCCTTGTGTGCGTGCAGAACGCAGAAACGAAGTGGAACGCTGAAACGCAAAAACAGCAGCCTGCCTTGACATTTCCTCAATTCTCTCCTTGAGCCATTTCTCCATCCTTGGTTGCATTTTACGTTTCCACATCGTGCGGTGTACCGGCCCCGAACGGTTTGCATTCCGCATCAGGCCGTGTGTCGCCGCGACGTGGTCGCCACGTGGCGGCAGTAGATGGGCTGAAGTGGAACGCTGTCCTGATGTGGAACGCAGGCGATGTGGAACGGTCTAAAGCAGCATTTTTGCCGAGACCTATGCAAATTCACGTTTTTAGGGGGTTTTGCATTTCATGGTTCCACTTCAGCCCGTGTGCAGACGCGTCCTACTCACCACGTGGCGTGCGGAAACGCCTCCCTGCACCCACGTGTCCGTCGAAGTGGAACGCTGTTCAGCTGCGAGCCTGAGGAAGAACGACTCACGCATGTGGAACGCAGAAATGCCAAAAGGCCTTCCAGAGCCCGGGCAACCCTCGCAATACTAAAAATGAAAGAAAACCACCAGGACAGAATTGAGACCTGAATTGGGAAGCCAGGAGACGCAGCCGGCACTGCCACCGTGCGCACCCATGGGCCAGAAACAAAAGGTTCCGTGTCTTGGGAAATAGAAGCAAAGTCCCGACTAGCTTAGGGAGGATTGCGTGAAACCTGCCAGAAACACTCTTAGTCGATACGATGTTGCATAGAGAAACATCTCAACTCCTTGACTGCAAAACTGACAAATGCATCTTCCAGACGGAAGCAGCCGTCCTAGCTGGTGTCCTGGCTGCAAGAGTGCAGACCTTTTTTTCGTAGAGGAACAGGCTCTGTCACTGGAGGCTCTATGGATGCTGCGTCCGCGTCAAGACATCCCGGTCCCCAGCAAACACAAGTCTTGGAAGAGATGTCCTTTGCTATCTTGCTTGCCTCGAAGTCAGACATCTCCTGTTGTGGAAAACCACTGGGTCTCATTGTGTAGCTCAGGGTGGGCAAGCAAATCTCACTTCATGAGTCCTGTGCGTGATGTGCCAGGTCCAGAAGAAGACGTCTCCTGAAAGGAGCGGGTCCAAGTAGATCAGGTTACATACCGCAGTGTTGCACACACACACACAGTACTCCTTGACCGCAAGAGGCCAAGCAAGGAAGAGCTTCTTGCCCTTGATCGTGAGGTCATAAAACCATTTCTGAGCATCGGCACCCAGCATACTCGAGATGTCTCCTGCATGCATATTCCCATGGTCAGCACTGTTGTAGTCTAGATTACAGAACAACGCACAAAGCAAAAGCCTGGTTCCATATCTGCAAGATTCTCCAACGCATCGGACAGCGTCAGGATGTCTTCACTGACTAAGATGCGCATCATGCACAGCAGGTCGTTCCTTGGCTAACATGAGCGTCGCAATCATGCTTGCAACATCACAAGAGTTGGAGACTGCGAGCAAGCACTGAAAGAATCCTAGCGGAATGAGCAAAGACAAGAGTCTTGGAAGCGGATCCAGGCAGCACGGAGAGCAAATCATCACCGAGCTTGCCACGAAGAATGTCAAGCTCAGAAGCATATGCTTCTTCTGCTCTCTGCTGGTTGCTGCTGTCTTGAAAACCTGGCGGTTGTGTTGTCTCGGCGGCATGCTCTGGATCCGGTTCGGATGCTTCCTGCGCGGACGGGGGGTCATCATCATCTCGGCTGAGATCCTGCTTCTTGGGCCTCTTTGCTTTTTTTTTGGTGGAGGCTGTCTTGCGACGCCTCCGTCGTGCAGAGCTTTGCGGGGTCAACGTGGGCTTAAACTTGCCACCCAGTACATCTCCGTCCTCATCATCATCTGACTGTGTGCCTGCATCCTGGTCCGACCCCTCAGCATCCGAGTTCACCTCCTTTCCTTTCGTCTTCGGCGTTACGAACAACCGTCTGGGTGTACACTGCTCTTTTTGTCTTGTCTTCTTCTCTCTGCCACGCTTGCGAGGACTGGGTGTGTGCGCCTCCTTCTTGATCTTCATGGTACCCTCTTCTGCAAAGTCAGTAATGCGCTTGATGTCCTTCTGTGCCTCCTGCCAGCGAAGCAGAAGAAAGCATGCGTCTCACGATATATAGCACCCTATCATCGCAAGCACCTTTTTTCTATCGTAGACAGACTCGCGGACATCACGTCATTGTCAAGAAAATCTTCGCTTTGTACATGCATGCAGGCATCTGAAAGCCCGCAGCAAACTGTGGTTTCAAGCATGATTCAAATCACGTACAGCAAGTACCATTCATGTCCACAAGTCGCAGCAACTAGCGATTGCCTCTCCATTGACCGCCACGCTGACGACTGCGACCATACATTGTCTTCTCCTCTGCACGTGAATGCCTCGAATGTGCTGCTACAAGGGTAAAAAAAATCCCTAAACATAAAAAAAAGGACCATGTAAGCAAGAAACTTTACCTGAACTTCGACATCTTCTTCCGTGTTGGCTTCCTGACGTAGAACATGTGCGGGCGGAGGTCCGGGGGGCGGCACTGGAACCTTGCTGGTCTGTCGCGTTGGCGGGGACGGCATCTTCTTCGTCTGCGGGATTAGCAGTACAGGCGGTCTGGACCCCGTTGCGTTCTTTGTCTCTGCGATACCGCTTGGCTCTACTTCATTGGGGACGAACTTGGCGAAGATTTCCAGGGTGCCATGCTCCAAGCGAAACTTGCCAACACGTCGTGCCATATGAGCATGGCTGTTCTTGCGAACGTCTGGATCCACGGCTGGCTTAGTGTCAGCAGGGCTGCTCCTCTCCTGCTGATCCCGTTGCACATTCTGGTACTGTCGCACATACTCATCATCTTTCTCAGCCATTTGTTTCCTTTTGCGTGTCAAGTCCTCTTCTTCCATCTGCAAAGGTGTTTTTTGGTCCGGCTCGGTCTTCTTGTCACCAGACGTGTTTGCAGTGGCAGGAGTAGCAGCCTCTGCTTTCTCAGCTTCAGTCTGCGTGGTAGGCGCACCCACACTGTGGCTTGCATCTGCGTGAGCTCGCAACAAGCGTTCCGTCTCCAGTTGCTGCAGTGCTTGCAGGTACACCGTCTGTGCATCCAGAGTAGAGGACGCAGCAACAGGCATGGTCTGCGTCTGCGCAAGCTTTTGTGCAAGCCATGTTTGCTGCAAAGGGGACAACATACCCGCAGCGAGCAGGGACCATGCAGGATCCTGCGACATAACTTCTGGCTGCGTTTTCCTAAAAGCAGAGAAACATGCAGCACATCCTCGAACCAAAATAGCCCGAGCAAAAGGCGTGCGTTCTGTGATGCAAAGAACATATGGTGAGGACATCTAGCCACTCGTGTCAGAAGATGGTATCTTGTTGGAATGCAAGCAAACAACTCTATCACGGGCAACAGCAAGCTCCATTTTCGAACTGGCGCAAGTGCCCCTGAGAAAACATGTCTAGTTATCCCGTCGAGCCACGTCCTTGGCTTTTGCCGGCAACAGCTCCGAAACGTCGCGGGTCCTTGTGCTTCACATAGCACGCGTGACAGCTATGCTGGTGATTGTCCTGCCCACTCACACTGAAGCACGTCGATCTACGAGAGCAGATTCCGTCATGACAGGTCATGCAAATCCCGCGTAGCACCGCTCGGGTTGCGGCTGATGGTGGCGGAGGAAGCGCATGCTGTTGTCGACGCAAATCAGCTTCTTGTCTAGCAACTGCAGCCTCCCTCTCTGCAACGGAACGTTCTCGATCAGCAACACGCTGCTCTCTGGACTCTAAGTCAGTGAGCTGCTGCTGTATGCCGGAGATTCTGGTGGATTCATGACTCCGAAGCATGTCTTCTACACGTCCCATCATTTCACGCATCTCAGCCTCATGCTGGAAAATAAAGTTGCCAGTGGCAGAAGCAGAGGACATGGCTAGCAGTAGACATAAGAAACACGAATTGCGATATGTAGCCAAAAGCTGCAGCAAAACAATCCAGCAGACAAAGTAAAGAGCATCTCAAGAGCACTGCGTTGCATGCAAATTGTGACCAAAGTGCAAAGTCCTTGCGAAACTGTTGCAGCATGGTCTCGTACTTGTCGTTCATTTCCGTGACCTTCTGCCTGGACACCCTGCAAGCAGCAAAATATGTTTCTTGCAGTCACATATTTTGAGGGTTCACATCCCGGCCTGCGGTGTTTGAGTGCTAAGCTTTTCAGCAGTTCGTGAACATCGTCCATAGACTTGGCATTGGATATGTTGATGTCACAAGGCTTCTTTCCGCAGACTCAGTTTGAAGGGTCACAGTAAGTGAGACTGTCAGGTGCAGCAATAATGGGGACAAGAAGCATAAGTGCACAAGTGATGCCAAACGAGAGCTCCACAATCTGCCAGCAGCTTTCACCTCTTTTGTTTCTTTCACAACATGGAAAGATCAAAACAATGAGACTCCAAGATGTAGAACAGTTGCAAAAGAACCGCCTTCTCCAGTGATGTCGTTTCCTTCTCGCGGTTCTTCTGCTTCTTGAATCTCGCCGCAGACTCTTTGTGGATGCTCTCCTAGTGAGAAGAAATAGTGAAAACAAGCAAACAGAAGAAATGTAGCATACGGTCAAGCCACGGATTCGCCGCCAATCTCAATGATGTCCGAAGGAAGACAAACATTGCAGATACCAGCAACGCAATATCCCAGCTGGCGTACCGAGAGATCTTCCAATCTCTGCTGCGAGCTGGCTCTGGCAAGTTGCTTCTGCGGAAGCTGCAAAATTGACATCTTGTCTACCTGAGGCGTTTCCTCCTCCGATTCTTCCTCCATGTCGCTTTCTGACATCTCTCCTGTTCCAGCTTAGCTACGTCTGAGTATGCATCAAAACACACATGCAACTCGGCAGCCAAGTGGCTGGTCTTCTTCTTGTCTCTCTTTCTCTTGCTCTTGCGACGACCAGAATCAGCAGCATCAGAGGCTCCTGTTTCGAGCAAATAACAAGGAAGAAACTACGAAACGGTGTGACCAAACAGGATGCAAAACGTGGATCCTTTGAGGGCATTCCTCATCTGCTGCGTGGCGGAATTGAGCATAAAATTGGAAGCAGCATTTGCGTCGTTCTCCAACTCAGCACCCAAGGATGCAGAACTGAGACTCCTGACAGGGAAGAGCAGGACGATTCCAAGTACGATCGTATGCTACCAACAAGCAGGGAAAACTGCTGATGCTCCAGGCGGCGAAGCCGCACACTCTGCAAGAAGTCAAGGATGAACCGCGGAGAATCCGCAGTTCGAATCTGTCTTATCACAGAGGAGGCGGCTAGTCCGCTCAAATGTGTCCAAAGGCTCATAGGACTGTGTTGCATTGCCTGCGAATCTCTCCACCTGCTGCGCAATCCACACAAAAGATGCTATCAGTGGAATCACACGTCCTGGCTGGTTTGCCTCCAACCGGCATGCCCATGCAGCAAGGTCGGATGAATATCTCGCTCCAGAGCAAAACTCTGTAGGCACACCAGCATGGGAAGCTTTCTAAAGATGCTGATCTATGGAATTGCACATGCTGCCAGGCAGTCATATCTTCTGCGAACAGACTCAGAAAACAACAAGAGTACGCAACCCACAGAAGATGCAATAAAAGAAACATCATATTATCGTTCCAAAGAGATACGAAAATTGAACCGCAACAACCAGCCTGCTTATCACTGCGAAAACAAACATGTCATTTCTCACTGCCACAGAGTTGCTGCCGCGATTCGATCGATAGGATCATGGTAGGCTTCTGTGCAAAGAGTAGCAAAGCCCAGAGGTCGAGGGCATTCAATTACAAATTAAATTTTGCACGCAGGGCCAGGCCGTCTGCTTTCATACCCAACATAGACGCAGCGATGTCAAAACATCGTCGGTCTTGTCGCATTGGCATCTCAATCCTTGGAAAAGCAGAAACATAAAAGAAGCCCTGGATTCGAATATGAAATTTACAGAAAAGCAATCATCACAAAAAGCATGATAAACTTAAAAAAATACTATAAAAACATATACAGAAAGGCAGAAAAAATATACCAAGATATTTCCTTAATTTATAAGAAAAGGAATGCGAGCACCAGATCTCAGTCTGTGTGTATATATCCAGATTTAAAGAAAAGACGACAAACAATATGTTCACACCCGTTGATCAGGAGATATCATAAAAATCTCATAGGTCATGGACCGACAAAAAAAAAACATGTCTGCTACGGCATCCAGCGCAAGCATCGTCAATGTCCTCCCATGCATCCTCTGCATCGCTGCCATCCTGCTGAAAACACAACAATGTTTTGAGTATACAAAACAGTAAATTTGCGCTCAGTGAAATGGGTTTGGGAACAAGATGCAGTTGCAGTGGCTTGGCGTTCAGCAAGGGGTCAGGTTTGCAACATGTGTGGTCCTGATCTCGAAGAGCAATGACCGGCACAGGCGGCATGAGGGCAGCCGGCAAACGTGGAGGATACAAATTAGCCACCTAAATCATAAGCCGGGAATTCAAAGGAGACCCACACGTAGCCAGAAATAATTGCGGGCCAAGCCACAAGGATCTGAGGCGCCATAAGCCGACGTCGAACATTGGGTGGCTCCAGATCAATGGCCTCCTCGTGCGAAAATCGAAAGTCAAGATCCTCAGTTCGGACAACAATTGACAATTACTGTTCAACTACTGACTGGCATAATTTCCAAATCTTCTGTTCTGCGTTGCAATTGAGATACCTGAGTGATGAGGACATGTACAATGTACTCTGCGTGCTGATACAAGGAGTTGTACAAATCCCACGGACGAAGATCACGACGGAGGGCCATCAGAGAACCAACCTGAAACCGAGAGGTCGCTAAGCATCTATTCATAGTAGCTCTACAACTGAACACTGTGCGATCGAGAAGCAGCATAGCCGAACGATCTTGTGTAGGCCTGCGAACATTTCATCTTTGCGTTTCCGCGCCAATACCTGCCCTCGCGATTGGTC